AAACTGATAATAACCCTTGAAAACTGTTAAAAGATGCTAAATTATGTTAGACTACCAAATTTTTCCTTGAAGACAACATTTTTGTCGTTTTTTACTAGTTGTTTTTACCGAACTCGCTCGATCCTCCTCTTGATGATCCCACGCATCTTTCGGGTGTTAATGGTCCTCTTTCGTCCTCTTCCGGGCTTCGACTGAACATGCCCCTCATCTTTCCATTGCTTTACGATCTTCTGGACGGTCCTCAGAGCCACCCCAAGCCTCGATGCGATCGACGAGTTCTTCATGCCGCTCGTCGCCAGCTGTGCGATTGCGTCCCGACTAGCGCACGTCTTTGTCATGACCTAGAAAACAACTTTTTTAACAAAAAATTAATCGACAACGATAAAAAGAATATTAAAACACAAAAAGATGAGTAGTAATGCTTTATGCATTGTTTAAAACTATGATGCTGATGCTGCGCGCACGTAATTTTCAGCCACCCTGTATTAACAAACTAAATCATGTAGACATAAAAAAATTAGATTAAAAAACAAAAGTAAAAGTTTGAAAGTAAAGTTTACACTTTTTATTGTTAAGTTTTAATTTTTTTTTTTTTTCAAAACAATCATCGCATTAAATTTAATATATAGATATATAGATATATAGATATATATAGATACTTTATTCAAGACCTGAAATGAAGTGCGCTAGATTTAAGATTAATACACATGAAGTCATACACATAACACGAAAAGGGCCGATAAAAAGCAACACGATATATGTAATATATGGGTAGCACAGATAACGTCAAGAATCCACTAGAGCTTCAAGATCAAGATTATCCACAGATAATTTAAAGGTTTCAAGACTATTGGACTCTCTCAAAACTCTGGGCTGTCCGCAATTTTTTTTGCGCAACAGAATCTTTTTCGCAACTTGCCATAACTTTCTTCTGAGTGAATCAATCTTTATGATTTTGGTTTCATTTTGTAGATCTCAATAAATGCAACAAAATTAAACCAAAATCATAACGATTGGCCCACTTAGAAGAAAGTTATGGGGAGTTGCGCAAAAAAAAAATTGCGGAAATTAGCCTAGCCCCAAATTATTTATGTCCTGAGCAGAGTATATATTATAAATATATTCATGTATTTTCTTAAAATCCAAACCAATTTAGTAGCACTTTTCACATGCTTTCAAGTAGCGCAAATGAAAAATGAAACAAATGAAACACATCAACCACCACGTGAGAAATACCACTAATATGATCAGGTAAACGATGGATAGTTGCGTGAAATAGCCGCTTTTCATCATATCGTAGTAAGTATGCGGAAACCAGGTGATAAGGATGATAATCTAAAAGTGAGGCAAGTTGTGTTTTTTGGCTTCTCAAAAAACCTCAATAATACTTGAAAGAATACTCAAAGTGCCCTCATTGCAAACATCAATAGAGCTATAGGTACGAACGCATAGAATACCTCGTTACTCACAAGACTTACAAATATAATAGTTACTATAAAAAGTAATTCGGATACAGAGTGATCAAAAATTATGCCAACTAATTTTTGGAAAACTATTCTTTTCCAAAAAACTTTCTACAGAAAGTAGCATTTATTATATACCATTTAAAAGCTCTAATTCTCAGTATCATTAATACATTAAAGATTTTTGGCCAGAGCTAATTTTTGACCCTTACTGGTCTTCGGAATAATCTCGCCGCAAGTATCCCACGGCGATCTGCCATTTTTTCCTTGTTTTCTAAGTAAAAATGCGTCTCAGAAAAACAGGAAATACAATCAAATTTGTACAGATTTAATCAAAATTAATTTCATTCAATACTTTAAAACCAAAATGACAATTCAAAAGTGCCTCAATCAGCAGAACAATCAGCAGAACACACCGAAAAACGAGAATTTCACTACTCGCCGCAAAATGGTGGTTTGCAGCAAGTTATGAATCCGTTTTAACAATGAATTTGCACATGCTCGGCTAACGTTTACCTTTATTTTGAAACAAAACAATTGGGAAAAAGTTACTCAGTTGAAAACAATCTTTTCGAAACACTTTTTCCATTCAAAGCCAGGAAAAAATGGCAGATCGCCGTGGGATACTTGCGGCGAGATTATTCCGAAGATCAGTAAGGGTCAAAAATTAGCTCTGACCAAAAATCTTTAATGTATTAATAATGCTGAGAATTAGAGCTTTCAAATTGTATATAATACATGCTACTTTCTGTAGAAAGTTTTTTGGAAAAAATACAGTCAAATTTCGATATAACGAACTTTGATACAACGAATTTGAAATTCTAAAACGTGCCCAAAATTTCTGCGTAGCTGCTCCAGCCAAATGCAATCCAAATTTTCCTTCCGTTGTATAGAATTCCGCTATATAGAGGTTTTTTTACACTTAAAATAGTGTAATGTCGGCCGGGACCAAAATTCCATTTCGTTATATAGAGCTTTCCGCTATATAAAGTTCCGTAATAGAGAGAGTCGACTGTAGTTATTTGATCAGTGTTAAGCTATTGATTTAGCAAGGTCTTTTTCATGGGACTCACCAAGTACACGATGAAGACAAGCATTAAGCGTTCACTTTTCATCAAGATCCCGAGCGTTCCAAATAAACAACAAATGATGTAAAGGAAAAAATAAAAGAAAATCGTGTAAACGGTGTGAATTCTCGTGAGCGCATCCGTCCAAAGTCTGAACAGGTGTAATCTTTTGAGGTAAACCAGCTTGCCCCACCCCGCATCATTATTCAAGTGCACAAGCATCCAGCAAATCGCGTTGAATACGGTGAAGATGTTTGAGAAGAACATGAGAAACCCCTGAAAGCCAATAAAACGTCAGAAATACAAAAAAAAAACCCACTTTATGCTTAGTTTTCACTTTCGGCCAAGAGGTTTTTTGAAGTGACTAAAAAGTTTTATTCTGAATTAACTAGTATTCTTTTTATTTCTTTTAGAAATATAAAGCATTACGCAAATGTGTGAGGGCCTTCTTGGTTGTGGTGGATTGGGCACCATTTGAACATTGTATACGTTTTTGATGTTGATGTAGCAGTAATCTGACCGTATTCATGCATAATTGCCCAATATGGAAGTCTAATAGCTTAAGCTGAAGTATTGAGATAGAAATTTTTGCAGAAAATGTACAGTACATTTTATAAGCCTTTCTTTCGATTCTAGAACTCGTATCGAAAGGCCATCTTTACCAGTTACCTTAAAGCTGAAAAATCTCTAGCCTTTTTGCTTAATTATTTTTATTTTTAACATAAAGTCTGTCCTGCTTTTTAGGCTAAACTTTTTAAGATGAAGAAGTCGTCATTAGAAGTTCTATTGTAACATTAGAATACAAATAAAAGTTTACCACTTGTTCGAGAAGCCGTCTCGTAGTCGTTTTCGTAGCTGGTCATTGCAAATTGCAAGTACTAGAAAAGTAGTACGCAAATTGTGATCAAAACTGGCAAAACTGTCTCCCCAAAAAATGCGGTTATTTCAAGTCCGATAAAGCAAGAATTGCTGACCAATGAAGGCCAAAATGATAAGCGAGAGTGTTATGCACACAAATTTGGGTGCGGTCTTAAAGGCATAAATACGTTTATGGGGCTGACCTACATATATGCTGATATAGTTTTGTGTGGAGCGGCTTAGTGAACTAATAAAATTCAGTTTTTTTTTTGAAAATCAGCTAGCTTTTTGGAAGCAAAACCGGTGTATAAAGATTCTAAGGCTTTGCTCTGCTGCTGAGTCACTGTTCTTTTTTGTTGTTATACATAATAAGTCCCGGAAAATGGTCAGCTGTATTAGAACCAATCATTTATGTTAAATTTGAATGATTTGGAATGTCTCGATAGCCTCGATAGCCTCCGAGCGGATGGTTTGACGAAAAATTGGCATAAATGGAGCGTTGAAGCTATCCACCAGTATCCACTTCCGGACGTGCAGCCTTCTTGAGCTCTTTGCTCAGATTCCCGGACATTTGTTCTCCGAAAAGTTCTGGGCTGGACAAAAGCCGAGGTGATGAAATTGTCGGAGAACAAATGTCCGGATACCCTATGCTCATGTCAAACTCGTTTTTGAGTCGAGATAGCTGGAATTGGAAAAAATTTCAAAATGTTATGTTTCGTTTCGGCTCTTTCCATAAAGTAAAAAGCATAGGTAAAAAGCATAGGAAAAGCATAACTATTGGGTTGGGGAGAATGAGTCGGCGCCGAAAATCAAAAAAATGTCTAAAACTTCTATTCGACTTCGTCAAATAATATGCGTTTGATATGAGTAGAATGGTTAACTAATTCTCTACAAAATGGCATTTAAAAGAAAATTCAAACAGCGCCTCCGCTCAAGAAAAAGCCATTTTTTCACAAAAACTACAAACTGTGATCTAGAAAAAACCATTGGTGGGGTCTTCCTGCAAATTTGGCAACTTAAGTAATTGAATGTGCTCTATCTTTTTTATATAAACACCAAAGAAGGTTTATGTGAAAGAAACTGTTCAAATGATGAGTCGGACTCTTTGCCATTTTAACCAGCTGCGTTTGGAAGTTCATAAACTCCACGAAAGAAAAGCTTTGTGGAATCTCTCAAAAGTCATTTTGTAGAGAAATAGTGGATCCTTTTGATGAAACCAAACGTATTTTTAAAGAAGGCTTTATGTGTGCAAAAAGTCCCTTTAAAGTTTGGCGCCGACTCATTCTCCCCAACCCAATAGATAATGTTGGTCAAAAAGTAGAAAATACAAGAGGAAAAAACTAAATCAGATACTGTTGCTGTAGGCTTGTTTACCCACATACTTTTAGGCTCTCCTTTTTCGGGCATCCGCTTTCTTGTTATTTACCCCATTTCTCGAAATGCTTAATTATGAGAGGTCATAAAGGCGAAAGAAATCTGATTTCTATCCGATGTAAATTCACTTTAGAAAACAAAGAATCATGTCACACGGAATATTTATTGTCTCAAAAAGATTCATTTCAAGTGCGATTACTTTGACATCAAGTGAATTTTCGCTCGTCAACTTGAATCATTTGCTGAAAAATAGAAGGATTTAAATTCATAATTTAACAACTTACGCAAAGACGATAGGGATCGTAATCTGTTTTTGCTCAGTAGGGTCAACTTTCTTGAAGACTTCTTTCGCATCTTGTTCATTGTCTTCACACTAAAGATAGAAAGTAAAAGGTAAACCACAATAAACAACTTACATTTGCACAAACGATCACAATTTTCTCGTCGGTTGTAGTCGCTACTCCGAATCGTTCAACGTCAATGGTGTGTTTAGCACCATCCACCACGAAAGCAAACACTGGCTGGATTCTAAAAAAAATCGTAATAATCTTCCCCAACCATAATCTCAACAACGCAAAGCCCACTTGTAGATCTGATTGTCCGATACCTTCACTTTCACGGCTGCTCGTTTTCCTGTATTGTTTGTCAAGCTGATTTGAGTCTTTCCGTCCGGCTTCTCAAAGTTCAATAGCTTCGGCTCGATTACAAATCCTAAAACAATACATGAAAGTAACAAAGAAAAATTCAAACCATTTTCAGCGCTGGCTTTGTTGTCCCTCTTCTCAGACTTCTTGTCAGCAGCCGCCACCAGATCCTTGCTATCTTTCTTGCTCGATGCAGCCGCGGGATCTTTCTTCTTGTCTGTTTCACTGGCTCCATCTTTCGTCTCGCCCGATGCAGCAACTCCATCTTTCTTTTTGTCCGCTTCGGCATCCCCATTTCGCTTGACTAAAGTAAAGCGTGATTCTCAGATAAAACTTTTTGAGCATTCAAAAATCAAACCATCTTCAGCACTAGGTTTTGCATCCGTCTTCTTATTCTGATCCATCCTGTCTTTCTTGGCCGCTGCGGCCGCTTCCTCATCCTTTTTGCTCAATGTAGCAACTTCCTCTTTCTTGCTCGACTCGTCAGCTCCATCCTTCTTTTCTAAAGCAAAATCGTAATAGTTAACTCTTCTTTTCCTGGCTTAGATCAAATCAAACAAAACTACCTGCATTAGGTTTCTTTTCATCTTTCTTCGATTCCTCCTTGTCATTCTTCTTGTCGTCTTTCTTCTCAGCAGTCACTTTGTCATCGTCTTCTTTCTTCTTTTTGTCATCTTCCTCTTCTTGCTTCTAAACATTTCATAAACAACACTATCCATTAAGCCTTATCCTTACTTTCTCCTCCTTTTTCGATTCCTTCTTGTCTTTCTTTTCTTTCTCTTTGTCGCTCTCTGCTTCATTCTTCTCCCGATCCCTCACCTTATCTTTCACACCTAAATCAAAGTAGCAATGAATAGCTAGAAGCTAATTACTTGCTGCCTTCTTCGAATCTTTCTTTTCATCAGCTTCTTTCTTTTCCTCTTTCTTATCGTCTCCTTCTTCTTTCTTCTCCTCATTTCCGTCCTTTTTGCCGGTCTCGCTCTTTTCTTCCTTTTTCTTGTCTTCTCCTAAAAACATAGATAAATAAGGTCAACCAAAAAAATGTTTTTTTAACGTTTATCTTTTTCCTCGTCTTTCTGCTTCTCCTCTTTGTTTGAAATGTCCGAGGATTTCGGCGGCGGTGCTCTAGCCGATTTTGCCTGATATTGAATCAAAAGAAGATATTGAATCAAAATGATCACAAAGTCTTACGGATGCAGGAGGAGCCGGAGGAGGTGGTAGAGTCGGTGTTCCCTTCTTCTTTTTGCCCTTACATTGCAGCAAGGTGAGCGACGCGAGCATTACTCCCAAAACCACAATGCAAAATGTCATCTAAACAGAAAGATGTACGAACAAACAGCAGCAAGAGGTGCATGAAGTGTCAAATTAGTTGAAATGTGATAAAACTCACAAGTCATTTAGAAGTAGCCAAACAAAAACTTGTTGATAAAGTAAGTTTAAAAAGAAAAGTAGCAAAAAACGACTCACCATTTTGTTTGACGATTTAGGTGCCTCGATGAGGTGTGCAGAGATAAATGATCAGCTGTTTCGCGAAACTTTTAAATCACCTTTAAATGTTAATTTCAGGGAATTGATTGGAAATTTTTTGCAAATTTTAGCAAAAATAATTTTCAATGTACATTTTTGTGTTTTTACCGTATTTCTTCGAATAGAAGACTGGGTAAAGGGTATCATCGCGTACTCCTGCGTAGCAGCCCTTTTTAAAATTTCTTTTCTGCATAAAAGCTTTCAATCAAGTGCTATAGAGCTGGAAAATGGCTCAAAAATCTGTTAGCTCATGTGGTATTTTTGAGTCATTTTCCAGCACCGGTGAGTTGTATGTGTTAAAATGGTTTGCGCATTGCCCATTAATTCCTTTCACTTTCTAGCAATGACATAATTTGATCTCGATTGTTATGAATTTCTTGTGTAAAAGTATAAAAATTGTAAATTCTTTAACAGTGGTAGAACTCTTCAGATCAGCTAGAGTACATCGCCAAAAGTTATTTCACCAACACCAAAAGTTTAACTTTTATTACACAAATCAATGTGTCACATAAAACGGCAGGTTTGAAAAGTTCGATTCTTTTCCATTTATTTTGACAAGTTGCGGTGATCGAGTTAGCCGGTGATCACAAATTTCTTGTATTGTGTGGTGAAGCCCTCGAGGAGTGGAGTGACGTTCTTGTCCAAGAATCCTTCCTAAAATGAAAGGCTTTCAAGTCTGAAAAGATAAGAAACAAACCTTCAGAAAATGATTGAGTAGAACTTGGTGCACGTAGAGATATTGGTGGTCCGTTTGAACCGAGTTTGCCCTTTGCTTGCGAAGCTTCAAAAGAAGTGTGTCCATATTTTCACATGTCTAAAGCAAAAGTTAATCCAAATAAGAGTGCAGTTTAGCACCTGGCCAGTGTTGATTGACTCGAGCGTGTATTGGATAAGAACGATTGAGCCGGTGCGTCCGATTCCTGCAGAGCAATGTACGACAATCGGAGATCTAGACAGAAACAAATAAAGTTCAAATTGATGAAAACAAACTGTGTGCCAGATACACGGTTGAGAAGATGAATTGGGGCAAGGTCGGCAGGGGGAACTCCACGATCCGGCCAGTCAACCCAATGATAATGGTCCACCGAGTGGATCCTGTTCCCGTTCTCCTCAACCACCAATTTCGTGAGTCGAATATTGGCCGTCGTCGGACATGGCAATTTCACCTAAAAGTAGGAATAGATTAGATGAAAAAGACCTTCGACAAACCTTCGATGTTTTGACGGCCTTGATTGTGTACTTGTCAAACGTCTTCGAATGTCCTTCTTCAGCTGGGAAATATTCGGCGCATTTCTTGGCTCCTTTCTCCGTCAAATTGCACAACATCAGTATCACTTCCACTCGCTCTTGTACAATCATTCTAGAGCAATCAAAAGCATCCAAACAGCAGGGAAAGTCTTACTTCCAGTGTTCGACACAAGTAGAATCGAGCGGCGCCTGGCAACAAATGAATCGTTTCTCGGAGGTTGGCGTTGATACATAGTTTGCGTGGATGTAGTCATTGTCCCCATTGTCTTTCAGCACAACCCGAGTATCGTCAAGACAGCCCACATCCTAAAAAACACATTTAATGCACAAAACTAGGAACAGTAATACCTTGTATCGATTCTTGGCCGGATTTTTCAAGAACACCGTCAGCTTCGTCATGTCAAGAACCCTAAAGTAAGCGAATGATAGGGGCATATAAATCTAAAACTACCTCTTGTGCGATGCAAATTCGGCACGCAATCCTTGTACGCCCTTCTTCAACGTGTTCTCGACGAATCCATGGACAAGCTTCTTACAATCACTGAGATCAGCTAAAACAGAAAAACAGATTCACTGCATTAACATTCGCAAGTCACAAACCAACATTCCTTTTCGTCGTGGTGATCGTCCGATTGCTGACTATCGTCTTGCACGAGTTGTCCTTCTTGTCTTTCCTAAACAAAGAATTTTACACATAAAAAATGGGTAAGTAATACTACAATCAAAACAACAAACTTCTTTGAATCCGGTTCGACATCTTTGTCTTCCTTAACCAACGTTCTGTCGAGATGATCTCTTGTTTGGCCCTTGTCCCTCGACTTGACCACATCCTTTTTCTTCTTTTTGCCTAAAAATTGGAGATTGAAAGATTATACAAACGATTGTCTCCAGTTAAATGTAATGTAAACAATCAACCGAATCAATTGTTTCTATCACTCTAAAACAGTTCAAATTCTAATTACAACTTAGCCGCACAAAAAGCACAAGTCCGTGTAAGCAGTAAGTAAACACAAATCTAATGTAAAGTCCAAACAAAATAAAGTTTAAAAAAACACTCACCAAATCCAAACAAGTACATGCGACTCGACGAGAAGGAGAAGAAATTGTAAATGATAATCTTCTCCGCATTTGGTTTCTTTTATTTGACGGTTAAATTTAAATTTTACGCGCATTGGACGTAAACCTGTGTTTATATGTAAATTAATAGATGTAAATTTGAAAAGCTGTCGATTTCGTAAGGTGCTACATGTAGACTTTATTGTAACGGTAAGGCCAAACTTTATCAATAAAAAACGGGGATATTTTTGTACCAGTTTCAGAGGACCCAAAGACACACCAAAAGCAACAAGAAACTCCAACGAAATCCCCTAAAATTCATTACTTTTTCTCATTTTTGTTCAAGTATTTCTAAAGAAAGTGCAAAAAATTGGTGAAACTCAAATTTTTCGAGAAATTTGTTGATTGGTTTTTTTCACTTCTATTCAATCATCCTAATTTGCAGATTTGACGGGAAAACGTCTGAAAATGCGAAATTTGAATTTAATCAGCAGCAAGTTTACATTTAGCGGCCAAATAAAACTAAAACGCCAGCTCCAAAAATTATCATTCGTCGTCTATTCAATCAACTCGTCTGGACTTCTCTCGGATGCCTACAAAAAGTAAGTTTCATTTGCTTTTCTTCTGTTGTTGATTTTTTGATTAAAGTTTCTCTTTGCACAGATGCGTGGGGTTTTTGTCTATTGATTCTCTTTACTAAATCTTTTCTTACGTCACGAACATTTGCTTTTACTTCTACACTTCTTCCGAGTTATTGTTTGCCTTTTAGACATCGCCCCTTCAAAGCGTATCACTGGTGAGATCGATCCGGTCGCTTCTCGTACCCGTTCGCGCACTCGATCCACCTCTGCTTATCGTGGTTTGGCCCCCGTTTTGTCAGACGTCTCCGAAGCCGAATCTACTGGCCGTCGTCGTCATAAAACTACCAAAAAGCATCGCGGAGATGCACCAAAGGTAAACATTTATTTTTATGGTACCTTGTTCAGTATAATCTTTCTTACACTTTACATTTTGTACTTTAGAAAACTTCTCGGCGCGACGTCCTGACAATGAAGAGCAAGCTGATGGAAAAGGAAGCCCCGTCTGAGCCACCCAGTGTAAGTTTTTGCTGATGTTGTTATTTTGATGAAGATTTTTATTCATTGCGTTTTCTTTAGGAATCATCCAACTCTGACTCCGAGCCCAAGATGGTCGATAAGAGCGCCCGCAAGATGCACAAGAAGGTGGCAGAAAAGGCCAAGCCAAAGGAGAAGCCGGCAAAGGTTGGGACTTTGAATTCAATACTCTTCTGGTCTTTTAATTTTGGAGTACTAATATTTTTGTTTAGAAGGTGTCATCCTCGTCATCGTCATCGCAGTCTGAGCGCATTGGATCGAAGAAGGGAAGCAGCAGCTCATTGAGCAGCTCCCTCAAAGACAAAAGAAAGGAAAAGAAAGCTGTGAAACGAGGCCGTGTCAAGGTGAAATTTGAGAGTTTATTAATAGGATTACTAGTTTTTCATTTATAGACTCCACGCTCTACCACCGCAACTGCAAACAAGCGTCAGCGCAAGGTGAGCCATTCTGTGTGCCATATCTCATTAATTCTTTTGACTTTGGATGATTTTTTTAGGCTTCTCGTAGCGCATCAATCCGACGTCCCAAGCGTGCCGCCAAGAAGCCCTAACTCAATCCACCAGCAGATGTGCTTCTTCAACTCTCAACTTAAAAAATTCTTCAATAAAAAACACACATGGGCCCTTGAATAAACTGTCTGGCGGTGTTTTTCTTTATACTTTTGTTTGATTGAGGTTATACCTTTACCTATTGTACTTGAAAGATTTACAAAAACAAAAACTTAAATCCAAAAATACTGCACTCATCCGGAAACATTTTCAAATCCCACTCCAAACACCATGTTGTTCTGTTTCATTGTGCACACTTGTATGCTCTTCTCAACTTCAATGATTGGTCGAAAAATTTTGTTGAATTCCTCATTTATAGCGTTAGAATGACATTCAAAAGTTTGTATCAGCTAATGCAATCCAATCAACTGGTTTTGCTTGATCTCCTATGTGGCAATCTTGAGTTATCCGAATGATTTGGAGAACCAAAGTTTATCGAGAATTCTCAGCACTAAATCTCAGTCAAATCAAAAATCAATCGGCTCAAGCGGTCGACAAAAACAACACCGGTGATTCGGCGGGACTCGGATGATGCTCGCGATTGCAAAAAATTGGTGAAACTCAAATTTTGCGAGACATTTGTTGATTGATTTTGAGCTGTAGAGCTGTTAAAGTATCAGTGTCCACAGAATTGTCTTTCCTCAAAATCTCCACATCTTTATCAAATTTTTTTTGCCTAAATTTCTCTCCTCAATTTCATTTTCATCAATCTCATAATATTTTTTCTTCTAAATGAATACTTTCTCCCGAATTCTCCATCCGTTCAAAAGCTTCTTTGAATGAATGGAGATTTTTTGAATGGATGGAGAGCTTTGAATGGATGGAGAGCTTCGATTTTTCTTTAACTCTACTACTCTTGGTCTACTACTCTTGGTTTTTCTGTAACCAAAAGTTCAATTTGATCAAAAATATTCACATTTATATGATCTCTTGCCATCACTCTTTTATATTCTCAATCATCAATTCCTTCTAAAACATTATCCAATGTTGTATTCACAAAATTTTCCTTTCTTTTCTTAATGGAAACAATTGATTGATCTCTTTGAAAGAATAAATTCCTTTCGGATAATTGTCTACTTTTTGTGACTTTTCTTGAAACTTTTCCAATGATCTTTTTATCATTTTGCTGTGCATGAAACGGCCGAGCTTTTCGTGATTCCCATGAGCTTAAATTCTCCGGATCGATTGGTCTACTCGTCGCCAAAAATGGCAGCGTGTCGGAGTGAGATCAACTCGTACTCATTGAAGGGCTTGTAAAATAAATTGTATGTCTCCAATCGGGAAACTTTAATACATAAATGTAGCCAAGATTAAGGGCTTCAATATTTTATATAATACTTAACACATTAGGGTTGAGTTTGGCGTTTGGGAGCTAATCTACCAAAAAGAAGGTGCCGTAAATGCTGAACACCCTGTACAGAAATGCTTGTTTTTTTTGGTGGTGTCTCCACAAGTATGTGACACAGTTCAACGTAAAAGACTTAAAAGTGCTCGGTTGCGCAGCATTGACTATGGATTTTCCTTGAGTATGGTCTTAAATTTGTAATCTGTAATCAAACTCGAACGCCACAGTCTCATGTCATAGTTATTGATGCTGAAAACTATTCTTATCGCATCAACAAGTTAAGTTTTGTATTTTTATTATCAAGTCTGTGATCTGTATTCCGAAATTTGATTCTGTACATGTTATTCAGCATTCAACATTCAACATTCAACAAGATATCTCAAATTCGTGTGAGTTGAGTGGCCGGCGTCGTCGAACTTCCAGCGCCTCCACGCGATTCCGGTCTTCTCAGGCAGAAGATGCCGAGTAAACTAAAGTTGACAAGTTCTAGTCGTCGTTGAGTTAAAGCTTTCATTCTCCTCACCTGGCTGCTAGACTGAAAAATAAGCATTGAAGCAGGGAGGCGAAGGAGAAATAGCCTTTTTTGAAGAGATTCGGACCGATGAAGAGCTGGACTGGGATGGCCAACGCCAGGTAGCCGACCGAGCCGAGCAGAGTCACCATCGAGCAAGATAACATCTGAATGGTTTTGGGTGTGAGAGAAACCATTTAAAATCACCTGTATCATGAGCAATGTCTCGACTCGAGAGACCTTTGAACCGTTGCGTTTTAACTGCAAAAAAAACTTCGATTCATCAGCTTTTCATTTGTACATTTGTAAAGTTATTCCTGATCTTTAAAAGTGCAAGCACAAATGTGGAGAGTTCAAAATTCTGGATAAAAAGAGTTCTCTCGGACTCTAGAATCCAATAAAACAGAATCTAGACAATTTTCATAAACTCTAAAACTTTTCTGACTCGAAGAGATGAACTCTAGGCTAAGGAATGAATACATTTTCTCGAAAGCTAGTTCTCAGTTCCCAACAGCTATGTAGGAAATTAGCTTTGACTTTTAAAGACGGCTCAATTTACTGCCAAAGGTCAGACTTATTAACAAACCGTTTGCATTCGTTGATACGTCATCACATCGAGACAGCAAGCGAGATACGTGGGAAAGAGCACTATATGATCCTCGATCACGGTTTCACCAATCCCCTCGGGCCATAGCCACATTTTCAGCTTTTCGAGGCCGATTCGCACGACAAAAGGCAGCGCCACTTGCACGAGCGGCCATTTCAGCGTGTGTCGATACAAAAAGCCGTCGAAATGCACGGCGAAAAAACGGCCCAACGAGATCATCAGCTGAGTGTATTGCGCGATTTCGTATAGGCCGTAATCATAAGTCGCCGTGTCGTAAATTGCCTTAAAAGTGTCTGCCAACGAGACCGTACACTGGGCACTTGGCGGTAGTATCGGTAAGGTACAATAACCTTTCAATAGCCAGAATATTGAGAAGAGCATCCGAACGGCGCTCTCCACTGTTGCCAACCATCTACAGGGTAATGCACAATTACGGAAACTGAGGTGGCCCGTTCTTCTTAATGGTTATGAGGGGCGTACTCAAAATTTTCGCAGTTTTTTTCTATTTTTCTTGTTAATTAAGATTTTGGCAGCATCTTATTTGCTTTTATTAGGTTGGTGCAGATGAAACTTCCGTCACACTTGTTTGTTTACATTTTGAACCTAATAAAAGTTTTTATTGAAGATATTTGTCTATCTGAAAGAGCGTCTCTTTGCGCGTCTTTTGATATCTAAGACTTATGCGTTTTACTTAATTTGAAGTAATTTTTAGCTTCTAGAAAATGGTTGACCAAAAATTTCGAGTGCGTGTTTGCTTGTTGTATGATTTTAAACAAGGCAGAACGGCTGCGGAATCTCATCGCGTTCTGTGCAAAGCATTCGGCGATGACGTGTTGTCCGAACGTCAATGCCGGACTTGGTTTCAGCGCTTCCGATACGGTGATGAAAGATTGGAAGACGAAAAACGCGGGAATCCACCTCAAATTGTCTACAACGATGAGTTGAAGAACGCTATCGAATCGGATCCATGCCAAACAACTCAGGAGCTTGCAGAGCCATTTGACTGCGACCATACAACCATTCTCCGCCATTTGCACGCAATTGGTAAGACGAATCGGCGTGGAAAATGAGTGCCACATCAGCTCAGCGACGCAAACAAGGCGGCTCGAGTTACAATAACTGGAATTCTCGTCCGCCGCGCAAAGACCGCCGACTCCATTTTTACGGCTCCATTTTCGCGACTTCATTGTTACGGCAGATGAAAAGTGGATATGTTATGACAACACAACGAGAAAACGGCAGTGGTTGAACGCCGATGAACCGCCAAAACCGACTCCCAAACCGAATATCCACGGAAAAAAGGTGATACTTTGTATTTGGTGGAACAGTAAAGGTCTCGTGTATTTTGAGGTGCTGGATTCGGGCCAAAGCGTCACGGCGGATCTCTACAAAGTCCAATTGAGCCGCCTGGACCAGGCATTGCGTCGTCAAGGCAATAACACGGCGACTACAAAATTCCTCCACGATAACGCTCGACCCCACACCGCGAAGATCACTCGGCAGAAAATCGAGGAATTGGGCTGGGAGGTTCTGCCTCATCCGCCATTGGCCCCATCCGACTACCACTTGTTTCGGTCGATGCAGCACTCTCTAGCAGAAAAAAAATTCAAAAACCGCAAAGAAGTTGAAATCTGGGTGTCCAACTTCTTCGAGTCGCAGTTGCCCGAGTTCTTCGAAAAGGGCATCCATTCTCTGCGTGGAAGATGGCAAAGAGTCATTGATAATGATGGCGAATATCTTTTGGTTTGAGGTTCTGTATTAGGATTTTTATAATAAATTTTGTTTATGGTTCCAACGGAAGTTTCATCTGCACCAACCTAATATTTTTGAAATTTTAGAATGTCGAAGAAATCGGAGCACAGGGATCATCAAATTCTTGAGTTTGTGGCAGAAAAGCATCGCCAGTCGGCTGATGGTGGCTAAGTCTGTTGTTTCAAAGACAATTCAACGCTACAAACCCTTGGAAACGAATTCCGATCGACTAGGAGAGCCCAAGGACGACAGTGAAAACAAAGGAGACGATGCAAAAAGTGCGCGAAAGCCTACAAGCCTACAAGCTACAAGCCTACAAGCTACAAGCCTACAAGCTACAAGCCTACAAGCTACAAGCCTACAAGCTACAAGCCTACAAGCTACAAGCCTACAAGCTACAAGCCTACAAGCTACAAGCCTACAAGCTACAAGCCTACAAGCTACAAGCCTACAAGCTACAAGCCTACAAGCTACAAGCCTACAAGCCACAAGAAGCTCGTTTCCAACGAAAATTAGCCTTAAAAATGGGTATCTCAAAGCGTTCGATGGGATTGGATTTCAGTGTTTGGAGTGTCCTAGAATGCTAAGGCATGCTTTAAAGCTCATTCAACTATTGATTCTTTGAAGAAATCTCTTAAAAAAGCTTGGGGATGAACTCAGTCTAATCTTTCTGCCATCGTTAATGCCTTTCCGCATCGTTAATGCCTTCTATCGCAACAAAAGGAGATCTTTTTGAAAAGAACTAACTTCTCTTGAGATATAAAGAATAAATTTGTTACCTAAGATTAACAAAAAAACAACAAACAGTAGTTATTAAATCAGAAATCTATTGATTTCCTTACGAAAATATATTGATCATTCTTCAATAGAAAAGTAGACTTAAATTGAACATTAAAACTAGACAACGGTAGTTGTCTAGTTTTAATGTTACTGTAAATACGGTAATTGTGCGCTGTATAATTGGATTTGAGGATTTAACAATTTGAGTACCAAATGAACCAAAAAGCAATTCAGTTACTTCTTAGACAATTTATTTTTTTTCTGCAAAATTTGGGGTAGGCTAATTTCCGCAATTTTTTTTTGCGATCAACTGGATCGTTTTCGCAACTCGCCATAACTTTCTTCTAAGTGAGCCAATCGTTATGATTTTGGTTTCATTTTGTAGATCTTAATAAGTGTCCAATTTGAAACCGAATTTTGAATCCAATCCAAGTCCAATTTGAAACCGATTGGCCGATTCGTAGTCGTGCCGAGGGCCCTAAGTGCTTCGATTCGGGACTTTGCGTCAAATTCTTTGCACACCCTGTCATAACTTTCTTCTAAGTGGGCCAATCTTTATGGTTTTGGTGTCATTTGTTGCACTTATTGAGATCTACAAAATGAAACCAAAATCATAACGATTGGTCCACTTAGAAGAAAGTTATGGCTAGTTGCGAAAACGATCCAGTCGATCGCAAAAAAAATTTGCGGAAATTAGCCTATCCCCAAAATTTAGTTATTCATTGGGAAAAAGTCGACATCGGGACGCTTGAAGGGACGCTTGAAGGGACGCTTGAAGGGACGCTTGAAGGGATGCTTGAAGGGACGCTTGAAGGGACGCTTGAAGGGACGCTTGAAGGGACGCTTGAAGGGATGCTTGAAGGGACGCTTGAAGGGACGCTTGAAGGGACGCTTGAAGGGACGCTTGAAGGGACGCTTGAAGGGACTTATTCTCGAGATTTCGCTGTATTGAATATAATTTGCGTCTTTTATGTTCTTTTTGTATCATCATCGTAATATTGTTTGATTTATGTTTTGTAAACGAACCGAATCGGCACCGATAGGCGATAATTGATAGCCGAAAAGTAGATGGCCGCCGGAAAAGTGATGATCCCAAGTATAAGAATCTGAAAATTTTCACAGAATATTTCCTACTTAGTGACAAAAACCCTCTGATAGAAATTAGCGACTTTCGAAAGCCCTGTCAAGAAAGTCGAGTCAAAAAAGAGACGAATAACGGTATCGTTTTGATTCGACTCATTTGAAGTTGATTGACGTGTACTTTCCAGAATTCAAACAACTTGTCCCCAGTCATCAAACACCATGACCATCATGACGTCATGACGTCATTCGTGACCTGATTAACGTCAATGCCTAACCTCTCGGTTAAATAATAAGCTAGTAATGCCTAACAGCTCGGTTAAATAATAAGAGCCTATAGCTATTTCAAAGAAAAGACATTAACATCAAGTAATGCATTATTCTAAACATCAAGTAATGCAAAGCGCTCAATTAACCCAAAAAAAGCTAGAAGAAATACGATTTCCCGATTTTGTTCGTAATTCGATCTAAGCAACACTTCGGAACACAGCCTAAGCCTACAGGGTGCGTCATAATTATTGCAACAAGATACTCAAGGCATTGCACACCAAGAAGTTTCACTGGAAGAAGATTTTTAAACATAAATAGCTTTATTTAACAGTAACAAATAAGGAAACAAGAGATCATTCGATATGATCGCCTTTTGCCTTGATAACAGCCCTTAATCGGTTCGGATATGCCTCCACTGCGGCCCGAATGTCATCTTGAGGAATCGCCTTCCATCCTTTGGTCAAAGACTTCTTCAAGGTCAAAGACTTACTTCTTCAAGGTCAAAGACTTCTTCAAGGTCAAAGACTTCTTCAAGGTCAAAGAGCAGACATTAGCCTCTAAGATTGCCCAAATGGAAAAGTCCATCACATTGAGATCCGGTGAGTTTGGAGGCCATTGATCCTTGGTGATCACTGAGGGAAAGTTGGCCACACACCAGTCCTGAACCGTCTTCTTCGTGTGAGCGGGAGGCAATTAGGCAAGAATAAAGAAGATAGAACGCAACACAACAAAAAAGGGGGCAAAAAAAATAAGAAAGCTGTTTGGAAAGCGGTCTTTGAACTCTTGTTGCAATAATTATGACGCACCCTATAAATGCAGCCAAACATCCAACCAGAAACGATGTGACCGCGATGACGGTATCGATTCGTGCGGCTGAGTCTTTGTCAATATCCACTGCTATGATTTGCCAATGTTGAAGATAGATGTAAAGCACTAGGCAGTGAATACCTGACAATGAAATTAGCAACAGATTTCCCTTTTCTTTACCTTCCAAAACAAGGGCCAAAACAAAGGCGATGATCAATTCTTGTAAACGGAAAAGTCTCGTAATAAAGCTCATAAATATATAAATATTATTGATGCATGTTGGTTTGTTGGTTCAATTTCTTTTGGTGATTTTCGAGGATAATTTTCCCCACCGCCATTTTCCCACCTTCATCTTCTTGTACTTTCTGTACGGCAGCAAAAGTCGATCACAAGTGAAATTTTTTTTTGTTTTGCCTTCGAAATGTAGTTCTCGGAACAAAGAACATAAAAAATTCGTTCAAATTGTGAAATTTCATTCAATGAAAGATGAAACTTCGACATAGCAAAAGAAAGGAAAGTTTTTGTCTTTTACAGGCTCTTGTATAGTTCAGAAAACGCAAAAAGGACTTTTCGTCTAATCGTAGATTTTGTTTTAACTAATATGAAAGATTTTAGAACAAAATTTCGACAAAAAACAAAAGACAGACAGAAAAGTGGACAGAGAAATCGACGAACTTTTGTCATAAGTGGGTCTAGCCAATTAGAAGTCAAACGATCTCTCTCTATTGGCTTTTCAAAGTTGATATCCTGAAAAGAGCGCCTAAAACGATCGCTAGTTATTCGGAGCTTTGTTCTGAATTTAGTTCACTTCTATTCTTTACGGTTCATTGCCATTTTTCAAATGCGCCTAAATTATCATGAGAGCGGACTGAGTGCTGGTGTTCTAGGAATGAGATGTGTGCTTCATCCCAGAGTCGTCCGCCACTATTGTCTATGCATCGTGTTTTTTGCGTCGATCATCAACTGTGCTCATCTTTTAGTTTCTTTTTGTTTTTACAGTTCAATTTAGAATCGGAGTTTGGAGATTCAATTTGGATTTCAATTTGGAGACATCTCGTTTTTTTTTTCTACTTCTTCAACAACAAAGAGAGGCGGGGACAGATCGGGAAGCGAAGAATGATTTTCCTCCCAAAAATGTCATCTTATAAGTGGCAAAGGGGCGGGGCTTGCCAACGGCAACGAAAGTAAACGTATTTTGTCGCGTACTTTGATCGCTGAGCCTCGCCCCTTTGCCCGAAGAATTCCCCATCTATCTCTAAAATGAAATACGTTTACGTTCCTTGTCGTTGGCAAGCCTCGCCCCTTTGCCCGAGGCCCTTTGCCCCTTATAAGATGACCTTTTTGGGAGGAAAATCATTCTTCGCTTCCCGATCCGTCCCTGCCTCTCTTTGTTGTTGAAGAAGTGGAAAAAAAATAACGAGATGTCTCCAAATCCAAATTGAATCTCCAAACTACAATTCTAAATTGAACTGTAAAAACAAAAAGGAACTAAAAGATGAGCACAGCTGATGATCGATGCAAAAAACATAGACATAGCCATAGACAATAGTGGCGGACGACTCCGGTGACAATCATCGGACGAAGCACACATCTGTTTTGACGATTAGAAAAGATGAGTCATTCGACTTGGCTTTCAAGCGTTTCTCCGTCAAGATCACATACAAGAAGAATAAATTCAGAAATATACCCACGACTGGCATGATCATCAGGAAAAGGGTGATCACGTGCATCTAAAATTATGAAAAACTCAATGCAGTCAATTCTCGATCTAACGATTCTAGATTTTTGCATTTAAAACGAAATTCGTATGTAATGTCGGCGAAAGCACGCGGTTTTCATTTTTTTTTCCTTGTTTGTCTTAAATAACTGGATAGAAACGAACTTTTCCATGTCGAACTCAATAATTATGATCAGAGAAAGGAAATAAAGTGATACGGAGAAAGATTAATGTTCCAAATGATACAGAAACCGTGCCTAACATGTACCCCATTATTAGAGAAAACCGAGTTTGGACTTTTAGAGATTGAAGTATAGGAAAAATGCTTCATCGCTATTTTAAAATAGTTGCCGAGCTTTAGAATGTATGTTTTTGAAAAGTAAACCAATAGAAACTGATTGGAAAAACCACCAAATAAACATAAATAGGGGTATTAGAAGTATTTTTCGACAAAATTTCTCAGAATCTTTGTTTTGTTTGTGCGTACCTATTTACGTAAAAATTGTTTTGGTTCACCCGACAAAACTGGTCAGACAAAACTGGCTGATTAAAGACAAAACCGTTGCTTGGTCCATCTTTCCACAATCCTATTCTTCAATGATTCAAATTCACTCTATAGAATACGCTTTTTTTTTCAAATCTCCAAACTCTTCCGGATTCAATGTTTAGTCTTTAATCAGCCGTTGTAAACGGTGAACTGACCGTCTCTATCTCGATCGAGTTGACGTGCACTGATAACAAACGGCTCGTTCATTTAGTTCGTGCCAAATCTTCCAGGCCATTTTTTTTTATTGTATCTTGTTGAATATGTTTTTATCTATTGGGTTGACCGATAAGTAATGATTTCGATTTCATTTTTTTTTCTTGTTTTTCTTAAATAACTGGATAGAAACGAACTTTTTGATGTCGAACTCTAATTATGATCAGAGAAAGGAAATAAAGTGATACGGAGAAAGACTATTTTATTGAATAAACAAAAATATTTATTCAATAAAGCCATCTAAATCAATCAAAAATACTTGCCATCTTTTTCAATAAACTTTCATTTTACTGGTAGATGACGAATTCTTCTCGCGTAAAAAAAAATTGATTTTAAGTCACTGTACTCATTTTTTAGTATCTTTTATCTTCAAAGTGCTCTCCGAATAGGGTATTTTCCATTGACCGAAATAAATGGTAATCTAATGGAGCTAGATCTGAAGAATATGCTGGGTGGGAGGAGAAGCTCTCAGTTCAGGATCTTCGTTCTAGAGTGAGTCAGTTTAGCATTGTGTAGGCGAGCATTTTCATGCTGCAATATGGCCTTTTTGTCTCAAGAACTTTAGCCAGAATCTGCAATTGATTACTGTATAGTTGAGAGTTAAGTGTTTACTTGTTATCCTAGAACTTCCAGCACTCTCAGTATCCAATAACTCCCAGTAAAAACCTTCACCGGTTTCCCGGAGTGGGCGCTTTCAATCAAAGATTTGTCCCCATTTTTAAACATGTAAAAGCATCAACATGTAGGAGAGAGAGTCATGACCATATACTTTTGTTATGTGGTCAAGAGCTAGACTAGTTATGTGGTCAAGAGCTAGACTAGTTATGTGGTCAAGAGCTAGACTAGCTATGTGGTCAAGAGCTAGACTTGAAGATGAGCATTTAGGAAACCCAAATAGCATAACATGCTCAATATGTCCAGCAAATTAGCACTAATCCAATAAGAAGTAGTTAATAAAGAAATAAGAAAGCATGCCCAATCAATGAAAGTCTTTTGAAATAAGAGAAGTCTGTTGTCTCTTTTAGTGATAAACACTGAGGGTCAACTAAAACTTTACGGCAAAATCTCCCTTTCATTCACGTAACTCATTACATATCGGCCAACCCAATACTTACTGAAGCTAGAGTAGAAGTTAAGCTTGGTTTAGCAAAGTGATAGTTTCGTAGGTTGTGTGAATTCATTATCATTGTGTTGTGTGAATTCATTATCTCAAATGCAAACATGTGCCTATAAATAATCTGTTAGAAAAAGAGAATTTTGCTTTGATATGAAAGCAAAAGTTTGTCTTTCATGCTAGGAAAATAAACCACAAAAAATTAGTGTCTCTAAGATCTCTAAGATCAAGAAAATGTTCACCAACTGCATTGTCTTTGCCATTTTTCCTTACTTCTTTCTCGGTCTCTAAACAAACTCTAAATGAAATCAGTATTCAGGTAAGATGAGAACCGCTCTGTTATTGGCTCTAGTGGTGGGCGTCTGCTCGGGAGAAGTTTATCGACAGCCGCTGATTCGTCGAGTCTCCTCGATGACCCGCATGATCAATAAAGGCACTTGGGGAGATTTCGTTAGACGGAGAGACCACGAACGCGTCAATATTAATCAGTTTGGCTCCTACCCACAAAAGGTCCTTTTTCTGATCTACCGTTGGAAATTCTGTGTATAAGGGTTTTTTTTCGCAAGTCATCCCTCACTACCTTTCTTAGAGAAACAAAGTTTTACACGGTGATCGAAATCACATTGTTATTATTAGCAATTTTTGGAGCAAAGCATCAGCAATCACTCCAAAATTCAGTTTATTTTAAAGAGCAAACTTTGTCCAATACTTTTGCCTTAATCAACACATTTAAACACATTTCTTTAAGGTTTACGACTATCAGGACATTGAATACATTGCGAATATCACGATCGGTACACCACAACAACAATTTAAGGTTCGTAATTTCATCAAATGACTGTCGAAATAAGAAACGGAGATTGGGGTTTATAGTTCGCTAGCATTTACAGGGTGACCAGAAATAACGTTGCGGCCTAATTTAGCCTATTTTTTTAAAACCCAAAAAGATTTTGTAACAGAAACAATTTTTTATTAACAACATGATATAAAGAGAGCATAAAATCTACTTTTCTTCAAAGTGGCCACCTTTGGCTCCGATGCAGAGCCTCAAACGCTTGATGAAGTTTTCGGCGATGGGCCGCAGCTCGGCCGGAGTGATTCGATCCCATTTCCTGGTCAACGATCGCTTAAGAGCCTCCAGACTTTTGTGGGGTTTTGCACAAGTCCTTGCCTCCAAAATTGACCAGACACTGTAGTCCAACGGATTGAGATCGCACGAATACAGAGGCCATTCCTGGGCCGAGATGAAATCCGGAAAGTTTGTCCTACACCAGTCCTGTGTGGATTTGACTCGATGAGAAGGAGCGGAGTCTTGTTGGAAGGTCCAAAATCCGTTACCAAAATGCTGTTGAGCTCATGGAAGCAAAAAATCCTCAAGAATCTTTTTTTGGTACACATCCTTACTGATTTTTACCCCAGAATCGATGAAAATGCGAGGAGTTTTGCCGGCTGCACAGATTCCGGCCCATACCATGACCGATTTGGGATTTTGTCGGTGTTGAACAATCGCAGAGCTGCCCGGAGAGGACGTTGACCAAATCCAATCGTTTTGGTGGTTGTAGCTTTGCTCCACCGAGAAGAGCTTCTCGTCAGAAAACAGGATTCGCTCCCAGTGTGGAATTGCGGCCCGCTTGAGAAGCTCTCGGCATCTTTCGGATCGTCGTCGTCGAGTTATTGCCCTTGCTTGAGCTTGTAAGGGTGAAGATTGAGCTCATTTTTGGCCATAAGTCGAACCGATTCGCGAGCGATCCCCGTCTGTCGAACGATCTTTCTCATTGAGACCTGTGGATTCCGGGCCACGCGCTTCTGAATCACTTTGCGATTTCTGGAGGTGTTGACTGTTCTTTTTCTGCCTCTTCCTGGACGATCTCCATCGTTGCCAAGCTCCTTGTATCGCTTAATCGCTTTTGAGACGAGCTGATGAGAAGCACGTAGCAATCGCGCGATCGCACTCACGCATTAACCTTGACGATGAAGCTCCAGAATGGCAGACCCCTTGTTTATCATCTTATAAAAAAATGAATAGACTTGAAACAAAGTAAAGCAACAAAGAAACTAATAAAAACAATCACAGAGAATAGGTTAAAAATAAATTTGTCTCCCAAAATTCAAACTTTAAGGATTTTAGGCTGCCGAAAATCCCGCAACGTTATTTCTGGTCACCCTGTATCTAGCGAAAGTTCGATAGCATTGATCAAATAGCTTCTTTTTGGTTGTCCTTGACACGGGATCTGCGTTTCTATGGGTTCCTGATGTAGGCTGTCATGCTAGTGTCTGCAACAATAAGACAAAATTCGACCAGAAGCAATCATCTACATACCAGGTTTTTTGAAATCACAAATTGAGCATTCGATTCAATTCGATTTTCAGGTCAATGGGCAGACCTGGAATCTCGGATTTGTAGCTGCCACAGCGAGCGGATTCCTTGGTATTGATACATTGAGATTTGGAGGTACCACAGAGCAACAAGTGATCGAAATATTGGAGACTAGTCAAACACCTTTTAGTTAACTGTGCCGGTGACAACGTTTGGCCAAGCAACGAGTATGTCCACCTACTACGACTACCAGGACTTCGATGGACCTCTCGGATTAGCTTTTCAGGCGCTGGCCACCGACAATGTCATGCCTCCACTGATCAATGCTATCAATCAGGGTCAGTCTAGAGAATTGGTTCGAAAATAGGATCGGATTATTTGGATATATCTGATAGAGCTAGTCAAGTTAAGTAAATTGCTTTCTACTCTTCATTTCGGAGGTTTCACCACTCCAGAAACCTTTTAATGACACTAGCAAATCTTCAAATTTGATCTTGCTCAGCTATTCCAATGATTGCTCAGAAATTAGTGTTTATTCATTGAAACCCCACACGAAAAAAAGTGTTGAAACACTCTAAGGTGAGGCTGAAGTTCAGGTCTTCTCGATGCTCCTCTCTTCAGTGTCTATCTAATGCACAATGGAGCTCAAAATGGAAACGGAGGGGTGTTCACGTATGGTGGAGTTGACAACATCAATTGTGGAGATGTGATCGCCTATCAGCCGCTCTCTTCGGCTACCTACTTTCAATTCAAGGTAATTTCGATTTCATTAGATGAATCGGTTCTCGGAGTAGTTAAATGTGAAAGTGACTTGTACTCAAAGAAAAGTACATATGTCGTAGCCGTTTACAAATCATTTGTAATCGGCTAGTCGTTTACTAATGAAGTTTTTTCGCTAGCCGTTTACGAATGAAATGTTTAAATGCCATTTTATATTGCTTGAATGTCAATTTTTCCAACAACATTTTTATCAATGATTTCGGATTCATTTTTGCCTCTTTTTGCCTTTTCTTGATTACTTTTTGATTTTATTACACACTCATACGTTTTTTTCAGTATGAACTTTTGCTCAGCCAACTTGACGCATATCAAGTCTTGAAGAAGCAAACGTATCGTATCTACGTATCTACGATGACCTAAAGTTGAAGTGGGTAAGCTAAAGTTGAGTAAGTGGGCCAGTTGAAGTTGAAATGACTGTTCGTCTCCCGAATCGATGTTGTTGATCGACCTAAAATCGTTTGGTCTCTTTTTGGTGTCGTTCTGTCTTCGGAGGATGGTTTATATCGGATTGGCACCAAGAATCGAGTTTTGCAGTAAAAGTTAGTTATTCATTACTCTTTAACATTTAGGCTCACCCGAAATTAGTTTGAATCGATCAAGAACAATTCAAGAACAATTCAACAACAATTCAACAATAATTCAACCACAATTCAACAGCAACAACAATTCTCTCAACAACAACAACAATTCAACAAGAATTCAACAACAACAACAATTCTCTTCACCGATGACGTTCCTCTTCAAGAGACATCGTTTCTTTTCCGTTTTGCATAAATGGTTTTAAATCAAAAACACGGTAAACTCAGTTGAATAGACCCATGTTTGCAAAAGCATTTGGAAATTTGGGAATTTGCATTTAAACATTTCATTTGTTAGCCTGTTAGTTAGGCTAGCCGATTACGAATGATTCGTAAACGGCTACGACAAATATAACAAATGTTTCAGATGGATGGCATCAAAACCGGAAGCTATTCGAACAACAAGGGATGGCAAGTCAACTCCGATACGGGAACCTCATTTATTGGCGAGTTTTTTTCTATGTACATAGTGGGAACAGTGATAAGCGAGCTTTATTTCATATCTAATACGTACCGTAAATACTGTAATAGTACCCCACCCCTCTCGTACAGTCGCGTAGTCGCAAAAGTTTTTTAGTATTTCATTTTTTTCGAAGCGCCCGTACTTTCAAAAAATGCGTCTTTGGTATCAAAAAATAGCCCTGAATTTCAGCTATTTTTGATACCTAAGCGCGCATTGTAGCATAAATCAGTGTCGAGAAAAACTCGTGCAAAGCTAGACTACGCAACACTCCGCATCGTCATTATGGGGGTGGGGTACTATTACAGTATTTACGGTAGGTAGGTTTCGAATCTCAAAATGCGAAAGAAAATCTCACATCTCACATCTTGCAACCTTTTATAAATCTTACAAATCCAATAACTGTGAACTTGCCTTGAAATTCAAGATAAATTCAAGATAAATGTATTTAATCACACGGTTTTTATTGACCAGACCGAAAGAAAATCTTTTAGAAATGATCTTTGTTGAGCAGATCTTGATTTTTTACTAGATCAGAGCGTCCCTCTTTTTAGAAATGACGTTTAATCTAGAGTTGACCCATCTTAACGAGATGCTACTTCAATACATTTACCCAATGTATGTAGGTGGGACACCAGCTGACGTGAAGGCCATCGCCAAAGAGTTGGGCGCCGTCTGGGATGAGATGGATCAACTATACACGATTGACTGCAAAGCACAGGTTTTTGTCAGTGCTCAGCTTTCACAAGTTTTCATCAGGCTTGGCTCACATTGACGATTGGGGGACGCGACTACACCATCTCGGCTGCAAATCTTATCGTTCCGGGTGACAAAAACAACTGCTGGCTTGCCCTTTTCGAGTTGTCTTTTGGAGGATTTGGTGAGTGTTTTCCAAGAAGTTATGCATAGCATTAAATGTTGTATTTTTGCCCAAGCCACGGTGAAGCTAACGGTTATCTGGGTAGAGGATCAGCTGAGTCTCATCTTTAAAATTTTTTAGCAATTTTCTTAATTCAGCGGCCTTTTTAAACTCAAATACAATATTTGTCAAAGTAAGACATCAACTGGATCGTTGACGAAATGAGTGGTTCATTTGAGCATTTGAGCAATGAGGAAGTCATTTGAGCGCCACACATCCGCGCGAAAATGCAATTGCCGTTAAATTTGCTCAGAGTAAGTGCTATTCAATGCGAAAGAAATCCCCTGAATCTGATTTTGAAAGAATTTTTTGAATCCATCTGATAGATTTATTTAAATACGAAACAAATCGAAAAAATTGCTATTTTTCAATATAAACGCCAAAATTGACTCTCTTCTACAAGCTGGTTCTTGGCTAAAAGGAAATTTTGGTGAGCGTCCTATCCCAAATTTTATGCTCGCCCTATACCAAATTTTTTTTATGCTATAAAAATCTGTATCTACGTGATGTTTATAATTTTTTATGACATTCACACTTGATGTTGTTAAGCTTTATTGATTGTTACCAATTTTCTTGTTATCTAAAAATAAACTCTTCAAAGAAATGGGTAAAATTTTCTACAAATAATCTGAATTTTCAGAGTAATCTTTTGGCCTTTGACATTTACCGAAATGTTGAAGCAAAATTCGAAATCTATGTAACAAAAAAACTACCAAGCACTTAAATGAACGTTTTTGGCTTGGCGCTGAAATGAATTTGGCCTGAGATAGCCTGAAATGAACCCTTAAGATCTTCTGTATCGAATTAGAACAATCAATCACAGCAAAAATTGCCCTATTTTAGGTCCCGAATGGATTCTTGGCTACCCGTTCATTCGTGAGTTCTGCAACATCTACGGTTTGTTTTACTCAATCCTCATCAATAGATTCTCAATTTGCAGATATTGGCCAGAAACGCATCGGTTTCGCCCTCTCGAAGCAAATCTGAACTATAAGTTGAATAAAGTCTGAATAAATGGATTACCACATCGAAAGAACTTTTTAGCCTTTTAAAAAGCCTTTTTAGCCTTTTTACCCATCCATAATATATGTATCTAGTTTAAAAGAGAAAACACAAAAATTTGAGAAGAACGATTTTCAATTTCGCTCAATTTCGATTTATCAATTCAAAAACCAACCCCTATCCGCTTGGATCATCGCTTTTTTTGAGGTTTTTTTATCAAACTCGAGAGCATCTGGGATGCGGCTCCTTGTGACCAAATTTTGAACATAAATACAGTCGACTCTTTATAACGGAATGGAATTTTGGTCCCGGCCAACGCTAAGCTATATATAATGACACTCTATATAACGGAAAAATTTTTTTTGGTCCCTTTCATTCCGTTATAAAGAGAGTCGACTGTAATTACTATTCAAAAAAAGTAGCAAACAGCTTAAGTTTTTAAAATTTTATAATTTAAATATTTACAAGTGTTTCATCTATGATCGGGCAGTCATTATTAAAGTAATTCTTTCAGTTCAAAATTTGATTACAAGGCGTCCCAGAGTCTCTGGGATTCGCGTCCTAGAGACTCTCGAGTTTTGGAGATTTGAAATTTCTATAGAATTGCTAATTTTGAGTTTCTGAGTGAAGTATCGAAGTAAAGTGTTGAAAATAAACACTAGATTTAGACTAGATAAAAGATAAAAGACACTAGATAAAAGTTTTATGCGAAATGGTCAACTCTAGCCGGAGCCACGCACTAGAGAAAAAGTGGCCGTAATTCTTGTAACTAACTTCGAAAGACTAACGACTAATCACCGTTGTGATTGCACTTTGTGTTCTGTCCAGAAAAACAATATCATGTGAGTCTGAGTCAAGAAAATTTCCTAGAATTCGAGGGAATTTTCGAATTTATGAACATGTTCATCTTTGCGTAGAATATTCAAAAAGACAGATCTCTCAAGGGAAATCATAGGCTCAAAGAGCGCCTTTTCTGATCTTTGCCTGATTGTACTTGATGAAAAGAATTGAATTTCGATAGCGCTATTTGGGTAAATTTGATTTCTCCGTGAAATGATCGCCGATTCGTCAAATACGATCCTCCAAATCGTGATCATGATCATCGTGAGTTTACCGTTTATAATGAGATACCCATTTTGATTTGAGGCTACAAGGCTGATTTGAGGCTGATTTGAGGCTCAGTAAAAATGACTTAAAAGTTTTGGGTTCTAAATGAGTTCTGAGAGCTTTCTCTACTACAGGGTTACACAAAAGTTCCGAGCCACCTTGTTTTTTCGGCTTTTTAGCTTTTAAGCTAACGAAAAACTATCCAACACTCAATCTTCTTATAAAAGTTTTTAATTATAGCAAGTTTATGTTAGATTTAAGGCTTTACAAGCAAAGATCAAGTCTTTTAATTGACAATATATTGCCAGAATCAAGCCAAATGCCTGATCGCTTGAATTTCCCTCAAAAACGATCTGAATTTTCTGAAATCTCTAATTAAACATAGTCAGTCAAAAGCTATTTTATTTTTTAAACTCTTTCTAGACGAATAGCAAAATTTCAAGTTGATTGAAGCTGAGGAGCAAAAGTTATAGCTCGAAAAAGTTGGCGAGTCATAATCGGATTAGTAATAGATCTGTTTACTCGATGTTTAGGTTCTGTTTTTGCGAAAAAATGTTTTCTAAAGCAAAATTTCATCTAGCTTTCGAATTTCTAAATCGTTTTTCCAAAAGGTTTTTTTAGTCGGTCGTAAAAACGAGGTGGCTTTTGTGTCTAACTAACTAGATGTTCTATATTTTATATGTGTTATATGTTATTTGTTAATTATATGTTACATGTTCTAACAAACTCTAACTTAACTATATTTCTATCATCAAATTTACAATACAAATACATTACAAACAAAGTTTTTTCGATTTCGATTTTTTTTTGCACTTAAGTTTGGGTATATCCAAAACGAAATCTAGACTGAATAATCCAGCTAATATAGACTGAATATCAAACCTAAGCTGAAAACCGTAACCTAGACTGAATATCTTAATCTAGACTGAATACCCTAATCTAGACTGAATACCGTGATCCAGCTAATCTAGACTGAGGACCGTGATCCAGCTAATCTAGACTGAATATCAAATCTAAGCTAAATACCGTATTCTAGACGGAATATCTTGATCTAGACTGAACACCCTAATCTAGACTGAACACCGTGATCCGGCTAATCTAGACTGAATATCAAATCTAAGCTGAAAACCGTAATCTAGACTGAATATCTTAATCTAGACTGAATACCCTAATCTAGACTGAACACCGTGATCCAGCTAATCTAGACTGAATATCAAATCTGAGCTGAATACCCTAATCTAGACTGAATACCCTAACCTAATATTCGATGATTTCTCATTTTCCCATTTTAGATCGGTATCGTTGGACTGAGTGCAGGTGTTCTAGGAATAAGATGTGTGCTTCGTTCGACGATTGTCACCGGAGTCGTTCGCCATTATTGTCTATGCATCGTGTTTTTTGCGTCGATCATCAACTGTGCTCATCTTTTCTGGGGAGTGCCGAGGGCTATTTGGTGAACTTTTTTGTGATGCAGCTAAAAGAATTTGAGAAAAAAAGCAGCTTTATTCGGAGAGCGTTGGCTTGAAATGAATAGAGATTTGTTGAGTTTTAACTTTTTAACTAAACAGAGAAAAGTTCAGAATGAAAAGCAAGATTTCAAAACTTTTTTGCACCCTCAATGCCTAGACTAGTGAATTGGCATGGTTTTCATAGAAGATTTGACGCTCAATCTAAAAATTGAGCTTCCCAGCGATGAAAGCAATTTCACAAACTTGAAAAACTTCTAACAATCGCATCCTTCTAACAATCGCCTCCATTCAGGCCAACTTCTCTCAACGTGCCCATCATTGACAACATCTTTGGATTTGCCGCTTTTATCTCTGATTCTTTTGTTTACATTTCGAAGGTAAATGGTTTTATTCGATGATTTATAACTAATCTCTTTCAGATCCTTTTGGCAGTGAATCGCTTTTTTGCGATAGCTTTTGGTGGCAACTTTTTCATCTACATTGAAAAAGCCTATTTAGTGCAATACTTGATCCTTTTTGGTTATCCTATGCTGGTCTCTTGGCCGATGTTCTTTTGTCAGTTCTTAAACGTTTTCTTATTACAGTCAGAAATGTGAAAAGTATTGCGCAAAGCGAAAGTTTCGATAGGTGGTGGAAATTTTTGAGATCAGATCAATTCTGAGATCAGAAACAATTTCTTTGGTTAATTTTATCCATGACTGTACATTTTTATTTATCAGTAACAAAATCAAAATTTCAGCGGGTTATCGAGTGACGTGGGCCAATTGGAACAATTACTACTCCATGGAAAATGGGCTCTTTTCGGAACTATATCTCCAGGCCACTCAAGTGGTTTGTCGAGCTTTACTTTCAGAAATATCGGTCGGTTTAGTACGCGGGCTATGTGGTGATTGGGGTTTGCACGGTGCTCGACTCGCTCACTTACTCGTTGATTCGACAACGACGCAGGGTGAGTATGCTATAGCCAGAATCGGCCATCGAGCAAGAAATCGAGCTAATCAAGCACATCAACTTATCCGCTACCACGGATAGTGAGGTCTTTAAATTGATCTCCCGTTTCACTCATGAAATTCATTAGGTCAACGAAAGCAAGAATCGTTTTAGCACAGTGGCTCCTAGACAAATTCAAAGCCGAACCTAATTTCATCTTCGTTTTCTCGGCCGTTTCTTGACCGATTGCTCTGAAATTTTATCTACAAGTTGAAAAGGTCAATTTCTATTTGTAGACAAAATTTCAGAGCAATCGGTCAAGAAACGGTCGAGAAAACGAAGATGGAATTAGGTTCGGGTTGGAATTTTCTCATGTCTAGTGGCTTCGCCCATTTATCTCTGTGTACATGTCCAATTGAAAATCTTCAGAAATATCACACGACGCGGATGAGTGTGGAGCAACTTCGCTTGCGAAAAGACCACATTTTAATCACACAAGTCGGTTTAGCAGAATTTGCAAACGTTAAACTAGATCCACTTGCGGCAATACACAGGGTGACAATTATGGAAACTCGTTTTTTCGACTGTAAAGTACTGTAACGACTGACCCAATTATTCGATTCCCCTAATTTCATATTTACCGTATTTATTCTAATAGAAACGCATGCGCTTCTATTTTTCAAAAATTCCACCAAATTTGCTTTTAGTAGAATAAATACAGTATATGAAATTTCACCCCCATAATGACAGTTAATTTCTGCGGTCATTGTCAATTTTTAGCGCAGAAACACAGTGTTACGCTTTTTATAGTACTTCGAAGTTCAAAGGTGACAACCTCTCGGCAGAATGAGAGCCAATCGCTGAATTTCCTGAAAGCTGAGCAGAGCAACGATCTGTATGGCAACTCTCAATGATGATTCCTGATTTGCTGTCTTGCAAAGTTAATGCATTTATTTTGTGATATTTGTCTAAATGTAACTAAGAAGAGAAAAACTAAAAAATTGATTGATTTGTGGGCAATTCTTGAGTTGAAAACTATTGAACATGATGATTCTGCCGAGGGATTAGCACCTCTGAACTTCAAATTACTATAAAAAGCGGCACACTGTGTTTCTGAACTAAAAATTGAAATTGACCGCAGAAATTAACTAGAAATTTCATATAAATTTGAAATTAGGGCAATCGAATAATTGAGCGTCGATTTATAATCGAAAAAGCTTCCTTAGTTGTGCACCATCCTGTATTATTAATATTGTGATTGATCTACTGAACGATTCTCCTTTAGTTACTCACCGAGGCTAACCAAAGAGATTTCAGATGTTGTGCAATAATTTGACGGTGATCCTCGAAATAGGAGCCGTCACTGTGATCCTGGCGCTTGCCCAGCCATCGAATATGCTTTTGTTCATGTGCTGGACGGTCTCCTGGATGATTGCTAGCGGCGTGGAAGGGTGAGAATTTGGCTGAATGGGAGGTCGACTTGATTCACCGACATTACCTAATACAAGAAAATTTTTGCAATTCTTTAATGGTAGTCAAGACATCAAAAAAAAACGAACAATTAAGAGTGACATTAGACTTTAAAACATTCATTTAGTCTCCTCTTCGTCATATTCTTTCGCGAGCATCATCCGTGTCGCACCAAATCACCGGTGTTGTTTTTGTCGACCGCCTGAGCCGATTGGTTTTTGATTTGACTGAGATTTAGTGCTGAGAATTCTCGATAAACTTTGGTCCTCCAAATCATTCGGATAACTCAAGATTGCCATATAGGAGATCAAGCAAAACCAGTTGATTGGATTGCATTAGCCGATACAAACTTTTGAATGTCATTCTAACGCTATAAATGAGGAATTCGACAAAATTCTTCGACCAATCGTTGAAATTGAAGAGCATACAAGTGTGCACAATGAAACAGAACAACATGAAGTGTTCGGAGTGGGGTTCGATTATGCGAAAATGTTTCCGGGTGAGTGCAGTATTTTTGATCTTTGTAAATCTTTCAAGTACAATAGGCAAAGGTATAACCTCAAACAAACAAAAATATAAAGAAAAACACCGCCAGAAAGTTTATTCAAGTGCCCATGTGCTTTTCGAAGAATCGCTTAAGTTGAGAGTTGAGAAGAGGCACATCTGGTGGATCAAGTTAGCGCTTCTTGGCGGTGCGCTTAGGACGTCCGGTTGATGCGCTGCGAGAAGCCTAAAAAGAAAAATCATACAAAGTCAAAAGAATTAATGCGATACGGCACATAGAAAGGCTCACCTTGCGGTGACTCTTGTATGGAGCTGCGGTGGTAGAGCGTGGAGTCTATAAATGAAAAACTAGTAATTCCATTAATAAACTCAAATTTTACCTTAGCACGGCCTCGTTTCACAGTTTCCTTTTTCTTTCCTTTGTCTTTGCGGGAGCTTTTCGATGAGCTACTACTTTCCTTCACCGATCCACTGCGCTCACCCTCAGACTGCGATGACGAGGACGGGGATGACACCTTCTAAACAAAAATATTAGTACCCCAAAATTAAAGGACCAGAGGAGTATTGAATTCAAAGTCCCAACCTTTCCGCTTCCCTTTGCCGGCTTCTCCTTTGGCATGACCTTTTCTGCCGCCTTCTTGACCATCTTGCGGGCGCTCTTCTCGACGGTTTTCTTCTTGGGCACGGAGTCCGAGTCGGATGACTGCTAAAGAAAAAGTAATGAATAGAAATCCTTCATCAAAATAACAACATCAGCCAAAACTTACACTGGGTGGCTCAGACGGGGCTTTCTTTTCCTCCAGCTTCCTCTTCATTGTGAGGACGTCGCGCCGAGAAGTTTTCTAAAGTACAAGATGTAGAGTATAAGAAAAATTTACTTTTACTAAGAATTTACTAAGAATGTAGCATAAAAATAAATGCTTACCTTTGGTGCATCTGCGCGATCCTTTGATCGAGTGCGCGAACGGGTACGAGAAAGGATAGGACCGTCCTCACCAATGGCACGCTTCGAAGGAGCGATTTCTAAAAGAAAAACAATAACTCGGAACAAGTGCAGAAGTAAAAGTTTGTGACGTAAGGAAAGATCTAATAAAGTTAACCAATAGACAAAAACCCCACGCATATGGTGCAATGAGAAAATTTTAACCAAAAAATAAACAACAGAAGAAAAGCAAATGAAACTCACTTTTTGTAGGCATCCGAGAGAAGTCCAGACGAGTTGGTTGAATAGACGACAAATGATAATTTTTGGAGCTCAGGTTTTACTTTTATTTGACCGTTAAATGCAAATTAGCTGCTGATTAAATTCAAATTTTGCATTTTCAGACGTTGTCCCGTCAAATATGCAAATTAGAATGATTGAATAGAAGTAAAAATAAAAAAATCAACAAATGTCCCGCAAAATTTGAGTTTCATGGGGGTGGGACAAATGCGACCTTTTTTTTGCGCACCTGGGCATTTGCGCACCTTTTTTTGCTGGAAAAGGCCTTAGGCAAGGCCGTAGAGCTTCGAAAATATTTCCATAGAAGGGAATCGTGTGCGTAGATTCCGAATTTCGACAAATCAGACCTCGCTGACACGTCAAATTTGGACTAAAAGGCAAAAACTGCAGAAAAGCGTTAAGTTGCGTAGTTTTTGCCTTTTAGTCCAAATTTGACGTGCCAGCTAGGTCTGATTTGTCGAAATTCGAAATCTACGCATACGATTCCCTTGTATAAAAACATTTTTGAAGCCCTACGGCCTTTCCTAAGGCCTTTTCCAGCGAAAAAAAGGTCGCATTTGTCCCACCCCCAGTTTCACCAATTTTTTTGCGATTTCTTTAGAAATACTTGAACTTTAAAGAAAGAGAAAAATGAGAAAAAGTAATGAATTTTAGGGGATTTCGTTTGAGTTTCTTGTTGTTTTTTGTGTGTCTTTGGGTCCTCTGAAACTGGTCCAAAAATATCCCCGTTTTTTATTGATAAAGTTTGGCATTACCGTTACAATAAAGTCTACATGAAACTCCCAACAGCTTTTCAAATTTACATTTAGCAATTTACATACAACGACAGATTTAGGTCTGCACAAAATTTACATTTAACCATCAAATAAAAAAAGCAAATGCGAAGAAGATTATCATTTACAATTTCTTCTCCTGTTCGTCCAGTCGCATGTATTTGTTTGGATTTGGTGAGTGTTTTTTTAAACTTTATTTTGTTTGGACTTTACATTAGATTTGTGTTTACTTACTGTTTATTTTGCACGGACTCGTGCTTTTTGTGCGGTTAAGTTGTAATTAGAATTAGAACTGTTTTAGAGTGATAGAAACAATTGATTCGGTTGATTGTTTACATTACATTTAACTGGAGACAATCGTTTGTATAATCTTTCAATCTCCAATTTTTAGGCAAAAAGAAGAAAAAGGATGTGGTCAAGTCGAGGGACAAGGGCCAAACAAGAGATCATCTCGACAGAACGTTGGTTAAGGAAGACAAAGATGTCGAACCGGATTCAAAGAAGTTTGTTGTTTTGGTTGTAGTATTACTTACCCATTTTTTATGTGTAAAATTCTTTGTTTAGGAAAGACAAGAAGGACAACTCGTGCAAGACGAGAATCAGCAATCGGACGATCACCACGACGAAAAGGAATGTTGGTTTGTGACTTGCGAATGTTAATGCAGTGAATCTGTTTTTCTTTTTTAGCTGATCTCAGTGATTGTAAGAAGCTTGTCCATGGATTTGTCGAGAACACGTTGAAGAAGGGCGTACAAGGATTGCGTGCCGAATTTGCATCGCACAAGAGGTAGTTTTAGATTTATATGTTCCTGTCATTCGCCTACTTTAGGGTTCTCGACATGACGAAGCTGACGGTGTTCTTGAAAAATCCGGCCAAGAATCGATACAAGGTATTACTGTTCCTAGTTTTGTGCATTAAATGTGTTTTTTAGGATGTGGGCTGTCTTGACGAAACTCGGGTTGTGCTGAAAGACAATGGGGACAATGACTACATCCACGCAAACTATGTATCAACGCCAACCTCCGAGAAAAGATTCATCTGTTGCCAAGCGCCGCTCGATTCTACTTGTGTCGAACACTGGAAGTAAGACTTTCCCTGCTGTTTGGATGCTTTTGATTGCTCTAGAATGATTGTACAAGAGCGAGTGGAAGTGATACTGATGTTGTGCAATTTGACAGAGAAAGGAGCCAAGAAATGCGCCGATTATTTCCCAGCTGAAGAAGGACATTCGAAGACGTTTGACAAGTACACAATCAAGGCCGTCAAAACATCGAAGGTTTGTCGATATGCCCTTTTTCATCTAATCTATTCCTACTTTTAGGTGAAATTGCCATGTCCGACGACGGCCAACATTCGACTCACGAAATTGGTGGTTGAGGAGAACGGGAACAGGATCCACTCGGTGGACCATTATCATTGGGTTGACTGGCCGGATCGTGGAGTTCCCCCTGCCGACCTTGCCCCAATTCATCTTCTCAACCGTGTATCTGGCACACAGTTTGTTTTCATCAATTTGAACTTTATTTGTTTCTGTCTAGATCTCCGATTGTCGTACATTGCTCTGCAGGAATCGGACGCACCGGCTCAATCGTTCTTATCCAATACACGCTCGAGTCAATCAACACTGGCCAGGTGCTAAACTGCACTCTTATTTGGATTAACTTTTGCTTTAGACATGTGAAAATATGGACACACTTCTTTTGAAGCTTCGCAAGCAAAGGGCAAACTCGGTTCAAACGGACCACCAATATCTCTACGTGCACCAAGTTCTACTCAATCATTTTCTGAAGGTTTGTTTCTTATCTTTTCACATTTGAAAGCCTTTCATTTTAGGAAGGATTCTTGGACAAGAACGTCACTCCACTCCTCGAGGGCTTCACCACACAATACAAGAAATTTGTGATCACCGGCTAACTCGATCACCGCAACTTGTCAAAATAAATGGAAAAGAATCGAACTTTTCAAACCTGCCGTTTTATGTGACACATTGATTTGTGTAATAAAAGTTAAACTTTTGGTGTTGGAAAGGTGAAAGAAATAGAATTTGAAGTGTAAAACTTTTGTTTAACTTGGATTGTTGATCTCATGTGGTCTGGTACTCGAAAATGTTTGAAAATGGATTTTCAGTAGTCAGCTCTTCAGAGTGATTCAGTGATCACTTGAACCATGTCAAAAAAAAAGAGTGCTCAGTTAAATGATGAGTACAAAGTTTCAGTTGATCAATGAACAGCATAAATTGACCGCCAAAAAAGAAATTTTATAATTTGCATGCCGTTGGGTAAATATCAGAACTAGCTATCGTATTATTCCTGTAGGCCGATCCATCCATTTTTCTAAAACAAGGCAATCGCCAAATTTGCATGGCATTCAATTTTGACCCAAAAAGTCAAAAAAACGGTTCTATTCTGTCAAAATTCTATCAAATTCGCCATCAGCTCACCATTTTTTTCCTATTTGATAAACACTCAAATGTCAAAGTCTTTATTCAGCAGAACCAATAGAAATTTTATTAGCATACACGTGTAAAATGTTTGCTTGTAGAAGAGAGACGAGTTGTCGAGTTAGAAAGCGATTAACAGAGTAAAAATAGAATAGAAAACGATTAATAGAATAAAAAAAATTAATTTACTAGCTTTTACAAATAATTTGCAACATCTGACTTTTTAGCACATTCACGACAAAGCCATTTTTGTCTTGGCTGCCGTTTCGGACAATCTATGTTAGTTGTAGACCTGAAAATTTATATCCGGAAGCATTCTGGGATAGAGAATCGGAATTCGTTATGAGTTTTCGAGCAACTCGTCTCAGCTTTGAGATACGGTCATCACAACTCAGCTATTTTCAGTATAAGAATAAGAATTGTACTAGACTTTTCTCTATTTGATAAACACTCGAAATGAGAAGAAATCTCATAGGGATGCCTCAGATAAAATATGTTTTTCTGATAGTTATTCTGGGAAAGTTTTGTAAAGCAACAAGTTCACTTCATGTTTTTTTTGATGCATTTTAAAAATATGACCAACAAATTTTCATTTTCAAAGTAAAATCATAAAAACTATGATTGCAAAGAGTTTTCTAAAAGTTCCCAAAAAATTCCTCTTGCAAATGACAGCTTTGCAAAGTCGATGAGAACTTTTCTTGAGGTGAAAAACCAGTTTCAATTGAGTCTAGCCAGAAAAGTGATCTTTTCAGATAATATGTACAAAAGTTCTAAGTTTTGATTAAACTGATAACTAAAATAGTGCCACATTCCACGCTTTACTGTTCGCCTTTCACTCTCAAACGTAAACTTGTCAGCTAAGGAATTTCAACTATGAAATGTTCAATAACAAATCTTCGAAAGACATGTGAAAAAACAGCTGTTTCACTAGCGAAGAGTTCAATAACAATACGTGTTCAAAAGGAGAGTTTAAAGATTTGAAAAGATCAACTTTCAAAAAACGACCAAGGTGTAAAGAAAGTAAAGAAATGAAATAAAGAAAAAGAAATAAAGTAAAGAAATGAATGGCAAAGAATTTGGAATTAAGAGGAATTGAGTTCTCGACCTTCCGCTTAGCAGGCAGTTACTCTACCACTGAGCTTAGCTCGGCGTTAGTTAGCTCGGCGTTAGTTAGCTCGGCGTTAGTTAGCTCGGCGTTAGTTAGCTCGGCGTTAGTTAGCTCGGCGTTAGTTAGCTCGGCGTTAGTTAGCTCGGCGTTAGTTAGCTCGGCGTTAGTTAGCTCGGCGTTAGTTAGCTCGGCGTTAGTTAGCTCGGCGTTAGTTAGCTCGGCGTTGGTTAGCTCGGCGTTAGTTAGCTCGGCGTTAGTTAGCTCGGCGTTAGTTAGCTCGGCGTTAGTTAGCTCGGCGTTAGTTAGCTCGGCGTTGGTTAGCTCGGCGTTGGTTGGCTCGGCGTTAGTTGGCTCGGCGTTGGTTAGCTCGGCGTTAGTTAGCTCGGCGTTAGTTGGCTCGGCGTTAGTTAGCTCGGCGTTAGTTAGCTCGGCGTTGGGTTAGCTCGGCGTTAGTTAGCTCGGCGTTAGTTAGCTCGGCGTTAGTTAGCTCGGCGTTAGTTAGCTCGGCGTTAGTTAGCTCGGCGTTAGTTAGCTCGGCGTTAGTTAGCTCGGCGCCTTCCTTGCCTAAGAAGAAATAGGAGAGACAAGGAAGAAAGAGAAGGAAAGGAAGGAAGGAAAGGAAGAAAGGGAAGGAAGAAAGGAAAGAAAGGGAAGGAAATACCCGGTGCAAGAGCTGCAACTACTGCAACTACTGCAAAAATTCTACAGTAAGTGTACTGTAATCTGTCGCTTCGATTTACTGTAGTCCTTTAGCTACCGTAATCTTGCTTACTGTATTACTTACTATAACTGTATTACTATAACTATAACGCAATCTATAGCACCTCAATTTTCAATTCTTACAGTAAAAAAAAAACTTTTGAAAGTTAACCTTTTGAAAGAGTAACCCAAAATAGGTCAATTTCCGTCATCTTCAGTCGATTTGAAGTGTATTCGCGAGAAAATCTGTTCGCTAAGATATTTTTGTTTACTTGTTTACATTCATCTTTCTTTCAAGAGATTCATCTCTTCCAAAACAAGAATTCTCCCGGAAATCTTCCCCGAAATTGGCTTTATTCCAAGAGTTCCTCGTTTTGGTGAATCCCCCTTTTTTTTGGTCTTTTCCTTTCCCACCCCCACTCTGATTTGTTGACTGATGTTCTGTTTTCCGAAAATCAAAAAAAAATGATGTTTCGGGGGAAAAATTCTGAAGTGCTTTCAACCCCCACTCATCTCATTTCAAACAAAAAGAAAAGAAACCTTTTGAAAAGAAAACTTTGTTGATTTGGGCTCATTTCCCCCAAATTTACTTTCTGTTACTTGAGTGGGTTTTTGTGGGTGGTTAAGTGATCACATTTTGTTGTAGACACAGTGATCAGTAGATAGATTAAAGGAAAATGATTAGTAATCGATTAGGGTTAGGGTTGGGATATAAAAAAACTTCAGTTGAAGTTGAACTGATAGATCGATTTGATCCACAGCAATTGTTCACAAAAAGCTTATTGAATAAGCAAAACATTGTGGTTCGATGAGTCATTGATCATTGGGAAGAGTTATGAAATCCAAAATACCACTCGTATTCGTCTACTGGTAACTTTTGTACTTCAATAGTGCATTTTTCTTTATTACTTTTTTATAAAAGGTGCTTTCTACCGTACTCTTTCTATCGTACCGTTTCTACCGTACAAAATTTAAACTGAATGAGGTTTTTCTTACTCGCTCGATGGATAGATTTTATTCTCCGAGAGTTTAAATCAATGAATAGTTAGAAAAATAAGCCTTTCCATAGAAAAACAGGAATAGAATGTTTTCCTCGCAAGTAATGCGCTTTTTAAAACGCACACTTGAAAAAAATAACCTTATTTTAGCGAAAATTATTGAAACAAATTGACGCGAAAAAATCACGAGTGCCGACTTATATATGACTTCTTTTAAAGATATTCAGCCATTTAAATGATTTTGTAGCAAATTCCCGTCAAATCTAAAGATATTCAGCCGTTTAACTGATTTGGTGACAAGCTCCTTTCAAATGTAAAGATACTCAATTTATTCGACGTGTAAAGAGGGTTACTCGTAGTTTACTCGACCAAAGAAAACCGTCGGTTAATCGAGTAAAGATTACTGATGCAAATTTTATTTGAGTAATTATTTACTCCCAAAGAAAACACTCTAGCCCAAATTAGAACTGATCTAAAGATTATCGAAATAAATGAATTCAGCAAGCCAGTTGAATCCTTCAGCCATTTAAATGTTCTGAATATTCAGCCATTTAAATGATTTTGTGGCAAATTTCCGTCAAATGTAAAGATATTCAGCCGTTTAACTGATTTGGTGACAAGCTCCTTTCAAATGTAAAGATACTCAATTTATTCGATGTGTAAAGAGGATTACTCGTAGCTACTCAGCCAAAAACGTCGATTAATCGAGTAAAAATTACTAATTTAGATTTTACTCGAGTAATTAGTTACTCGCAGGGACTTACTTACTTGTAACGAAAACATCTGTTGTCCCTTTTTCTGCCGTTGGCAATTTAAAGTTTTTCGTGTTTATTTTAGCGCTAGTCCTTCTATTTTGATTATATTGATTATCATTCGATGCAGAATAAAATTACACGTCGAATGATACCAAAATCAACTCAAAATATAATATTCATGCAAAGTTATGAGGCAAAAGGTTAAGTCTCGCACATAATAGGCGCGGTTTAGGTTTTAGTCAATAACTTTGCATGAATATTATATTTTGAGTTGATTTTGGTATCATTCGACGTGTAATTTTATTCCGCATCAAATGATAATCAAAATAGTCAAAATAGAAGGACTAGCGCTAAAATAAACACGAAAAACCTTAAATTGCCAACAGTAAAAAAGGATCGATAGATGTTTTCGTTACAAGTCTACAAGGAATACACTCTAAACATGATTACGACAGCTTTTTAGGAGTGCAACTTTATGCAGAAAACGCTTGACTTGAGAAAAACAATACTTTCTCATTCCAATTCAGTAAAACTCAACAATATTTTTTGATAATCCAGAAGCAACAAATATTAATTTGTTGCTTTATAAAAGCAATTTTTTGGTAAAAAGTTTCCGTAAACTTTTGGTCGAAAATTTCAAACACAAAGCTCTATTGAATCGGTTTTAATAATCAAATTTGCCTCAAAAATGATGAAGGGAAAAGAGCTAAAGATAAACGGATAATCATTCATCGGCTCTTTTCCTCTTTTCCTTTCTTTTCCCCTTTTCTGACCTGTCCACCCACAAGAAATCGCTCGAGATCTCACTTTTCCTCTTTCTTTTTTTTTTTGTCTTTTCACTCTCGAAACGATGATAAACATTTTCCGGGAGCCTCTCCTCTCTCAAATCCGATATAAATACCCCAGGTGACCCCCAGGGATCACTCACCTTTTCAGAAATCATCTTAAAATTTTATCAACTTCTCAATCTTGGATAAAATACCCATTCTTAGGGTTTTTAAAATATACACTTGGACCTAGCTTTGGCCTAGCTTTGCCTGGCTTGGACCTAGCTTTGGTCTTTTGTATTCTTCACCGTTAACATAGTTATCTATATTTATGATAGTTTTAAAGATCTGTAAGTTTAGCGGAATCCAAATAACTCTCAAGTACAACTGAATAGCTCTCACGTGCTTCAATTAAGACCAAAGATATTCAGTCTAGTTGACTGAATACTTTCATTTCGGGATACTGTACTTAAACAGGATACTAGAAGGCGTACTGTATTTTTTTGAAAAATCATATATCTCAACTTCTTGATTGTGGGAGATTTGATCCGCGGCCCACCCCTTTTGCCATTGGCAATCTAACTTTAAACTAAAATTTCTTGGTGTTCGGCTGTCCAATTTAAATAGTTTTTCTACCAATCGACAGACAAAGACTTGGCGCATCTAATGATACCAATAATTTATAAATTGGATAGCCCAACAGCAAGATATTTGAGCTCAAAGTTAGATTGACAATGGCAAAATGGTGGGCGTATCAAAGGCCCGATAACCCTTTTTTTTCAGCCTTGTTCATTTTGAAACTTCAACTTTTCATTGCTTTTGATATCAAAGCTTTTACAAGATGATTCCAGCCTCTCATCTCATTCACGCAAATTCTCAAAAATGATCCCAGCCACTCCAGAAGAAATCTCGTACGGAGTCTACCTTGATTCACAGCATAAATTGTGTTATGTGAACTGTGCTCCCGCTCCAGCAAAGGTATGAAGGGGAAATGATTAAATGAAATAGAAGCTAGCTGATTAAACAATGGCAAATAAATAGAAAAATGGCAAATAAAATAATCGAGGAAAGAATATTTCAAATAACCCGGCAACTGGGGAAAATTCGACACATTAATGCTTTGGTTTTAGTTTAGTTGGTTGCATTGGTGTAATGCATTGGTGCAGTTGATTAGTGTAATCAATTAAAACCAATAAAACTAGCCAATAATTTAATAATAGTTTAAAATTGATTTAAATATATCAAAATTTCATAAAAATCTTTGAAACATTAACTCTTGGCTTTAACCGAAAATTATTGTACAAATTTTGCAGAAACGACGCCAACAAAAGAAAGAAGAATCAACGCAATCCGTGGAAACAATCAAAAAAGAAAAAGAGCGCAAAAGTTTCTTGTCGCGACTTTTGAAAAAACTCCGACACTAAAATGCATCTAATCCAAAAGTATTACGGTAGCAAGTACAGTACAGCTTTTAGTACAGTACAGTTTTCATTGCTTTTAAAATTACCCTAGCAATCTTTGAACTCAAAAAAAAAACTCTTTTTGTACATAAATGAATCTCTGAAATATTTCTCTTGAATTGAAATTTGATGTTTTTTTTATTTTACAACTTTTTCATTTCTCAATGATACTCAGCACTTGACATATCCAGTTGAAGACTTTTTTTTTTGGTCGCATTTTTTAGATTCACATGTCCTGTGCAAATTTACTTTTCATGCTATAGCAGAGTAAAGAATTTTATGCTATGATCTCAAAATATAAATGCCCAACAGTGTAACTGAAGTATTCTAAACTTTTAGAGATACACAAAAATGAAATGGAATAAAGAAAACTACCCTAGTTTCTCAGCTAGAGATCTTCCCTTAAATCATACGTTTTCTAAAACGAGTGAACTTTCTCGACTACGGTAAACTTTGTCGGTCTGTCTCTCTGTCTGTCTGTCTGTCTGTCTGTCTCTGTCTCTCTGTCTGTCTGTCTCTCTGTATGTCTGTCTCTCTGTCAGTCTGTCTCTTTGTCAGTCTGTCTGTCTGTCTGTCCTTCTGTCTGTGCGCACTCCTCCTCCGCACCCAGTGGATCATTTCAAATAGCTTATACTCTGTTTAGCTTAGAATTCCATGTAGTTGTGCAACATGTTTTTAAATTTTTAAAAAACCAAAAGTCCCAACGTGGGCTGGAGTCGAACCCGGATCGTGTAGGCTAAAGACAAGCGCTCTCGCACTGCACGATCTACTAGAGCATGACCGAGTGGTTAACGCGCGCCTCTCTCAAACGAATGGAAGAGAGGTCGCGGGTTCGACTCCTCTCGTCGCCAATTCTATTTACTTTTTGCTCCAAAAGTTTTTTGCTGCGAAACTGATGGTATTGAAAGATAAAAAAGTAGTTAGAGTGAGTAAAAAAAAGAAAATTTTTAAAGGAAAAGGGAAAAGTGAGTTCTCGAGAGATAAGCAAAGCTTCGCTTTAGAAGTTGGCACGGTTTAGGAAAAGCAAAGCTCAAACAGCTCAAAAACACGATCAAATTTTTGAAGCAAAATGAATAAACTTGTCACAGAAACATTTATTCGTTTTGCAAGCTCTGCCCAGAAATCTATTGATCTTTTGGTGGCACAGGGACACATCCACACTCTGTGTCTTGATCGAGGATCTGATAATGTATTTGAATCGCAGATATAGGCAAAATTTTAAATCATTTTAAGATTTAAGTATCTAACTTCATCTCTTGGAAAAATTTTTCTTGAAATTGAAATGATTAAACCCCGTACCTTCACAATGCGAATCTCTGGATCAACCCCCTCGTCACAATCACTCATCGTTATCTGAAAAATGATTGTTAACACATTCGCGATAGACATGGGCACTATAAACTACAAAAATGACGAACTGTCACACTACAAACACTTCTAAATTATTACAAATCTGTCGGATTGCTATGATCTATAGCTCAAAAAATAGAGAATCTCAAGGAGCTTTCGAATGGACTAAAGCACACTCGAAAATAACAATTCTAAAGAAAGTTACAGTGGTTTATAACCTGACTCGATCGTTTCGACTACGCGCGAGTACGGTCTATTTCGAATCAAGACTCCAAACCACTGTAGCTTTCTTTAGCGTTGATATTTTTGCGTGTACTTTAGTCCATTTGAAAGCTCTTGAGATCCTCTAATTTTTGAGTTCCTCTAACTTTTTGAGTTCCTCTTGAGATCCTCTAACTTCCAACGCTTCTAAATTATTACAAATCTGTCGGATTGCTATGATCTATAGCTCAAAAAATAGAGAATCTCAAGAGCTTTCGAATGGACTAAAGTACACGCAAAAATATCAATTCTAAAGTAAGTTACAGTTGTTTGACGTTCAAAACGGACCGTACTCGCGCGTAGTCGAAGCGATTGAATTAGGCTACAAACCATTGTAAATTTCTTGATAATATTGATTTCTTGATAATATTTCTTGATAATATGTAAACATTGATATTTTTTTTGGGTGATAATGAAATAATCGTCATTAGTACGACTCCACCAGTGGATTGTGTGGTGCTAAAAAAGATCTTTATAGATTTTCTTCACCTCTTCAAATCGATAAGAATAGATCGTTCTTTACCTCTTCAAATCAGATAAGAATAGATCTTTCTTTACCTCTTCGAATAGACAAGAAATAGATCTTTCTTTACCTCTTCAAATTTCGGATTCACATAACCGCACATCGAGCTGTTCTGTTGACGAAAATCGGTGGTATACGTGCCGAACTGGAATTCTCAGTACAGAAAATGTTCTCAGAGTTTCCATTATTTCAATCCTTTTCCTTATAAAAGACTCTAAATTTGTTCTAAACATTCAGAAAAGGTTCAAAACATCAAAAAACATCAAAAACTATAAATTTTCTAATCAAAATCAAAGTTTCACCTCTCCCGTTTTGCACATTCCCATACAATAGGGCACTTGAGTCACCTGAAATTATTTGTTGATTGATAAACTCTAAAAACTAAACCCTATCTATAAGATAAGTCTTTTTTTTTTGTATATTTCGGTGAGAGTATTGTAGCAATATGTTATATGCAGTTATGATTATCTGATTCGCTTCTATTCGCCCCATGAATAAAGCATATATATATATTATATTTCATTCAATTTTTCCCCAACTTCACCTCCATTCTGCACGTTTTCCCATTTTTGTCCGTTCTCACGATTTCCGAAATCCCTCCATCGCCGTTTAATTTCGACAAATTCGGTGCAATGTGCTTTTTGCATGGAGTATACGAAACAGTCATTATCTAATAATAATATTATATAATTTGACTTTGTCGAACATCCGGGCCTTTTCCCTCATTGTGAAAGCTATTATATGCAAAACCCAAAGCCCAATGCACATCGGCGCGAAATAAGGCAAAAATGCGTTTTCTATCGAATTTTTCTGGGAGTACCTTTTTTAGATGCGGAAAATTGTGCTGATTCCGAATCTGAAGGAATTTTTCAAATCCCCTTGACAGAAATTTTTTAAATTGAGTTTTAGCGGTTTTTTGGTCATTTTGTATGGGAAATTTTGTGGTACCCTGCAGTTTGGGGCTCGTAACTCGACAACGAGGATCTAGAACAAAAAACGAGGGGATAATTTTGATTCTAGAGACTCTTACGAACATTTTGATGCAAAAATCATCAAATTTGCTCAACTCTACAAAAAGTTATAACATTTTTAAAGAAATTTTGCAAAATACACTAAAAACATAAGGGGAAACCGTGGCCGAGTGGTCTAAGGCGCGCGACGTCAATCCAGCGCAAAAGTATGGGGTTGTTGGTTCGACTCTCCCGCACACTTGAGCTATTATTTTGCATATTCCTTAATTGTTTTGAGTGAATACGATACATAGCTACATTGTTCTTTTGAAAAAAAAAAATTGTGCAATAGAGAATTTTTAAAATTTTCTCATTTCTTTTTTAAAAATGTTATAACTTTTTGTAGAGTTGAGCAAATTTGATGATTTTTGCATCAAAATGTTCGTAAGAGTCTCTAGAGTCAAAATTATCCCCTCGTTTTTTGTTCTAGATCCTCGTTGTCGAGTTACGAGCCCCAAACTGCAGGGTACCACAAAATTTCCCATACAAAATGACCAAAAAACCGCTAAAACTCAATTTAAAAAATTTCTGTCAAGGGGATTTGAAAAATTCCTTCAGATTCGGAATCAGCACAATTTTCCGCATCTAAAAAAGGTACTCCCGGAAAAATCCAATAGAAAACGCATTTTCGCGCCGATGTGCAATGTGCTTTCTGCATGGAGTATATATTATATAATTTGAGTATATATTATAATTTGAGTATATATTATATAATTTGACTTTGTCGAACATCCGGGTCTTTTCCCTCATTGTGAAAAGCTATCATATGCAAAACCCAAAGCCATTTCGATTCCCTTTTGGACACTAAAAATCGGATGACTTAAAAAAGAATCTTATTTATATCTAATTAGGGATTCTGGAGATTTGCCAATTGAAACTCGAGATCGAGACCTCCTAGACACTTCTCTCATCAAGCACTTCTGAATCTCAGACAAGATGTCTCAGACATTTAGTAGAAGATTTTATAGTAATCTGTTCGTAGATTCATGCTCATAATCTTATTATATCAATCTTATTATCTTATTTTTCTCTTTTATACTTGATATAATAAGATTATGAGGATGAATCCACGATCCAGATTACTATAAAATCTTCTACTAAATGTCTTCTACTTCTACTAAAGACATCTTGTCTGAGATTCAGAAGTGCTTGATGAGAGAAGTGTCTAGGAGATCTCGATCTCGAGTTCCAATTGGTACACCCGACAAAATGAATAGCGCCAATCGATTCGCCGAACTCGAAAACCCCCGGGTACAATTTACAGCTGAATACCTTCTTTTTTGGGCCACCTACACAGCAAAAGAAGAGAATCTCTTTGTGTTCGCTCGCGACCTGGCAAACCCCTCGGGTATATAAGGTTTTCCTTTTGGAAGGCCTTATATACCCGAGGCCGCTCCTTCGCTTTCGTAAAGGCGAAGGAGCGGCTAGCGACTGAACCGGCTTTGCTCTCTTGGGCGTCACTATGCTCAAATTTTTGGGATTAATTTTTGGCTTAAATTTGGCTATATTTTTGGTACAAATTTACAAAATTTTAGGTCTAATTCCAGTTAAACTGAAACTAGACGATCCGTATCTTTGAGAAGAAATTGCCATTTTATAGGAAATTCAATCTTTTGATCTTTTGATCTTTTGCTCATTTCCAATCTTTATTGACTTTCGAAGCTCTTTTACAGGGTGCGTCATAATTATTGCAACAAGATACTCAAGGCATTGCACACCAAGAAGTTTCACTGGAACAGAAAACAGAAATAGCTTTATTTAACAGTAACAAATAAGGAAACAAGAGATCATTCGATATGATCGCCTTTTGCCTTGATAACAGCCCTTAATCGGTTCGGATATGCCTCCACTGCGGCCCGAATGTCATCTTGAGGAGTCGCCTTCCATTCTTTGGTCAAAGACTTCTTCAAAGAATCCAAACTTGTGTGTTTTCGAGAGCAGACATTAGCCTCTAAGATTGCCCAAATGGAAAAGTCCATCACATTGAGATCCGGTGAGTTTGGAGGCCATTTCATCCTTGGTGATCACTGAGGGGAAAGTTGGCCACACACTAGTCCTGAACCGTCTTCTTCGTGTGAGCGGGAGCTCCATCTTGCATGAAGGTCCAATTTTGATTGTTATTGGCTTTACACGCCCATGACATCACATTCTTGACATCACAAACGGTCTTTGAACTCTTGTTGCAATAATTATGACGCATCCTGTACTTTCAAAGGGTATTGTAACATTTTTGAGAGAGAGATTAAAATTCTCTCACTAAAATTAGCTCACCTCTTTGCATAAGAAAAATAAAAATACAGAAAATACGAAAAATCTGATCATTTTGCGTTAAGGAAAAACTTCGTTTTCAAAGTTTTTGTTTAGAAAAGAAAAGTTTCGAGGGTTTATGGGACACATGTGTTTTCTCGAGGCTTTGTGAAGCATCAATCGATTTCACACAAAGAAAATGATCAAGGATTTCGAAATCTTCAAAAAAAAAAGCTAGCGATTTACAGAAAGAAATCGATCCTACTGTATTCTAAAGATCAAAAATCGAGATGAAATTGTTTTCCTTTATCATTTGAAACGTTTTCCTTTATCATTTATTTCAGATTCGATTCGTTGATTCCTTTTTGTGAAAAATTTTTTCGATGTCTATGTTTGAAAATTCTCAAGGGAAAAATTTTAATCATAGTTTTCACGATAGAAAATAAATCATTTCGATTAAAAATTTCGATTCTTTGATTGCGCTGATCCAACAAAAATCGGAGAAAAAGAGAAAAAAGAGAAAAAAAATGGAAACGAAAAAGTGAGAAATTGTAGATTGAAAAAATAATGAGAAACTGTAGATTGATGCAGAGAAAGTGGATGTAGAGAAAGGGAAATAAAAGATTAAAGTTATGAGAGAGAAGAATGAAAAAAAAGGAATTGGGTTTTTCCTATTTTTGGGGATGAGATCAAGAGGTGGGGGGAGGGGGAGCGGGAGACAGAGACTGTGCCATCCCCTTCCCCCGTCATCCCTTCCCCCCTCACTTCAATCATCACTATCCCCATCTCGAAAATCATTACCCCTTTTTTGATCCATCTTTTGAGCAAAATACACTTTTCTTAAAGCAACACAAGTAAGGTAAAGTTATTCGAGTCATTCGAGTTCTTCGAGCTATTCGAGCTATTCGAGTTCTTTGAGCTATTCGAGTTATTCGAGTTCTTCGAGTTATTCGAGTTATTCGAGTTATTCGAGTTCTTCGAGCTATTCGAGTTCTTCGAGCTATTCGAGTTCTTCGAGCTATTCGAGTTCTTCGAGCTATTCGAGTTATTCGAGTTATTCGAGTTCTTCGAGTTCTTCAAGCCATTCGAGCTATTCGAGCCAGTTCGAAGCTCTCTAAAAATTGAATCGTTTATCATTTTATCAATTGAATCTTTAGAATTTTTCTTTTCCTCTGTTAATGCCTTTTCTGAAAGAAAGACTGCGATAGTTAATGCCTTTTTTAATGCGATAGTTAATGCCTTTTTTAATAAGTGACCAAATTCCAAAAAACCCTTTCCTTTAAATTCTGTCCTTTGCAATCCCAGTCAAACCATATTTTGATTTCTCATCAAATGAAATTAGAAGAAAAATAAGCTGGACAAGATCCGAAGGAAAGACTTCGATTACATCTTCTTTAAACTTTTCAACTTCTTTGGAAGTGAACTCACGGTGAACACAAACGAATTTTTTGACTCGAATCAAACTTGCTGATTCCTAAAATTCCGATTCAATTGTTGCATCTCATTTTTCAACTAACATTAGCACGTGATTATTCGCAAAGTTAATTCAATTCTCTTGTAAAATTTCTCGTTTCCAAAGTCCTATCTTCAGATATGCCGAAATTCAAAGAGTCGCTCACGGCGTTGATCGGCGATTTCGCAAATATGAATCGGACTCCGGACTTTAAGGTGAGTTTTTTTTCATCTGGGATCTGGATCTGGTGTTAGATCTGGGAATTTCTGGATCTGGTGTTAGATCTGGATCTGGTGTTAGATCTGGATTTGGTGTTAGATCTGGATTTGGTGTTAGATCTGGGTTTGGTGTTAGATTTGGGAATTTTCGGTGTGAACGTCAATTGGTGTCCAACGGAAAAATTGGCCATATCTTGGCCATATCTTTTTTGTCTTTGATTTCAATCGATAAAAAATGCGATTAAATTCTGCGATTAAATCGATACAATCGATGAAATTCTGCGTTAATTGAAATCAAAATCAAAAAGATCCGAGTGAAATTGACCGAGATATGCCATTTTTCCGTTGCACATCCATTGCACATCCGTTGCACATCTATTGGCATTCACACGGAAAATTCTCAGGTCTAATTAGTTTAAAAAATATTCCGCCTTCAAACTTGCGAACTTGACCTTCTTTTGTTGTACAAAAGCAAACAGAAACATCCATTTTCAAATGAATCCCACCTAAAATAAAAACTTGAAGTACGAAGAGCGGATTTCAGGCAAAATCCGAGAGTAAAGACGCGGAGAGTGTTGATGGAGAAAAGGAAAAAGAGAGAAAACACCAAGGAGGAAGGAGACATTCATTGAATATCACTGTTGGAGCGGTGGGTGGATTGGTAGAAATATTTTAAGTAGAAATTTAACAATTTAACAACAATATGGTCTAAATTTTAAAAATTACCAGAAAACCCAATATTTTTTAGAACGCTAAAACAAAAATCAACAAATCGCTTAGTTTTTAAATGTTTCCTTTACCAACTGTGTCAATTTAGCTTGTAAACGCTAGCCTTATCGCACTAGCCTTCTGCTTGTAAACGCTAGCCTTATCGCACTCGATTCCATATTTTCCTCCATTGAAATTTGGAAGGAAATAGAAATTCTTAATTTTGTGCACTCGAAAAAGATTCCGGTTTTTGATGGGATTACAGTAAGAAAGATTTGGGGGAAATTGTCAGAAACACATCAACGTTTTCACCAAACTCAAAAACAAATCGAATCGAGCGATTTTCAATTATCTATCTATGTCGTTTCAAGGGTATTTTTGGTTACTTTCAAAATATCCACTCTGTCCTTTGTGCTCAAGTAAACAGGCTCTTCTAGATGTACTCTTTCTAGTGCACTCAATTCATTTTTTAAACACATGCATAAAGGAATACGCCAGAAAGAGTACCGTTTACATTTTTAAGCATAAAGTAGTACAAAGAAGGACATCAGGGGTCGGCGCCCAACTTTAAAGGGACTTTTCACACAAAAGCCTTTTAAACATACGTTCATCAAAAGGACCACTATTTCTCAAAAAATGACTTTTGAGAGATTCCACAAAGCTTTCTTTCGTGGGGTTTTGAACTCCAAACGCAGCTGGTTAAAATGGCAAAGAGCCGATCATCCATTTGAACAGTTTCTTTCACATAAACCTTCTTGTGTTTATAAAAAAGATAGAACACAATTACTTAAAATTTGCAGGAAGATCCCACTAATGGTTTTTCTAGATCACAGTTTGTAGTTTTTGTGGTTTTCTTGAGGGCTTTGGATTTTTAAATTCAATTGTTACCTCATATCAAACGTATTATTTGACGTAATAGAAGTTTTGGACATTTTTATTTTGGGGACTCATTCTCCCCAACCCAATAGAATCGAATATATTGATTTGGTGAATTGAAAACTGCGGGCTATTGTCATCGGTGATAGTTTGAGCACTTTCTTCAAAAGAAACCTATTTTGGTGTCAATGGAAAAGTTGTAGAGAATCAAAAATCAAGCTTATATCCAAATTTTCAGAACGATTTAAAAACTGGTTTTAAAGAAATGCGAAATTTACGAATTTTCACAAAACTTGCATTTTAAGCGAAACTACTAAGTGTATCTTTTTGGAAATTTGGCTATAAGTCTAATTTTTGATTCTCTACAACTTTTCTATTGACACCAAAATGGGTTTCTTTTGAAGAAAGTGCTCAAACTGGGACACTGGGACATCTCCAGTTCTCCATTTTTGAGTCTCACACTTGTACTGGGAGTTGCTGGATAGCAAGACGACCGTTAATGCAACCAAATACAGTGGACAGTTGGGAAAGGTGAATGAATCCATGAAGAAGAATAGGCCCTCCAAGTCAAAGATCGTTCTCATCCATGACAACGCGCGCCCTCATGTTGCAAAACTGAATCGCTCTAAAATAAATAGCCTTGTTTGGGAACTTTTGGCGCATCCCCCATACAGTCCGGACCTCTCCCCTTTTGATTACTATTTATTCCGGATCATGAGTAATGAGCTTGCGGGAGAACACTTCGCTTCGGAAGAAGCAGTCAAAAATTGGCTTTGAAAGTTTTTCGATTCAAAACCAAAATCCTACTACGAAAGAGGAATCCGCAAATTGCCTGTAAAATGGGCAGAAGTCGTCAATAATAATGGAAATTATCTGGAATGAATTGATGGTTTTATGTTGAATAAATTTTAGTTCAAAGTCCGGCAGTTTTCAATTCACCAACCCAATATCAAGATTATTCGGCTAAAAATGATAGCAAGCTAGCAGAATTTCAAGTTCAATTTAATATGGAAAGCAAAGAAACTTAAATTCTAATTTAAAAAAAGATTTCCAGGAAGAGTTACCACAAATCCCGAAAAGAAATCGTTCCGAATCAATTGCTGTCGGTTCTTCTCAACTTCCACCACAATCAAGAGGTCGACGGTAAGTCAAATTGGAAAGTCAAACACAATCAAACACAAAATCGATTTCAGTTCTTCTGCTCCTTGTGTTTCATCGAGTGTCGCCTCAAGTCAACTTCGGCAAAAAATCAAGAAAATGCGCTCAAAAGATGATTGTTTTGCGGAGGTTTATCTTGCAAACAGAAACTCGATTTTGAACAAACATTTTAGCAAAGTAAAATCGAAGAAGAAGACGATGAAACGATAACTGAAGCTGAAGAAAAGGCAATCTTTACGAAATTGGCGGCACAAAATGAGCGTCGACCATCTTCATATCTCCTCTAAATTTATTCATTTAATCAAAATAATATCGAATCGAATCAATCTATTTCTAGATCACAGATCATTTCATCAGAACTCTTAATATCTTATTGATATCTTATTGATATCCCATATTTCGTTTCCCCTATTTCAAACACTCTTTGATTCCTTACTTCCCAACCGGGTAGAGTATCTGTACTGTCTTTTTATTCTTAATCTTTATTCTTAATCTTTATTCTTAATCATCATAATTTCTAGCTCTATTCGGTGCATTGTAAATATTGTTTGCATAGAAAAAGATTAAAGCCAACCAAAACGAGAAGCAACTTCGTTTTATCGTGCACAACACTTTTCTTTTTCATCGATGGCCTTCAAATCGTCATTGTATCGTCCCGAACCTTTCGGCAGAGAATCTAAAAAAGAAGATTTTTAAAAAATAACTCAAAGTCATATCTATTCAAAACACACGATAAAATTCTTAAGCTAACCGCCTTCAAACTTGCGAACTTGACCTTCTTTTGTTGTACAAAAGCAAACAGAAACATCCATCTTCAAATGAATCCCACCTAAAATAAAAACTATGTATTAAGAAACAAAAAAAAAAGCATTACCAAGTATTTCGTGATTATTGATATGAAAAACACAGCCATTTGATCCATATGGACAGGAGAAATGCACAGAAGAAATGTACAGGAGAAATGCACAGAAGAAATGTACAGGAGAAATGCACAGGAGAATCGGCACTTTTGTGGCGAGAGGCCTAGAATTGGTGTAAACTTATAGACGCTTTAAACTTAACGATATGGAACTTTTAAATCTAATGACGTTAACAAAAGGTTACCCGTTCATACCGGAGGTCAAGTATAATCAAATCCAGCAGACGCTGACGGCGATTCGATGAGTAGCTGAATACTTCTCAGTGTGATTCCGGTAAATTCCTGACCAGAACTAAAAAAGATAGATCTCTAATGCAATAAAAGAAAAGTATTACTCAACAAACGAGGCACTGATCACTCCACCGTTAGACCACGCTCTACCCATTGCCGGTTTACCGTGACGATACCTAAAAATCAAAGAAAAAGGCTAAAATAAAATAAAATAACCATAAAGCCACAAATTGATCTTGCCTTCACAAATTGATCGACCATTAACCACACCCCAAGGTGTGGTTAATGGTCGTCGGTCCAAATTAATACGTAACGTATCTATTTCACTACAAAGCCCACTTTTAGCTCTACATTAACCCCACCCCAAGGTGTCGTTAATGGTCGACCAAGTCCTCGACAGGTCTAAATAAAAAATTACGTTATATACTCACGAAACCGTTACTTGTCTTTGGGAAAAGGATCACAATCTTTGTAATCTGCCCAATCATTCATTAGAGGAGGACGATCCAAATTTATACGTAACGTATCTATTTCACTACAAAGCCCACTTTTAGCTCTACTGAACAAATCGAACATTAACAGTGAGATGGTCCACCTTTGAGAACTCGCACAAGCACAAGAAGTTGTGACATCAATGGATTTGAATCGACAAGCTAAAGAAGCTTTTATATTAGGCGGCGACAAATAAAAACGACTCACTTTGAACCCCAATATCACAGCGAGTATTCAACCAAAACACATTTTTTTTGCTTAGTTTAATAGACTGGAAATTTCTACGCAACTTTTATTTTAGAAGTTTGCTCAAAAATGAAAAATAATTTTTTTAGAATAGTTTTATTAAAAGTTTTTTGTTCTTGAGAGAAACTACAGGTTGATGATACTTTGGCCAATGGAGTCTCCGATTAGGGAATTGAAATTTAGCGATTGAAATGTTCAGGTAAGTTCAGGTAAGTTCAGGTAAACCTTATCCTTTACTTTAACGAAAATCGTATTTTTAGTAATTTCTCGTCATCTCTTTCTGCCCACCGATCAACTCGTTTCCCTATCAGCAATCAATGTTTGGCAAAAAATACTTTGACAATACTTTCCTCATACTTTGACATAAATATTGAAATTTGAAATCACTTACCGTATTCTCTCTAATAGTAGTGCGCATTACTATTTTTTCAACCCTCCTCCTGGACCGCAATACTATTAGAGAGTGCACTACTATTAAAGAGTTTTATCATTTATCAAAGTAAGACAGATATAAGATTTGTTCCAAAAATTCTTTCAATTCTTTCACGTACTCCTTTGGCTCCTTTTGACATACAATTGTGAGCCGGCGAGTTGACAATTTGTGTCTTGACAAATAACAAAAAGATGTTTTGCACTTTGTACAACAATTGTAGATTTTTTGCTAACTTTTTCATGTGAAAAATAGCTAATAAATGAATAAAAAAAGCCTCACTTTTGCTTGCTTGAATACCTTTAGAATGTTACATAAACATAAAGTCAAAAAGGTTTAGATGAAAAAGAAGCACCAGAAATTCAAATTTTCGTGGGTGCACTACTATTTTTTAACCCCCTCTCGGACCGCAATACTATTAGAGAGTGCACTACTATTAAAGAGTGCACTATTATTAGAGAGAATACGGTATTTGTTTACTTCTATGAAAAATGATCTTTGTTAAACTTTGTGCTGAAAAAGAAAAAGGCAAAAAAGTTCTCAAAAAAATTTGCGACGCTTTTGCATGTTTTACATTTTGACCTTTTTCTTTCACGGTCACCCCTAATGCGCTTATCGATACTGGCGGGTTTTATCACAAATTTTTCTCGCTCATTTCGTGAATTGATAGTTCTGAACTCTCGTGTTATTCTTTGAATAATGGTGGCGAATTTAAATGAAATTCTTCCACATCCGCGAGTGAATCGATTTGGGAAAAAGTTGGTGAAAATAGCGTTTACTGGAGGGCCATGTGCAGGTATTTTTTTTTGTTGATTTTCACTTATCAACAATTGCAGGAAAGTCGACCGCTATACAAGAAATTGCTGAAAAAATCGAGAAAGATTTGGGCAATGAGTGGCAGGTTTGAGAGGAATAGAACCTGTCAAAATGTGTTTCTAAATCTAATACGGTTCCAATACGGTTCCTATTTTGATCTAATACTTCCAATACGGTTCTTATTTTGATCTAATATTAGGTGTGTGAAAAAGTAATCCACGTTTTTAACGTTTAAATATAAAAGACCATAAGTTTCGTTAAAATAATTTTTATTCAATGAAGTAATCACCATTCGAAAGAACAACCTTTTGCCAACGTTCTACAAGTAAAGACATTCCACGATAATAAAAATCTTGGTCCTTAGAGGCGAAGAAAAGATCAACCTCGGTTTTGACATCTTCTTCGGAATTGAACCGTTTATTGGCCAAAAAGTTAGACAGAGACAAAAATAAATAATAATCAGATGGAGAAAGGTCTGGACTATAAGGTGGATGTGGTAAAACCTCCCATCCAACACTCTAGATTTTTTGTCGAGTCTGTAAAGAGACATGTGGTTCGTTCATGCGGTATCCATTTGTCCAACTTTTTGATAAAATTCATGGCATTCAAGCGTTTCCTTACGGTTGACCCATCACAATTTAATGTAAGGCCTATTTCTGAAGAGGTTGAACGAGGGTTTTCGACAAGACAGCGTCTTATTTGGTCATCAGATAAAAATAAAAAACGTGGATTACTTTTTCACACACCTAATACTTCCAATACGGTTCCTATTTTGATCTAATACTTCCAATACGGTTCCAATACGGTTCCTATTTTTTTCAGGTTTTCAAAGCTGCCGAAGCAGCAAGTTTGTTATATTCCGGTGGTGTGGCAAGACATTTACTGAATGAGTTTTGAGTCCAAGTTTACACAAAACAACATTGATATTCAGTGAACAGTTGGAACAATGGCAATTGGATATGCTCTGTATGATCATTCGAATAGAAGCCGTTTTTGAGAAGATTGCAGAACATGAAGTAAAAGATTTGATAGAGTTGAGCAATCGAAGATTTTTAGCCAAACAGACATACGGTGATTCTTTGCGATCGTGGAGGTAAGTCATCGAAAGAAGTTCGTTATTTGAGGCACTTTCAGCGCTGGATCCCAAAGTGTTCACTCCAGAAGCGATGTGGAATAGAATCTTACAGTAAGTGTGCTCCTTACTGCTGAAGTGTTTTCTAGAAATCTGGTAAAACTACCGTAATACGACAATACACATTTTATTGGAAAGAATTTCCTGAATCCAAAAAAGTAGGCCTTCGGTGTACCAGGCCGACAAAATTTTTGAGAAAAATGGCCTCAAAGTTGATGATTTTGAAAGGTTTTTCGAATTTCTGACACACCATTTGCGTCGAGCTTCTAATGCTCAATTATGTCTCCGAAAAAATTGCCTTGTAGCCTAGTGGTTAGTGTAGGCGTCCTATGCATTTTGCTCTCCGGTTCGATGAGCAAAATGACAATCTTACAAGCTTACAATCGCAGAGCTTACAATCACCTTCAACACTTACTACCATTCATACTGATACTTTCAAGCTTGATTTCTTTCTGATTTCTGAAAAAAATGTTACGATGCAAAGATGAGAAAAAGTTTATCATATTTTCAGAACATAAGACAAAGAGATTCTTATTTTATCAGGAATTCGATTTCCAACTTTTGAAAACTTATAAATAAGTCAGATCAGAAATATTCGAAACTTTTCAAATTATTTTATGATTTCTATGAGCAAATATACTTTTACCTGTTGTAAACGAAAGCCCCGCTGGTCTTGAAAATAGTTTTTAATCATTTAAAAAAATGACGAAAAATTTACGGAACAATTTGGGACCAAACTAGTACCATTGAAGTGTCCTACACCCACGATAGCCGATAACAATTTTGTCTAAACTTTCATTTTTGAATGAAAACCTATCGAAATTTTGACGAACTCGAACTCAGCACCCCCTAAAACCCCAAAAAAGTGAGCCCCACAAGCATATTAGTATCTAGAATTGTTATTCCAGAAAGCTTTCAACGAATGAGGAGATTTTGTTCGATCGATATGATCAAGTGATTCAACTTCACACCGCTCCCAGGTCAGAAAAGATAGATGTGAATGTACCCCAAAATCTTACCTTGCGATGTGCCATGAAACTTTCTATAACTCATGTGACAAAATCCATGTTTTGAACAGAATTTCAGATGCAATTACACTTATAAAACGAATCGCCTTCGACGGGAGGATTGGGAGGGTGCTGAGAAAATTAATCGAGAATTCACTAGGGTAATTGCCTTTATCTATTATTATCTATTCATTGACAGATTCTAGGAAAATTTGAATAACTTAAACCTTGAGTTACAGGTATGGAAAGATCATCAAAACTTTGTGAACATTTTGGATAACAAAGATGACTGTTGGGATTCGAAAGTGGGCGAGGCTTGGACTACGGTAGCGCGATATGCAAATTGCTTTTTAGAATGTAATACTTTAGGTGCTTTCCCTACTCAATCAAAGTTGAGAATGGCAATTCACCTATTTACAGAAAATAAACACATTTTATTTTGAGCCGTGTAAAAATGCGTTTACAAATAAACAATAGAACATGCAGAGATCTGTGGATTACGGCAAAATTTGCATGCCATCAAAAAGTCACTGATCAAATTTGCTTTCTGGTTTTTCCAGAATGGAATTTTTTTGACTTATTTGGCTAAGAAACACCCCAAGAATGCTAGAAAAACAAAAAATTAGTGTCGCTCAGCCATTTTCGGGAAAATTTCAAGCAATTTTTTAGTAAACCTTATTTATTATTTGACCCAATTTTTGCATTTAACTTTTTGTCATTTATTATTGGTTTTGCTTGCATGAAGATTGTTTGTGGCCTTTGCACCGTCTGCACCTGCCTATAGGTATCGCGTTTTTTGTGGTTTTTGCCTGGGTTAGGTTAGCGCATCGCGCTTCACCTAACTCAGGCAAAAACCACAAAAAAAGCGCGATACCTATAGGCAGTTGCGATCGGTGCGGGCGGGCATGTGTGCTGCAAGCTCTCAAGGGCATCGCCTACCGCGCCGGATCCCTATCAAAATGGATCGTTCCCTATCAAAATAAAAAAATCTGTCCAAACTGAAGAATGTTTGAAATTTTCCCGAAAATGGCTGAGCGACACTTATTTCTCGTTTTTCTACCATTCTTGGGGTGTTTCTTAGCCAAATAAGTCAAAAATTCCATTCTGGAAAAGCCCCTTAGACTCCATATCAGCCTCCTAACTTACCGAATTTTCTAGGAGAATATTTGTATTGCTTTTGTCAACTTTTGCTATTTTCACAAGCATTCCAACTTTTGTTATTAAAATAGAGACAGTTTCATAAGCATTGCGGCATTACGGTGAAAAGAAAAGAGCGGTTCCACTGAGCAATATTGACGTAACAAATGAATGAGTTGCTGACGAAAAGTGACCAAGGTTTTAGGTCAGAATATATTTTTATCGAGGGCAAAAGATAGAGAATGTTAAATTTTCAAAGAAACTTTTCACAAACAAATTAAAAATATTCAGCTGTTCAACTATCGATTTGATGAAAAGTCTTATTGAAAAGTCTTATCGTTAAAGTCTTTTTTGGGCTTTCTTTCTCGTCCTTTTCTAATTCGCTTTTTTTGGAGCTTGAGTTTATTTTTTCATTAGTATTTCGTTTAATTTAGGATCAAAAATGGCTCCTCCAGATGGCAAAGAAAAACAAAAACGCAAAGAACATCGCGGTTGTTTTTGAAAAGCTAAACGTGTTATAGCTATTTTTAGTTCATTCGAAAGGAGGCAAAGTGACAAAGAAAAAGGATCGCGAAAAGAAAGATGGAACGTCAAAAGTGGCTCCTCCTGAGGTAAGCTTATGTTTCTTAAGTGTAAACTTTTTCATTTAAGGTTAATCGAGCACGAAAGGGCTATACGTTCAAATCGGCCAACAAAGCAAATCGAGCAGTGCGAAGGTTTCATTTTTAAAGAAAGCTTTTTATATTTTTAATTAGAGCGGCTGATATTGATGAAAAGAAGAAGCACATTCCATATGTTGATCGAACTTCAACCCTTCCGCCTCCAATTATTGTTGCTATTGTCGGTCCTTCAAAGGTGATTTTTAAAAATTTTGTTTTTTGAGGTTAATTGCAAGTATAAACAATGGTTTAGGTTGGAAAAACAACGCTTTTACGTGGTTTGATCAAGAATTATGTTCGTGGAGCGCTAAGTCAAATCAAAGGTAATCCACCTAAATTTTAAGGAAAAAAGACATATTTTAGGTCCTGTAACCATTGTCACAAACAAAACAAGAAGAGTCACTTTTATTGAAGTGAAAAACGATATAAACCATATGATTGACGTTGCTAAAATCGCGGACTTGGTTATTATAACGGCCCAAGCTAAATTTAAATTGTTTTAGGTTCTGTTAATGGTGGACGCTTCTTACGGCTTTGAAATGGAACACTTTGAATTTCTCAATATTTGCCAAGTAAACGGAAAATCAAAACATATATCAATTTCTTTCTAGATCCATGGCATGCCAAGAGTTTTGGGCATTTTGAATCATCTGGATTGTGTACCGAAACTTGCAAAACAACGAAAGATCAAAAAACAACTGAAGCATCGATTTTGGACGGAAGTTTATCAGGTTTAGTTTTTTTCGATCAACTTTTGACCTCTTTTTGTTTTTAGGGATGTAAAATGTTTTACTTATCAAAGATAACTAACGAAAAATATCTCACAAATGATGTCAAGAATCTTGCAAGGTAAAAATCATCTGCATGAGTGATATTAAGATTTTATAGGTTTATCTCTGTAATGAAATTCCGACCGATGCCCTGGCGTGATGCGCATCCATACATTCTTTGTGACCGCTTTGAAGATATAACAGATCCAGAGGTATAATAATAAAAATTATCGAGTTATTTTCGTTCTTAGGTGATTAAGAAAAATGACAAAACGGATCGAGCCATTTGTCTTTATGGATACATGCGTGGTGCTCAACTAAAAGAACATTCAGCGGTAAATTTAATAATTCAATATGTCAACAAAGACTGATTAGGTTCATGTTCCGGGTATCGGTGATTTGCGGGTAGCGTCTATTACTTCACTAGCTGATCCATGTCCTTTTCCTGATAAAACGAAACGAAGAGGTCTCAATGAGAAGGTAAAATTTAGACTTGTTTCTTTTTTATCTTGGAATTTTAGGAGAAGATCATTTATGCTCCGTTTTCTGGCCTTGGAGGAATCGTTTATGACAAGGATGCTATCTACATTGACACTAAAGGAGCCCAGAGTTTCTCGAAAAATGTATACAATTGCGCGTATAAAAAAATGTATTGAATTTTAGCGTAAACGCAATGAACTGGTGGAAGCATTGGAGAATGTTAAAGTTGGAATTGATGACAAGATGCAAAATGTGGAGCTCCGACTTTTAGCTAATTCGAAGGTTTTATCAAAGTGGAAAATATAAGCTCAAATTTTTAGAAAGCCGTAACGAATGTTGAAGATGGTGATGTTGAGGTGATTTTGATTTAGTTTTACTCTACAGTCATGCACAAAAGTCTTGACCAGTCCTCTCAAAAAAATTTCATGCTTATCAAACTTATCTTTTATCAAAACATCAAAATAACTTTTTGACGAAATACATTTTTGAGATGCGCTAACATTCTATTTTCATAATCGAACATAGCAAACTATCAAACAATTTATTTAGTATCATTAGCATATCATTTATGACAAAAACCCAAAAAATGCTGCACAAAAGTCTTGACCCTAAGCCAAAAAAACATGAGATAAATTTTGTATGAACTTTAATTTTAAGATGGACGATGAAGAGGATAATGATGACTACTCTTTGATCGATGAAGACGAAGAGTTTGATGGCATGTCAGAAGAAGATTTCAAATCGGAAGACGACGAAGTAACTAAAAGATCTTTTAATAAACAGTTTTGGATTCTAGGAAAACGAGTCGGGCAGTGATGAAGATGATGGTGAAGAGCTATTCAAGAAACGACCCACAACAGATCAAACTTTAGTGAATGCGGTATAAAAGTTACGTTTCAGCTACAATAATTCTTTATTTAGATTAACGCTCCAGACTTGAATTTGAGCGATGTGGCCAATCGAGCTGCCCAACTCTACACTCCATCAAAAACAACACGGATAAATTGGAACAAAATTGTTTATGATGAAGGTAAGATGAAAACATACAATTCATTTTATGTCGAGATTTTAGATAATGCAACAAAAGAAGAAACACAAGAAAACGATGAACTAACTGCCGGTCTCTTCACTATCAAAAGAAAAGATAAAGCCAAAACATTGTATTCACAGGTAAACTTTAGCTCAGATTAAAAGATTAATTTTAATTTAGGAAGATGGTTTCTGCTATCGTCAATTTCCGTCTACTTCAACAGCAACGATTAATAATTGGGAAGACAGTGAGCAAAGGTTGTGTTTAAGTTTTCTTTTTTTTATGATTTTAGTTTAGAGCTACGATTAGCGATTGTTTTGTCACTGGGAAATGGGATGAAGAGGCAGCTGAGAAAAAAAAGCTAAAGGGTAACTTTAAGTTAACTAAAAAAGAAGTTTTTCGAGATTGAAAATTTGAAAATCTCCAGGCTTAAAACTCCTCCAAAAGGGGGCATACCGAAGGTGGTCAGGCGACCCTATAAATACCGGGGCCTGGCTAGCCTCAGTACGCTCCTTCACATTAGAACTTCCCCAAATCATCCTTTGTGATAAGCTTATTTGAAGCGTACACTATTGTAATTTGCTATTGCTTGAATCAAGAGTCCTGAAACCACTACTTTTTACACTCTATCAAACATCCAAGCAAACTCAATACAATCACACATCACAGGTTTCACAAACCTACTCTTGATTTAGATGAGCTCCGTGGTGCCAAACATGGTGATGACGACGATGATGATGACGTTTGGGATGCTTTTGATCTTGACGAAGAGGGAAACCCGTTAAATGATGATGATGAAGACATGAATGAAAGCGATGAAGATCACAGTTTGGAATTGAAAGATTCTTTTCGATGATATTCCTAGATGATGAAGAGGAAGAAGTTGATGGGGAGGCTAAAGAAGATGAAGATTCGGAAGGCAAAAATGAGGATAAAAGTGAAAACAAGAAAGACAAAAAGGTTTTTGATACTCATTAAATCTATCATCAAAAGGATACGTTTAGAAAATGCGATTAAGACACCTCTTTGATCCGGATCATGATGAAAGCAACGAATACTTCAACAACCTTAAAGCAGAATTGGAAGATCAAGCAAAATTAAACCGAAATGCTTTTGAGGTTGAGTTTGTACGTTTTCCCCTTCATGCTTATTTTAGGGACTAGAAGACCAAGATCGAGAGAAAATTGAAGGTTTTCGAGCGGGTGTCTATGTCAGGATCGAGTTTAGTGGTTGGGTTTTAGTAATTCACTTGCACGACAGGAATTAATTTAGGTATTCCATATGAAATGGTTGAACATTTTGATGCGACTTCTCCTTACATTATCGGTGGACTTCTAACAGGAGAACAGAATATTGGAGTTGTTCAGGTGGCTTTTTGAAGTTGCAAATAAAAACTTGAATGAACAAACTAAAACCTACAACCATTACTCTTTTTAGGTTCGATTAAAACGTCATCGTTGGTTTGATCGCATCTTAAAGTCAAGAGATCCGTTGATTATCAGTTGCGGATGGAGACGATATCAAACATTGGTCATCTATAGTATGCAGGTAGCCCATGCATTATAGCAAGCATTTGCAACGTTATTTTAGGATCACAATATGCGACAACGCTTTTTGAAATACTCTCCAGAACATATGCATTGTCATGCCACTTTCTGGGGTCCTATCACATCACAAAACACCGGCTTTCTTGCAGTACAAAGTGTGGCGGATCGAATTGTAAGCTTTACTTTACTATCAACTTAACTTGGACATATTCTGTTTTAGAAAGGTTTCCGCATTTGTGCTTCGGGTGTTGTGCTAAACCTTGATAGAAACCACCAAGTTGTCAAAAAGCTCAAACTTATTGGCACGCCACATGAGATTCACAAGAAGACAGCGTTCATGAAGGTTTTTGGGATAATTTTGAGTAAAGACATGATCATTTAGGGAATGTTCACATCGCAAATCGAGGCTGCGAAGTTTGAAGGTGCAACAATACGAACAGTATCAGGTTTTTTGCACACAAGGATTTCTAAACTTTTTGTCGTAGGAATTCGTGGAGAAATCAAGAAAGCAATTCCAAGACCCCCCGGTAACGTTCGCTGCACATTTGAAGACAAAATACTTATGAGTGGTACGTTTATTATTATTTGTCGTTAATATGTTCAATGTTTTTTGTACTGAACTTGTTTTAGACATCGTATTTCTACGAACTTGGGTGACGGTGCCAATTCCTCAATTCTACACGTCTGTCATTGACCATTTGATGACACCTGAAAACAAATGGGAAGGAATGAGAACGGTGGGTGTAGTTAAACGGATCATTTAATGATTATTTAGGTCGGAAAAATTCGCCACGAGCTTGGATTAAAACCCGAAACAAAGAAGGATAGCGATTACCGGGTAAGTGTTTGAGCCGAAAACTGAATAAAAAGCATTTCAGGAAGTAGAACGAGTTGAGTTCAGAGCACCCACCTTGAAAGTGCCGAAGAAATTAGAAGCTGAATTACCGTATCGCTTGAAACCAAAACATGGCCCCATGGAGGTGGATAACTTTTTTACTTTCAATAAGGCTTTTTACTTGCTTTTAGACTAAACCCACGAAAGAACAAAGTTTCATTGCCAAGCACACGGCTGTAATACTTGAACCCGAGGATTCGAAGAGGGAACGACTTATGAACATGCTACGAACGTTGCACAAGTAACCACTAATATTTTTAGGGTTAGATTGTTTTGATTTCAGGGAAAGTGAGACAAAGGATAAAGTGGCTCGTGATGCAGCCAAGGAAAAACATCGGAAAGAGGTAAAACAATATTTTCTGAGACTTTGGACTGATGAATTTTCTAGGTAGAAGAATTTGAAACAAAGAGGGCGCGAAACATCAAATTGCACAAAAAGGCCATTTGTCGTCGTCTCAGCAAACAAGAGCAGAGCAAGGTTCTTTTTCCAGTTGTACTGATAAAATTTGCCATCTTTTGGGTCAGAAAAGCAATTAACGGCATCAAAGGCATTGGAGCTGGACCGAGTAACTAAATCGTGTTTATTTTGTTACCTTGTTGTTTTTAGGATTTTTACATTGTTATTAGTTGATTGTTGAGTTTTTTATTGTTTGTTTTAAGAATAAACATTTATTACTACAACTCGTCCAAGATAAATCTTGCATACATAGTTTGTTTGTAATTTTTACTTAACGTTTTCGATTCTGAACTTGAAGATGAAAAATTGAGTTTAGGCGAATGATTGGGTTGGAGTCGTGGTTTGCGAATTTCAGCCAAATCTCACAAAGGTACATAGAAAACTACTGCTCGTTTGTAGTACAAAAAATTGTCGATTGTCATTCTGTTATTACCAATGAATAGATGTGGTGATTGTTGGAATTTTTAGATGGATTACCGCAGAATCACTAGCAGAAATTCCCCGTCCACATCTCGAATATGCGATCTGGGGACTTTGGAAAGGCGGCCAAGTGATGTCGATTTTAGGTGGGAAAATTGCCTTTATATCTTGCGTATTAATTATTGTGTTAGGAGGTCTCGTTGTTCATCCGATCTATCGTTTATATCAACAACGACAACTAACACCCGAAACGACAACTACAAACTCGGATAAAATTATTCGAAATAATTGTCGACGGATACAGGTTGGTTTGCTTTCAAATGTAAATTAAGCTTTTTTTATTTGCTCAATAGGTACATAGGCAATGAATAGAAATTAATTTCCCCATGCATAGTCATTTGTTTATAGGGTCGTTTTCTATTGCTTGGACTAGTTGGCGGACCAATGCTCGCCTATTTTCATTCGAATACGATGACTGAATCTGAGTTGAAAGCAAGATGTTATCAAATACGATTAGATGGAGAAGGACTCACGATGGTTTTACTTACTTAACGTATTCTCTATGTTCATTTGTTTAGGATCGCATGACTTTTGTTTTCGGTTTCATTGGATGGTATTGGAGACGTTTTCAGGTTCGAATGAAATTTGGGTTTTCTGATTATTTGTTTTTTTTAGGGTGCAGTTGATGGGATTAACCTCGGAATTGTGGGTGCGTTGGCGCACAGGAAATTGGTAGCACCCTACACAACACCCATGTTTTATGATGCGGTTTGTCTATGTTTAAGGATGTTGATAAATGATTTCAGATATTAATATTTGAATCTATTGTCTTTTTTCAGATCCCCAAAGAGGAGCAATACGAGAATGTGATATCCGGCGAGAAACACGGAGCCTCGAAATTGAAGCAATTTTTGATAGAAATGGATGAAAAGAAAGCAACGTGAGATTGGCGATTTGTTTAGTTTCTTAGATTTTAGGGTTTCTGATTTGTTGAGTGCTCATATTTTTTTGCATAGTTTTGATTGTGTATAGATGATATTTGTTTGTCTTTCTTGTTCGACTTTGATTTTGTGCGTTTCCACACGAATAAAGTTAGTGGGGTGCTTGTAGATAAATGCAATACATGAGTATTGCCGGAGTTCCGATTTGTACAGTGAAGCTGTGTGAGGAATCAGCATTCGAAGGCAAATATTTTCTAGTAGATATGCTTAAAGAAAAACTACCGGACTCGAATTATCTTTTAAAATCTCTGATCCTGTCCTTTAACTTTAATCCGAGAGTCTAGGCTGATGAGGATTATTGTGGTTGTTTTACAAAAATACAGCCGAAACCATATTTTTCTTGAGAGCACAGTCGGAAACCGAGCCAAAATGTCCATCACGTCTAATCCATAACGAAACTCTTGATGAGAGTTGCGAAAAAAAAAGAAAGCAGTTTCGCACAGTCCACAGTTCTCCCATTCATTCCTTCGTTCCCCAATCAATCTCTCAATCTCTCTCTTCATTTAAATCAATGTGATCTCTTTTCTCTCTCAAAAGGATCACCTTTCTTTTCTTTTCTTTTCTTTTCTCATTTCATTTCCCCCATTCTTCTCCATAAATCTCTCGAAATTATCACTTAATCACCGATTCTCAAGTTTTTCCCCCTTTATCCTTGTTTGTACTGATTGAATGAAAAATCGACGATTTAGCGGGCGCATTTCTCTCGGTTCGAATCATTCTTTTTCAACTCCTCCTTTTTTTGGCACCCCCGCAGACAGATCGGATTTCATTGATTTGTAAATAAATTTCGCTCATTCCTGTATTTCTGGCGCTTGAAATTGGCCGATTCCTCGTGGTTTTTCTTTTGCTTGAACTAAATCCGATACTCGTCTCTATAGTCTCGAAAAAATTCCCTAAAATGTCCCTCAAAACTGTGGTGTTGACGTAAATGAAAATGAAGTACTCGATTTTTATTCTCGTTTTTTCGATATTTGTCCCAAGCGATTCAGCGAATGAAGATCTCAAAGGGAAAAGGTGATTTTGCAGACTATATTTTACAGACGGCATTCGATATTTTACAGACGGCTTATTTTATTTTTCAATAGCTTTCAATGAGTCTGATAAACTTTCCTCAGATGCCCACAATCCTCACTTTTAAAGACTTTTCTAAAAGTTGACTCTGATTCGGAATTTCTAACAATCGCATAAAGCTGTAGTCTTTTGTAACCTGTAACACTCATCGTTCAGCAATCGACTCCGACGGAGTCTTGAGGACAATTTGCTGAAAGACGATCCGACGGCACGGTGCAGAAATGGAGGGATTTTCGAGGGGGGACAATGTCATTGCATACATCCACACACTGGACCCACGTGTCAAGATTATGCGTGCACAAGTGAGCGAATGAATAGAAATAGAAATAGAAATAGAAATAGAAATAGAAATAGAAATAGAAATAGAAATAGAAATAGAAAACCGAGCAAGCACCAGTTCTCCGGGTTCATTCAGGTCACGGAAAATCAGTGGGTCGTCGATATGATCCAAATTCTTTATTCTTCAACAAACCGTGCATTTGTGATGAGGGATGGGAGGGAGATTTGTGCGAATTTCGACTCACCGATCGGGTAGGTGAGAGAGAAACAAACAAATTACCGGGAAATGTTTTCAGTGTTCGGATCGTGGTGAATGGGTGAAAGATCATTGTCATTGTATGGGGTATTTCTTCGGATCCGAATGTCAATACACATCACGGTGTGATCAGGGAACGATAAGGCATGGGCGGTGAGTTGAGTCACTTCAAAGAAAGAAGCATCAAAAGAATTGCAGAAGGTTGATACTGTGGAATTGTTGACACATTTGTGACGACGGCATTTTGCGCGTACAGTCGCGTAGTTAGCGGTTTTACTGATAATTTGATGAAAGTTCAAAAATAAACTACCTAAACTACCATAAATACTCTAATAGAAGCCCCCTATAGGAGTTTCGGGTAGTCTAAGTTTCCTCTCAAATAAACGCTTATAACTCGACACTAGTACGTTTCTTTCTACACGTTTTGATATCAAATTAAAGTAGAGAGGATGGGTGATTTTTTGAGATATAACACATATTTTTAGCATCAACCAGCGCTTAGAAAAAGTGATTGAAAATCAGCGAAAATCGGCTCTTTTTTGCCATTTTCAATTACTTTTTCTAAGCGCTGGTTGATGCTAAAAAATATGTGCTATATCTCAAAAAATCACTCATTCTCTCTACTTTAATTTGATACCAAAACGCGTAGAAACAAACGTACTAGTGTCGAGTTATAAGCGTTTATTTGAGAGGAAACTTTGACTACACGATGCTCCTATAGGGGGGCTTCTATTAGAGTATTTATGGTAGTCATTCGATAGTCCTGAATCTCCTCTTTAAAACTAGTACAAAGTTACCGAGAACTTTCTACGAAATAAATAAAAAAATTCTTAAAAACTTGAGTTGACACCAAAAATAGTCGTCATTAGCACGGCTGAACTGGAGCTGTAATCCAGGCCTTCAAGGCCAATCCAGACGAGTCAAGCTGCTTTTTGTAGACTAGGCCTACAGTAAAACCAGGCCTGGACGACTCACCTTTAGAAAAACCCAGGAAAATCAGAAATTTCTTTTCCAGTTGTATTTGCAATACCGATTGGGAGGGTGATTATTGCCATCAAATTCTTTGTCATCATGGCTATGCTGGTGAGGTTCATTGCTAGAGTGCTAGAGTGCTAGAGTTCTTGAGCGTAAACTAATTCTTAAAAAATGCTTTCAGATACAAAAAACAACTCAAAATCTTGCGTTTGCCCACCTCAATACAAAGGAATTCATTGTGATGAGTGCGCGCAAGTAAACATTGAAATTAACGAATGAAATCTAATTTTTTTTTTCCAGGTTGGTCCAAAGATTGAGCCTTATCCAAAATGTGTCGTCAATTTGTATCCAAGACACGCGATTCAAACGAGAAAAAAGACGAAAACAGAGGTAGATTAAATAGGAAAACAATTAGAATAACGAGAGATGAGAATAACGCGTTTTCTAAGACGTGCCAACTTTCGAAAGCTACCTTGTCACTGACTTTATTCAATATATTTACTTTTGATCTAATTCTGTGAGGATTCAAGAAAGAAATCGAAAGATGAAAGTGAATAAAGTGCTTAAAAGGGTGGGTGGGATAAATTCGACCTTTTTTTTCGCGGGAAAAGACCTTACTGTAAATAGTGTAATAGTACCCCCACCTCCATAATGATGGTGCGGAGTGTTGCGTGGTCTAGTTTTGAACGAGTGTTTCTCAACACTGGTTTATGCTACAATGCGCGCTTAGGTATCAAAAAATAGCTGAAATTCAGGGCTATTTTTTGATATCAAAGACGTATTTTTTTGAAAGTACAGGGGCTTTGAAAAAAAATGAAATACTAAAAAACCTTTGCGACTACGCGACTGTACGAGGGGGGTGGGGTACTATTACAGTATTTACGGTAAGAAAGGCCGTAGAGCTGCAAAAATGTTTTCAGATAAAGGAATCGTAGATTTTAGATTAGAGAGGGAATTAGATTCCGAATTTTGACAAAAAGTAACGCTTCTCCGCAGTTTTTGCCTTTTAGCCCAAATTTGATGTGCCAGCGAGGTCTGTTTTGTCAAAATTTGGAATCTATGCATACGATTCCCTTATATGAAAACATTTTTAAAGCTCTACGGCCTTTCCTAAGGTCTTTTCCAGCAAAAAAAGGTCGAATTTGTCCCACCCGCGGTTAAAAATTAGACAAGGTCTACCGTAGTTTAAGTTGACACGTTTTAGAAAACACGAATTTGAAAAGAATACTCTCTCTTGGTGAAAACTTATCAGAGTTTTCAATGTAACTGTTTGAAGACAGCTTTGAAGCTTTAAAAACTATACTATTACCATAAACAAAGCAAACAGTTATCCATTGTCAACACTTTATCGCCAACACTTTTGTTTACTTTGAGATTTAATCAAACAATCCTTTTTCTCATTTTCAGATTCGTCACCGTTTCATCATTATAATGTGTGCTTGCGCTTTTTTAGCGGTCATCGCTTTGATGATGGTTTTCGTGCATTATAGGAGGAAGAAAAATAAAAATCCTGAGGTTTGTTTGTGGAATTATCTTAGAGTTAAAATACTTATTGAATCTGAACAAATGTTTTAGGTGGAACTTGCTCGGCAACAAGAATTAGATGAACGAACAGCCATGTTGACTGAACAAGCAATGACGAGGTGAGGGATGGGAAGGGAAAGATAAGGAAAAGAAAGATATTCAAGTAATGAGGGGAAGGGAAAAGATGAGGGAAAGATAAGGAGAAGAAAGATAAGCAAAAGAAAGATATTCAAGTAATGAAGGGAAGGGAAAAGATAAGGGAAAGATAAGCAAAAGATAAGGAAAAGAAAGCTAAGGAAAGGAAAGATAAGGGAAAGAAAGCTAAGCAAAAGAAAGATAAGCAAAAGAAAGATATTCAAGTAATGAAACCATTTCAAAACTCATTTCAGTGCGATGGCACCGGTGGCTCAACGGAAAAAGTCTCTTTTAGGGACATTTCAATTGAGAAGGTAAAAGAGAAAAACGTTATTGAAATCAAAAGGGAAAGTGCAATAAGAATTTGAGCAACTTCAAGGGCTAGTACTCAAGTTTAGGCATAAAATTTTGATCCTAGATGGCCAAAGTCTACATCAACGTGCTAAACTAGAGTGCGTTTCTTCTTAACTTTTCGAAAACTTGACAAGAGCATGTCTGCGGTCCACAGCTTTAATACTTACTAGAATCTAGAAAATTAAATTCAATCATTTTCAATCTCGAAAAAAGTTTAATCTGGTACCAGATCTAAGAAATTAGTACTAACAAGTATAGTAATGCCATTTTGGTATCAGATTTATCCAGGGTGCGTGAAAAGTTGTGTTCTCTTCTTAAAAAAAACACTCTTACACTTTTAAAAACACTTTTTACAATGTTTTATGAAGTTTCCAAAGCCTCAAAGCCTATAAAATTAGATTTTCAAGTATTTTTACGCTAGAAACTTGTTTCATATGTTCTATTTTACTTATATAGAAATTTTTATAGAACTTTTTATGACAACATTTAAGGTCGCAGGCCAAAATAGCCAAAGTAACTTTCCTAGCTTTGTAGCAAATTAGAATTTGATATTTTCAAAAGTTTTTAGTAACTATTTTACTATAAAAAAAGAGTTTATTATAATTTATTACGATTTTGAATTTCTAGTTGAGCATTCTCGCCTGCAGTTGAGCATTTAAGGTCCCTCTTCAGATCGACTTGTGCAATTTTGAGATCTCATGTAATTTTGGTCACCTCTTTTCAAAAAAAAAAAAAATCCTGGATTATAGAAACAAAATTTTCTATGAACTATGGCTAGCCAGATATGAATAATGCTAAAAAGTACTCAGGGCAATGTTTTAGATAAATAGTCATTTCAAAAAGTGTTTAGGAAAGCTATTTTGGCCTACGACCTTAAATGTTGTCATAAAAAGTTCTAAAAAAAATTTCTATATAAGTAAAAAAGAACGTATGCAACAATTTTCTAGCGTAAAAATATTTGAAAAATCTAATTTTATAGGATTTGAGGCTTTGTTTTGAGAACTTCATAAAACATTGTAAAACGTGGTTTTTTTTAAAGAGAGGACATAACTTTTCACGCACTCTGTACTAGAGTGTGTTCCTCGCGAGTAATGCCTTTTTTAAAGCGCACACTTAAGAAAAATTGCCGTACTTTTAGCGAAAATTATTGCAAAAAATTGGCGCAAAAAATCACGAGCGACGAGTTATTTACGACTCTTTTTAAAGATATTCAGCCGTTTAACTGATTTGGTGGCAAATTCCCGTCACATGTAAAGATATTCAATTTACTCGACGTGTAAAGAGGATTACTTGTAGTTACTCGACCAAAAAACGTCGATTAATCGAGTAAAAATTGCTGATGCAGATTTTACTCGAGTAATTAATTACTTACTCGCGAGGAACGCACTCTAGCTCAAGCCATTCCCCTACTCGCACTCTGTACAAATTAACAGATTTATAAAAATCTGTTAATTTTTTACAAAAACAGAAGCCGACTTTTGGGTAAAATACGTAGAAGTTGACACGTGATTTCTATTGGAAATGGCAATTTTAAAAGAACTCGCAAAATTTCAGAGATATCTCCAAAGATTCTTCATTCACGAAAAAAGACCCTCGAAGACTTTCCCTCCAAAATCCATTCACTCTTCGCGATCGGTCAAGGGGATCCGATGAAAATTCATAGTTTAATTACCCTTGGCATTAGCTCAATTCCTTCTTTCACATTACAGTATGCCCCTTTTCTTGTTTTTTTTTAGAATTTTGTCAGTGATCAATTACTTTATCAAATCTGATCGAAGCTTTTAATTATGACTAATGCGTTTTCTAAAATACACTTTAAAAAAGCCAGCAACTCGACGGTCAATTTTCATTCCATTTTCCCATTCAATCCATTCGGGTGATTGAATGAAAACTGGCAATTGATTACCGTAAATACTGTAATAGTACCCCACCCCTCATAATGACGGTGCGGAGTGTTGCGTAGTCTAGCTTTGAACGCGTTTTTCTCGACACTGATTTATGCTACAATACGCGCTTAGGTATCAAAAAATAGCTGAAATTCAGGGCTATTTTTTGATACCAAAGACACATTTTTTGAAAGTACGGGCGCTTTGAAAAAAATGAAATACTAAAAAACTTTTGCGACGACGCGACTGTACGACTGTAAAGACTACGCGACTGTACGAGAGTGGTGGGGTACTATTACAGTATTTACAGTAGGTTGTCTTTTAGAAAACTCAATGATCTTTAATAACTTTTTGTGTGACTTTTTTTGTGACTTTTTTTGTGATAACTTTTCTTGTTTTCTTGTTTTCTTGTTTGTTCATTTCCATCTCATTCCAAAGAAATAAAACCCAAAAATTTTTCGAAAATCCCAGAGAAAAACACAAAAAAAAAAAATTGGTCAAAATTGAGCACCTGAATCAAAATGAAAAAAAAAAGGTGAAAAGTGATGAAATGAAATGAATTGTGGAAGAAATAAATATAAAGAAGGAAACTTTTTACAATGTGGCCATTTGTTTGATTAAGTCGTCAAGAAAAATTGTGATTTTATCCATCGATGCGGGACAGAAATGCTTCTGGAGTTCGTCCTGGAAATGGTTTTTATCAATCAGTAGAGAAACTTTAGAGATTCATCCATTTTCTAAAAGAATGTATCCAGGAAAAAGCTGTCGTATTCAGTTACTGTGATTTTTGTACAGCTACAAAAAGCTAGTAATTTTCAGTGGGCGAGCCTTTCGCAAAGCCTACATAATGTAAACACATTCACAATTAAACTGGTCCTCTTAAATTAAATCGTTCAAATCATATTTTCTAAAAAGTGCTCCTTAGCGCGTCATTTTCTAAAAAGCGCACTTTTCTTTTATTATTTCTCCCTTATCGGAATTTTATAGTTTTAAACAAATATTTCTTTTCTTTGAAACAATAAACAAGGAAGAAGGTTTAACAATTAAACTGGTTCTCTTAAATTAAATCGTTCAAATCATATTTTCTAAAAAGTGCCAAAGGAAAAAGACGAAATTCCTAAAAAACCTATGAGTAAAAGTCTACTTTCCATAAAATTTTATCCCATTCAGCTGTTACTCTATACAGTAGAAGTATTTATTATTTTTTTCTTTTTTTCTATACAGTAGAACTGCGATACAACGAATTTGAAATTCATCAGCCGGCTACGGGGGCCGATTTTGAATGAAACGTTGTAGCGCCGGCAATTTTTAACCTAAACTCACAAATTTGGTACCAATCGACGCAGAATTTAATTCGCTACAAAATGATATAATATTGTCCTCATACATTAAAGGGTTGCTCTAATAGAAAGGTTTGCCAAAAAATTTCATTCATAATCGGCTACGGTAGCAAATAGGTATCAAAAAATAGCTGAAATTCAGGGCTATTTTTTGATACCAAAGACGCATATATATATATACCGTAAATACTGTAATAGTACCCCACCCCCATAATGACGGTGCGGAGTGTTGCGTAGTCTAGCTTTGAACGCGCTTTTCTCGACACTGGTTTATGCTACAATGCGCGCTTAGGTATCAAAAAATAGCTGAAATTCAGGGCTATTTTTTGATACCAAAGACGTATTTTTTGAAAGTACAGGGCGCTTTGAAAAAAATGAAATACTAAAAAACATTTGCGACTACCCGACTGTACGACTATTACAGTATTTACGGTATATATATATATGTTTACTCTATACCGAAATTATCTAAAGATTAAAATCAAATCCTATTTGCAAAAAATAGAGGGAAAAAAGCAATAGTTACACTTTGTAAAATGAAAATAACTTTCTTCTTATGAACTGCGTGTACGGTAGTTTAGCGCTTTTTAGAAAACATGATTTAAGAGGAGCACGCTCTATTCACGATGCTATTTGTTTTACCGGCTTTCATTATAAAGCCATAAGATTACGGTAGCTTTTCTTGAAGCTAAAGAGAGCTCAAGCCATTCCCCTACTCGATTTATTTTAAAATCTCACTCACATATACAAATTTCCTCCTAATCGAAGCTGTGTCCAAGCCGAGTAACTCATCCAATTCAAGCTCGATTCCCTAAAATTTATAAGCTTTTATTTAACTTTCCACTGATTTTAAGAAATTTTAAGCCAATTAGATCAATTAAGATTTTTAAAATGATTGCGAGACATTTGATACGCACCCCGCCCCTTTGTCATTGGCAATCTAACTTTGAACCCAAATATCTTGGTGTTCGGCTGTCCAATTTAAATAGTTTTTGTATCAATCGATAGAGGAGGGCTTGGCGCATCTAATGATACAAAAACTGTTTAGATTGGACAGCTCAACACTAAGATATTTGGGTTCAAAGTTAGATTGGCAATGGCAAAGGGGGCGAGACAACAGACCTTTGATATTGGCAATCTAACTTTAAGCTCAAATATCTTGGTGTTTGGTTGTCCAATTCAAATAGTTTTTCTACCAATCGACAGACAAAGACTTGGCGCATCTAATGATACCAATAATTTAGAAATTGGACAACCCAACACCAAGAAATTTGAGCTCAAAGGTAGATTGCCAATGGCAAAATGGTGGGCGTATCAAATGTTCGATAATCTTTTAAAATTGCACTCACATTATCGTCTTTCCCCGCGAAAAGTTTTGTCACCTCTTCTTCAATCCAATTTTCGATCTGAAAATGGTGATTGATAAAGTTTCTTTATTAGAGATTTATAATAGATATTAGACATACAGTACTGGACAATGAAATATGATATTTGAAAAAAGATCGTCACTTTCGCGCGTCTGTAACTCCCTTGTCTTTACCGTATTTCTAAATATTAATATTACCATTGTGTAGCCCTTGAAAAGAGCTTTCAGAAAATGTATAACACTAATAGTTTAAACTCAAAGACAAAGGGAGTTACAGACGCGCGAAAGTGGCGATCGTTTTTCAAATATCATATTTCATTGTCCAGTACTGTAGATAGTGTCATTTCTTTGCATTTTCTTCTCACAAATTCGACCTGCATTCTTTTCCTGATCAAAACCATTTGCTGTTTTCCGTATTTCATTGTTAGCACGCGATTTCGCTCAATCTGAATGAGAGTTTTTTTGAATTTCGAAAAAAAGCTGTACTTTGTACATTTGTATAATTGTAAAAATATTAACAGCCCCTTTCTAGTGCACTCGATTCTTCTGCAATGCACTCTTCAAATTTTCACAGTAATAAAGAGTTGAGTGCGCCAGAATGGATGCGCATACATTTTAAGCACAAAGTTTAAGCCTGATATAAAAAAAAACCGAATAATATTTCTTAATAGCAAACCCTTCTTTCTTCTCTCTCGCCGCCGAAACGAGCATGTTTCGCGTCTTCTGTCATTTTGGAATTTACAACTGAAATGAAAATTGGATTGAAGAAGAGGTGACAAAACTTTTCGCGAGGAAAGACGATAATGTGAGTGCAATCGATTGCAAATTTTATTTTCACAGATCCACAAAAGTAAAGAAAATATATAAGATATATAAGAAAAACTGATGAAAAACATTTGCACTTACTTTCAAATGAATTTTATGCAAAAAAAAGTACTCTAGAAACAAAAACAGTACTCTAGAAACAAAAAAGTACTCTAGAAACACCTGTAATCTACAGGAGGTACTTTTACGATAAGATTATCTAATCGTTTTTGAACTAAATACAATAAGATCTCAATTTCTAGGGTAAAGATATAGTTTTTTTTTGTAATCGGACATGAATCGGACATATTTTCTATTTGTTTTAAGACTGACTTATTTTCATTTGATAAAGTACCTCCTGATCGTAAAAGTACCTCCTGTAGATTACAGGTGTGTACTTTTACGATAAGATTCTAAGATTAAAGATTTGTACTTACTTTCAAATCAATTTTATACAAAAAAAAGTACTCTAGAAACACATGTACCTTCTGTACTTTTACGACAAGATTATCAGTAAGTCAGTCTTAAAACAAATAGAAAATATTCATGTCCATGTACAAAAAAACTATACATTTACCCTAAAAATTGAAATCTTATTGTATTTAGTTCAAAAACGATCATTTTCAAAACTTTTGTAAACTCTTCGCAAAATATTGTTTGACAATACTCCAAAAAAAAAAGAAGAGACTGAGAGGAAGAAGGGAAAAGAAAAGAGATAAGTGATCTATGGAAAAGTAGAAAAGATTTAAAGGAAAAGAAAAGGAAAAGAAAAGGAAAAGAAAGGAAAAGAAGAACTCATCCAAAATGAAACTTTTTTTTTGTGAAATGGAGAGAATGGAAAAAAAAAGAGGAACACAGCTAAACAAATAAATGTAAAGAGAAAAAGAATGGAGATGGAGATGGAGATGGAGATGAGAAGATCCTCGACATTCAAAAACCATCACAAATACCTCTTCGCTCTCATCCATTCCCCTTTATGAATGGGATTAAAGGAGATGAGTTTTGGGAGGAAAGTTCTTTATCATACGGAATACAGAAGGTAAACATTGAAGGTAAGCATTGAATTGAAGCTAATAATCTTATTGTAATATTCAAATTCAAATTTGTACAATTGAAGGGTTGAAGCAGACTATCAAGCTTAAATTTTCTTCTCTTTCTTCCTTTCTCTTCTCCCTTATATTTCCTCTTTCTTCCTTTCTCTTCTCCCTTATATTTCCTCTTTCTTCCTTTCTCTTCTCCCTTATATTTCCTCTTTCTTCTCTAGGAAATAGTTGCCGGATAGCTCAGTGGTTAGAGAATCGGAAAGCAAAAAAACTAAAATAGGTCGGAATCCCCTCTTCGGGAATTTTTCTTTGTCGCTCCTTACTCTACTTTATTCAGCGTTATGCATAGTATGCTCCTTTCAATTAATTTACTTTCTAAAAAGCATCTATTTGATCAAACTATCGTAATCCGATCTATTAGGTTGTTCGGATATAAACAAGCGTTGCTAAACTTCTTGTTGTGAGAGAAGCTTTTAAAGCTTCTTTTAAAAGATGTCTTTCTGTATTTAAAAGTACGTTATCTTGTGCATATTTGGAATATTTTTAAACGGATAATTTCTTATTTTTATTAAGATTTAAGATCTTTTTTTTTCTTGCTTTAGATCACCGACTTCAAATATATCAAATTCGCGTCTGCTTCTACTACTTCTACATCTACTTTACGACTTCAAAACTGGGCAAAACAGTCGCGGAATCCCATCGAGATTTGGTCAAAGCATTTGGGAATAATATATTGTCCGAAAGCCGATGCCGAGCCTGGTTCCAACGCTTTCGGAATGGTGATGAAAGTCTCGAGGATGATCTCGAGGTCGACCAGAGGAACACTTTCGTCGACCTCAAGCGGTAGACAACAATATTTTGAGGGCTGCAATCGAATCGGATCCATGTTAAACGACGCGTGAACTTGCTCAACAGTTTCTATGTTCAAATTCTACTATTGATGAGCATCTCCACACCATTGGAAAAACGATCAGATGCGGGAAATGGCTTCCTCACGATTCAAGCAGTGCAAACGCTCGTTTATATCCGAACAGCCTAATAGTTTTCACATTTAGTCAACTGGATTTTGGTATGATTCGGTGAGGAATCTAGGGTCAGTCAATGATACAATATTTGAAGAATTACGGTAACTTTCGTTACGGTTGTCTTTTAGAAAGTTAATTAATGAAGCGCGAGACAATCTAGTTGTGAAAGAAGTTTGCAAAGATCTCCATGGATCAGACTGACACTTTAGAGGTGCTGATTTGAAGCCAACTCTGCATTTACTAAATTGGGCACTTTTTTAATGGTGCTTGGGTTATTTGGCTTTTTGATTTACATATACAATTTAGTTGAGTGCGTGGGTTTCATAGTCAAACTTGTTCATGGACTATTTTTCTTCATTTTTCGCTTAAATCAGTCAAAAGAATCAACAAAAATCTAGAGTTTTTCTGAAAGATTATAAAGCAAAAACGAAAAGTTCCCAATTCTTAAGGGAATTTTGAATTTCGATCAAAATAGGCAAGTCGTAAAGGGGATAATTATCAAAATGAGGGGGAAAAGGGGCATTTCATTTTAGAGGGGAAAACGAGATGAGATAAAAAAAGGAAAATTTTGAATTTATAAAGAAAACCCCTTGAGAGTTTGAAGGGAAATCTTGAGAAGAAAAATTTGATTCGGTAAAGTGGAAGGGGTGGGGGTGGGGGGGGGGGTGGGGGTGGAGGGGCGAAAGAACGAACAATCCGAGAAAAGTTCGGAATTTTAGGGTTAAAGTCTCTTTTCTCTAAGCAGTCTCTAAGCATTCAAATAACAGTTTGAATGGCAGGGCAAGAGCATTGTATTTACGAGATTTATTGGTGGATACAGGTCTAAAGCTGGACGGGGATTATCGGTGAATAGAACTGAAGAAGCACTATCACATCTCCCTTCTATGGAACTTCCTCCGGAAGATGGACAACATAAAGAATTCTTTCATTGACTAGCGAAGTGCAGCGGTGGCCTAGTGGTTAGTGGGCTTGATTACGGGACTTACCAACACTTTTGCTCTTAGGTTCGAACCCTACTGGTGCTAAAACTTTTGTTTTGGTAAGCAAAGAAGTCGTTAAAATTTCAGAAGTCATTTTTGTGCATTTGCATGCTTTTTGGTAGATTCTGATTTCGGATTCGGAATCTCCGTAATCGATTTAATAAAATGCATTTGATCCTGGAACGAAAGCTCACCGCTAGTTCGTGCTTTACCCTAGTGAGAACTCGTGGTATGATTTAAAAAAACCCAATCTAGTAACCCAACAAAGATCAATTAGTAACAGATATTTTAATTAGTGTCAAATTTCATCACTCTCATGGATCTAGTCAAGCAACTGATGACAACTGTAGCAACTCATTGACCTGCTATTAGAGTTGAAATGATTCTGTATCTTGGTTTGGTTTGATAACGAGAAATTTGGTACTACTTGCTAGAGCCATGTCCATACGCACATCGGCGCAAAAATGCGTTTTCTATCAGATTTTTCTGGGAGTACTTTTTTAGATGCGGAAAATTGTGCTGATTCCGAATCTGAAGGAATTTTTCAAATCCCTCTGACAGAAATTTTTTAAATTGAGTTTTAGCAGTTTTTTGGTCATTTTGTATGGGAATAAAAATTCTCCCTTCGTTTTTGGTTCTAGACCCTCGTTGTCGAGTTACGAGCTCCAAACTGCAGGGTACCACAAAATTTCCCATACAAAATGACCAAAAAAACTGCTAAAACTCAATTTAAAGAATTTCTGTCAGAGGGATTTGAAAAATTCCTTCAGATTCGGAATCAGCACAATTTTCCGCATCTAAAAAAGGTACTCCCAGAAAAATCCGATAGAAAACGCATTTTTGCCTTATTTCGCGCCGACGTGCATACGTGTTAAAGCTCCAAAATCATGAGTGTCCAAAGTCAAAGCAAAATGAAAATGAAAACGAAAAGTACAGTATAAAAATGATTTAAATGCCGAATGTTGTCCTTTAACCTTTCCTCAATCATCGAAAAAATGAATGTGGGTGTTTTTCAAAAGATGAAACAATAGAGAAAATAAACTCACGAGATTCGACTTTTGTGGGAGGAGGGAAAAGAGAGAAAAATCTTTGAGAATCATGCGAATCTGTCGTGTTTTCACAGCTTTTTTCAATTCGTGCAAGCAAGAAGAGGAAAAGAAGAGAAAAGGATGGGGGAAAGAGGTGAATGAACACAAAAATGGATAAGACTTTTGATAAACAATCACATACAACAAATGAATGAGAAAGAGGAAAAGAAAGATCAACCACACACTGTGTCTGTGAACAGTTTTTCGAAGTGATGAGAGTTAATTCTTGACCTAGACTCGGTGAGTCAATGAGAGGAGACGTTCAGAGATTTTTCTACGAGAGAAACTCCATTTTGTCAAACTTCTTCTGGTAGTTATGGATCGATCGGATCGCATGTCTAGTTCAGAGCCAAAATACATTAAAAACCAGCTTTTATGCTTTACTATGCCTGGAACCAAATTTCGAGAGATAAAGGACCAAATTTGTAGAGATAAGGAACCAAATCTAGAGAGAGAAGGAACCAAAGTTACAGGGATAAGGAACCAAACTTGTAGAGATAAGCAACCAAATCTAGAGAAATAAGGAACCAAATTTAGAGAGAGAAGGAACCAAACCAAAAACCAAACAACCAGATAAGCACAACAAAAAACACAAAAATAATGAGGGGGAAAATTTTTAAACCAAAGAAAAACGACTTTTAATTTTGACCTTTAGGACTGTAAAATTTAATTTAGCCGGTCATGCTAGTGTTTGCAAAGCTTTCGTATTAGATCAGAAATACTTCATATGAACGTCGTTCAGAGTCTGTCCTTGGATGGATCGATGAATGCTTTGAGCTTTTCTCACAATCAGATATCTGCAGTATCAACTAGACATGGGAAAATTCAAACCCGCACCTAATTTCACCTTCGTTTTCTTGTCCGCTTGTTGGATTGATTGCTCTGAAATTTTGTCTACAGATAGAAATCGACATTTTTAGCTTGTAGACAAAATTTCAGAGGAATCGACCAAGAAACGGCCTAGAAAACGGCCGAAAACGGCGATGGAATTAGGATCGGCTTGGAATTTCCCCATATCTAGTTGATACTGCAGATATCTGATTGTGAGAAAAGCTGAAAGCATTCATCGATCCATCCAAGGACAGACTCTGAAGCTCTCATGGAACACTCAAAACCCTAAAATATCAATGGTATTTTTGCCTAACATGAGCCTCTTTCTGGCAGAGTTCTCATCTCCTCCAGATCTTCTTCTCCAATCTTTTCTTTGTCTTTTCCCCCTTTTTTCACATTTTTTTCCTCCTGGGAATTCTCAATGAAAATTGAACGAAATCTTTGCCATTTTGGGGTCTTTTTTTGAAGGGAATTTGAGACGAAAAAACAAACGCCCACACATTTTTTCATAAAAAATATTTCAAAAGCTCGGTCGATTGCAAATTTTACAAATCCAAAAAATTCAAATTAAAGCGTTTTCTCGTCGAAAAAATAATTGTGAAATCTTTTAAATGAAATAAAATGAAATAGATGAAATAAATTGAAATAGATGAAATAAAATTAAATAGATGAAATAAAATGGGAGGAAATGTGAGAAAATTTTGATGAGCTTTGTTTGAAATCAGATAGAAATTTGCATTTTTGACTGTTTTTTGAGTGATCGATACTGTAAAGATAACTTTGTGCTCAAAAATGCAAAAAACGCACCCTTTCTTCATTCCCCCCAAAATTCCCTCTCAAAATCTTTGGAAAAATGGAAGAATTGAGTGCACCAGAACGGTGAGTTTACAAGATCGTGCACAAAGTACACCAGATCCGGTTAGTTTTCCGAATTTCTCAAAGATTAAGCCATAAACATTCGAAAAATGAAAGTCATATGAGCAATTTCACTTTTTTTGTTTGTGAAACAATACTTTTGCCTTTTTAAAGAGAATCAAAATGAGCCTTTTGGGAGTATTCTCATCGCCAATTCATGGACATCGAATAGCCCAATTCAGTTGAGTGAAAAATGGGGGGAAAACAAGAAGTTGAAGAAATTGGGAACAAAAAGATCCGTTGTTAGAGAAATGGGTTCTTAAAATTTACGCAGAAAGGGTAAATTCAATGTAAATGTCAACAAATATCAAGGAGATCGAGCGCGCACTTTGCGCTCTCACAAAGGCGCGCTCTCTGGCACACTAGAAGATCGGGGATTGCGATGATTCTGATGGAAACTCTAGATGGAAAAAGCAATACAACTGGAATTTTGAGTCATTGAGCAAAAAAGAAAATTCTCTTTCCGCATCCATCAAAACACACGCAATGAGAAGGGGAAAATCAATGAATGACAAGGGTGAGAAGGACAAAAAAAGAGAAAATGTGAAATTCTGTTGTAAATGTTTTTGGCCAAAAATCTAAATGAATAAATATTGTGGGGTAGGCTACTTTGCGCCAAATTTTTTGCGCAACTGGGTCATTTGCGCAACTCGCCATAACTTTCTTCTAAGTGAACCAATCTTTATGATTTTGGTTGCTGTTATTGTTGTCTAACTCATCATATTTAGGTATCTAGCAGGCTTGCAGGCAGAAAAAAAAACCGGGAAATTAAATATCTTTAATTTACAAAGAAAAAGTCACCAAATCAGGCAGCTACGTTTTTCCGCTTTTTCCGTCGCAGTGCGTAGCTGCCCCATTCGTTGGGGTTTGCTTTGAAAAACAAAAGACCTTAAATTTGCCGCTTTTTTTTCGCATACAAGCCCGGTACCTAGACCGTTTTATGAAACCTCGTTGGTAAACGGCTTACTTACAAAGTTAGTACATTGAGAAGGCTCAAATGCATGTATTCTTTGCTTAAAGGGTTCTCAAAAACCGGTTTATTGTAGAGATCAGTTTACGAATCGAATAACAATATTTGGTCTGAAAGATTTCTGAGGTCATTTGAAAAAAAGGAAAAATGTGTGTTAATACTGAACGAATATGTCTCGATGTGTGTCAATTATCCATTTTTTCCCCCCCAACCAACTCTCCCATCTTCTCATATTCACTTCAGCACTCGCATTTCAATCCGCATTTTTTCAGTCGCCATATACACCCACAATCTTCCTCATTTTCTTTTCACTTGGGCTCTCTGTTCATTTCCCAGATGAGCCTGCAGAAAAATTCCAATTTTTGGCCTATCAACTTATCCAATGGACAGACTTTGGACAGACTAATTAAAGAAAAAAAAGGAAAACTCATTATTGAGAAGCTTAGTCGATAAATGAAAATGAAGATGGATAAAGGGATCAAGAAATTTGATGGAAATGCGTGGAGTATTTGGGTTTTGTGTAGGAGTGTAGTTTGAAATGTTAAAAGTTTCAGAATAGAGAGAACTTTAGTTCATTTTAAACGAAATGTCCGGAGAATTGGAGAAAACTCTACATGCAGGTAATCAAAAAATTCTATTTAAGAGAAATTGTATTCAAAAGTAGTCAATGTATTTGTATTTTAAGAACTACATCGTGGATTTTGCTGAGTGAGAATTTTTGACATCGTTGAGCAAAAAAACAATCGATTCACTAGAAGCTAAAAAAACATGAGAAATTCCCTTAGAAAAAAAAAATCACGAAAATACGAGGAAAAAAAAATAGAGAAAAACAAATGGGGAATCGAATTGCAGATTTGTCGTCTTTTTTTCTCGTTTCAATTCGAGACAAAATGAGCCCAGAAAGGGATTTCGTCTAAAAAAAGGTTTGATTCAAAGCATCCCAGATAGGGTTAACGAGTAAAAATAGAGGTTGAATGAAATAAATGAAAAAAAAAATTAATTGGCTCTACTGGATGCGATTCTCTCGGCATTTTCTAGAATGTGTCAACTTTATAAAACTACCGTGACCGTTCGAATTTTTATACAGTCTATCACTTTTGGTCTGAGGGATCACACAAAGGTACAAAAGTATAGATTGCTAACTTTTTCATGTGAAGAATAGTTAATGAATGAGTAAAAAAAATCCTCACGTTTGCTTGCTTGAATAGCTTTAGAGTGTCACATAAACATAAAGTCAAAAAGGTTTAGATGAAAAAGAAGCACCAGAAATTCAAATTTTCGAGGGTGCACTACTATTTTTTCAACCCCCTCTCGAACCGCAATACTATTAGAGAGAATACGGTAGCTTAAAAACTATACATAGGCAAGATTACGGTAGCAAAGAGTCATTGGAAAAATATTGCTAATTGTGAGATTTGGAAGAACGAATGATAAAGCAAGCAGAGAACAGTGAGCGAATGACTCACACAAACGGGATGGGAATGAATCTCGTTGAGGGCGTCTCTCTTAAATCCATCCATCTGCTTGTCCTCCTTTCTTCTCTCCCATCCATTCACGATGTCCTTGTAAATACCTATCCCCTTTTTAGGGAAAACCCATATTTTGGCTAGGAAACGACCATTTTATGAGATCAAACGGGGACGAACACTTGCGTTAAATTTAGATTACTTCGCGATTTTCCCAGCGTCATATTAAATTTTTACATACGCACCCAGCAATTCTACAAACATCCAAAAGCTTGAATGTCGTTTCATCAAATTGCAAACCCAACTGCACAGCAACTACCCATTTCTCTTATTTGCAAGAATTTAGTATTTAAAACCTCGGTTAAACAATCTTTATTCAAAATCAACAAATCAACAACGCAAACAAGAACTATGAACATAAAAACGTAACAATTATGTGGGATTAAACTTGCGATTCGCTTTTGCATTAGCAATTCTCTTCTTATCGTCCTCGAATTTTGCTTGAAGTTCTTCCATTTCTAAAAACGTATAATTGAAGCTTACAAAATAATACAGCTTTATAGCAACAACAAGACTTACTTTCCAATTTGCTTTGTTTGATTTGAAAGGAGTAGAACGGGACTGCGGGCTAAAAATTTAATAACAACACCTCACTCAAAACGCTACCTCTTTCTTTTTGCTTTGATTTTTGAGACTTCCAATGATTGTGTTCTCCCCGGCTTTTAGCTTGATGGCACGAGCCTTCTTTCTTGAAGCTTTCGTAACCTAAGTGACATTTTAAAAGTGACATTTGCTTTTTCAAAAAATTACAGTGATCCATCCTTCTTCATCAGGTTGAGTGTGCCCAAGGCGAGCAAGTCGACGTTCCTGAAAGGAAAATATAAATCTACCACGACTTTCTTCTCACAAAAATAATCTCCAATTTAAGACATACCTCTGCAATTTGTTTATCATACTGGCTGACATATTCTTCGACTCCTTTTTGCATTTCTTCGGTCGGCTTAAATAGATCTCGATATTGCTCACATAGTTCTAAATGGAAATCGTTCTCGAATTCAATTACAAAAAAATCAACCAGAATAAACTCCTCGAAGCTTTGGTCGTCCAAAATCTGCAGCACATAGAACTCCAAAATCATTTACTTTCTTGAGTAGCTCCGTTACAATAGATGGCGATTCAAATGACATCTTCAAAATTCGATGGCCCTAAAGGAAACGATTTAAATTTTTGAGTATAGACGTATCTTGTACCTGCTCGAGATCACCATTGGCTGCGGTAGTTTTTAAAATTTCTGTTTCCTTTGGTTCGGCTTTAGCAACATGTGCAACCATTGCAGAAATCGTATCCTAAACGACAAAGTAAACAAAATTTCAAATTAAATGCACCAAATCTAATAATGAAGGCACATTGGCAATGTTTATCGAATTTTCTTCTTGGGCTATTCTTTTCAAAATCAATTGACGTTCAACCAGTTTGGGGAAAATAGTGTATTTGAGCACTAAACAAAATGAATATAACCATTATTTTTCCAAAAAATCTCCCACCAGCTAGATGGTCGCAACACGGCTCTGCTTTCGGTTCCACAAATAAATTGGAATTCATCGGCTAAAAAAAGAAAACATAGAGATCCTCAAACACATGCTAGAACCGATAAAACGAAAGAGCTTACTTGATTTTTCTTCTTTTTAAGTTGTCGCTTCACTTTCTTGATCTCTGTGGTGTCCTTTTTCAGAGACATCTTCGCCATCTAAATAGCAATTGCATAGTTCTTCGAAAAACCAAGTTAAACATCTTAAGCTTTGATAAAGAGAAGAAACAAGAATGTCGTAAGAAAACTTACTGCATTTGGGTATAACCCTTAGTATGTCCTCTTTTATAAAAACTTTGAATTCCTTACGATATCTTTTTCCTACGCACTCATCCAATCAACGATTCTTTTGACTTTTTCCACTTCTAATAGGAGCCGCTCGTTGGGGTTTATATAAAATTTTTGTGTTGGCTGGCTTACGTTATGGGCAATTCGCGCTAGAGTTTTAAAAATAGCAAAAATTTTCGACTTTGGCAAAAAAACAATGAACAATGAAAATCAGAGTAACTGTTTAGCAGCCTCTTAACAGAATATCTTAAGAGATTGTGCACAATGTTACTGAAGGTATTTAACCAACCTTACTCCTCGTGCTCTTTTATTTTCTTAATCCAACTTCATTGCAAGTCATACCTAATTTTCATTTTTAGATTCTTTGGGTGAAGGAGAACGATGGCCGATCCATTCACTTTCCTCGTCGTTTTGTCAAGTGCTATGTTCTTAGGCAGCTACTTGGCCGGTTCGATTCCCCTTCTCTTCACCATGTCCGAGGTAAGAAGTTAGAGGAAATTTCTTGTATTCGTCTAGTTTTAGTCGAAAATGCGGCTGCTGAGCATTTTTGGTGCTGGACTTCTTGTTGGAACGGCTTTATCCGTGATCATTCCAGAGGGTGTTGAGTCGCTGTATGCAGTGAAACAAGGTAAGCTTGTTTATGCAAACGATAAAAAGCTTAGCGCAAAATATTTATTGGCCGGAATTGAGCTCATGTAACGTAGATCTAGTACTTCCTTGATTAACTGGCAATGCGCATCTTGAGCTTCACATCGTTTTTGCTTTCTCCTAAAAGGAAACATTAGTATCAACTTACAAGGGAAGGTCACGAAATCAAGGTGGCTAATCGAAATGAGACTTAGACCATCCGATGGAGAATTTTACGCTGATTCCGAATCTGCTGTCCGTTTTTGCTAAATAGGTCGGGATCGTAAGGAATTTGGCAAACAAGTTTTTTGGCCTCTCTTATGACGCTTGTGCGCGGGTGACGAAGACATGGTTGCGCAGTGTAGCGGATAACGTGTCGGAATGCAACGCTGCAGGTCGCCCGCGCACAAGCGTCATAAGAGAGGCCAAAAAACTTGTTTGCCAAATTCCTTGCGATCCCGACCTATTTAGCAAAAACGGACAGCAGATTCGGAATCAGCGTAAAATTCTCCATCGGATGGTCTAAGTCTCATTTCGATTAGCCACCTTGATTTGGTGACCTTCCCTTGTTAATAAAAAGTAGCAAATTCTCCAGCTCATACTTTTGCAAAGCTTACAAAGATAAGAAATTATTACGTACCGCTCCTGCTCCAATGTATTTGATAGTGTTTCCATTAGGGAGCTGCCACAAACTAAATACAAAAATTGAGAAGATTGTTTAAAACAAAAGTTACCGGAAAATTTCGTAAATGAAGAAACCGATGATCATGTATTGAATCATGCCGCTCGTCGATTGAAAATTAACTGAATAAAATGCAAGAGGAACAATCACGAGTTACTCACACGACTACGCAAATTTGCAAAATATGCAAATGTTTTTATTTATGCAAATTTTAGATGTACACTATGAAGATCATAATGTCGCTGGGGCAGCACATGGTGGAATCAATGCTCCACAGGTTTGTTATTCGAATCTCTTTGTGCAATAGAATTTAGGTAGCAAAATCTATCCTTGAAGGAAATAAAGATGGCGAATCTCCGCACGTTGACAGTCCTCGGTTGATACCAAAAGATGTTCAATTAAACGACGGGTAAGCTTGCATTCATGTGCTTTTTGAACTGAAGTTTTCTGTTTAGAATAGTTGGCGCTAGAGTTAAACGTGAAAGCACCGCCGACCACGAACATGAAGGTTTATCTGTTGTCATAACATCTAATGAACTATTTAGAACACAAACATTCCCATGGTTCAAATATACATGCTCAAATTGGATTGTCATTGGTTGTGGGCTTTGTATTTATGTTACTCGTGGATCAAATTAGCAATATGGCTTTATCAAAAAGTAAAGATTTTTCAATCTCTTAATGCTATTTGTTTTATTAGATGATCGAACAGGACGTCAACGGATAGGAATATCGGCAACGATTGGACTCGTAGTACATGCTGCAGGTTGCTTTAGTTAAATTTTAGCGTTTGCTACAATTTGCTCAATTTTAGCCGATGGAGTAGCGTTAGGAGGAGCATCTTCCATAAACAAAACTGAGGTTCAAATGATTGTTTTCATTGCAATCATGCTTCATAAGGTGAAATAATTGTTGCTTATTACAAGATTACACGCATTTTAGGGCCCTGCATCGTTTGGTCTTGTTTCGTTTCTTTTGATGGAGGGTTTAGACAAAAGAGCCGTGAAGAAACATTTACTCGTTTTCTCATCATCCGCCCCGCTTGCTGCTTTATTTACTTACATTATTATTGGAAATGTATGATTCAAAGAAGTTCATAAAAATTAACCATGTTTTTAGGCTGGCTCCGGGATTTCTAGTAATGATCCGACAATTGGGATTTTAATGCTCTTCTCAGCTGGAACGTTCCTTTATGTGGCTACAGTACATGTATTGCCTGAACTGGTTTGGTTTGAAGGGTTAATTTTCGATTAATGTTTTTTCAGGCAAATCAATCAAAAAACACAAATTATGATTTATTGGTGATGGATGCTCAAACTCCATCAACTCTCAGACATTCACATTCACACGGAGGGGTCACCTTTTCTATACAGGTATTTCTATGCAGACATTTGTGGCGCTTTTCTTAAAAAAATTAAATAGGTTGAAATGAGTTTGTTTATCGAGTCATGTCTTCAAGGTCTTTTAATCGTGGGCTTTTACCGCCGTAAAAGACGTAAAGATTTGAGAGGTTGCAAGCTATTTTTGAAACTTTCAAAACAGCGGTCTGAAGACTACATTAAAAGTTTTAGGAGCTCTTCTACATCATTCTGGGTGCAATCATTCCGGCAATTTTAGCTTCTGGGCACAGTCATTAAAAATAAAATAGCACCGGCCAGCATTTTTATTGTGATATTGTCTTTTCCTTTTTGAATCCTTTTCCCGTTGCTTTTAAAAAATAATTCTAAAACGGGTCTAATCAAATTGTTTTGCATAGTCTTGAGATCCATCACCATATTTAGCTTTTGTGTAGGAAGTTTTAGAGATCATTTGCACATTAAATTCTTGGTTTTAGAGCTGTGATTTTTATTGTAAATATGGGTATGTTGAGTTTGCACTTTTTCTTTTATCCATTTACTTGTTGAACTAATTTTGTGATCATTTTTATATGTATCTTCATGTTCATCAGTTATAAACTACACATTCTTACACTGGTTCATTAGAATTTGCGAAAAACGGATACTTACGGGTGCAAAAGTTACAATAATAAGGTGCAAAGTTTTCAATTTCAGTAATTTACCATTTATTCATTTAGATTTGCATTTAAGCATGCTTTATGTTTGTGTTGTGTTGCCTAATTTTATCATTTCGAATTTCTATCTTCCTCCAGTTGCGATTCATTTCTTTAAGAGGGCAGTGGCGTTAAAGATACTTTACTGGTTACTTTGCCTATGCTTCTTTTAAAGCATTTTCGACCTAAACCACCAACCAATCTGGATGGTATGCTAGTTTTTAGGCCTGTGTTCTAGACAAGGCTACTAAAATGTGCTGTGTTTAGATAGAAATCTTCGCACACTCCCCAAGCCTCATGTATTTGGTACTGTCGGTGTTGGTGTGGATCTCGGTGATCGCCAAATGATCAGGAAAAAAGACCGAAGGTGCGTTTTCCTTTTTATTTGCGATGATCACCAGGCGACAAAACCCTTGCTAGCGCTAGTTTTATCAAAAACTTTAAATTTAAAGTAATCCAACTAAACTTTAGGTAAATATGAGATCCCGGATTGAAACCACGCGAGATTCAGGGACAAACCTGAGGTCCAGGAGCGAGATCCAGGCACCTGAGGAGCGAAAGGCGGCTACTAAAATTATGAATGGTTTGGTTTATGTGCTTTGTTTTTTAAGTTTATAGTTCAACCATGTATAGGATTTGTTTCAAATGTTTGAACTTTATAATTTCTAATGCAGTTTATTTAGGAGAGAAACTGAAGGTTGACGATACTTTGACCGATGGAGTCTCCGATTGGGGAGATGTGCAGAAAGTTTAAGTAAGTCTTATCTTTTATTTAAGTTGTGTTTAGAAAAGTAATCACGGTTTTTAGTGATTTCCCTTCGCCTCGTTCCGCCCAACGATCAACTAGTTTCTCCATCTGCAACGACCGACAAAAAGATTATTTTGTACTTTGGCCTCGTACTAGGGCATAAATATTGAAAGCGGGCTTTTATGTTTGTACGGGAAAGCCAATAAAACGAGAAAAGACAGGTCTGAAGAAAATTTGTTTGTCTCATTCAATTTGACTAAATTTACCTATTGGATTTTTTTTCCTTTTCAACTATAGAGATTACAATACTATCTCTTCAATCAAAAATTATCGTCAAATTGCACGCATTCACAAGAAAATCCATATTTATTCATAAAAATGATTATGCTTTTTGTTGCTTTGGAGGCTTAAAGCAAATCGCCTGAAGATCGAGAGTACAATCGGCAGCTCTCCAGCCTTTTGTTTTTGCTGCATAATAATATTCGATTGTGAGACAATTTCCGTTAGCATTACTTGTGTCGCCTGAAGTGTGTTTGAGATGGTTTATTTTTTTGAATTAGAGGCTCTTACCATTGACAAAATCTTGGTATTGGAAGTTGGAGTTATCAGTCCATCGCCAATAGCCGGCCATCCAATTTCCACCAATCCACAATTGATATCCACCAGGATGGTAAAGATTATCGAGAAGGCCTTAAATAACTCTTGTTTAAACTTAAATAACTCTTGTTTCTCAAATGTTCTCATCTTTTTTTTTTTCTCCTCACCGATAAGATTTTGTTCTTCGGCAAAATCGTGAATCGATAATAGTTGAGCGTTCTGTTGTTCACAAAGAGCACGGGAAGTATCCCATTTAAGAGCTTGTGTAAAACCGAGACAACTAAATTCAAGAATATTTGAAAGTTGACAACAGGTCAGGTCATTGACTCACATATTTCTGACATCATCGTAAATCCAGACATCATCACAAAGTGGATGAGTAGTAGGGATGGATTGGGGTGGAAGAATTGTTGAACCGGTTAGATCACCCAATGAATATTGTGGATCTGAGAAAGTTTGTATTGTAGATTTTTCTTTGCCAACGTTTGCAATTTGTATAAATTTCCCTGGGAGGTACTCGGTTTAAACTCGTTTAACGTTTAACGAAATGATCCAATTACGATAATTGTGTAAGAAGTGAAGAAATTTGCGAGAAAAAGGAGATTTCCGGAGAGGGGATTGAACCCTAGACCTTTTGCTTTCCGGGCAATTGCCCACTGAGCTATTCGATATCTGAACTTGCCAAGAGAAAGAAGGGAACACAAGGGGGAAGAATAAGATTAAGAAAAAAAGAATAAGATTAACCCCCGGAATCAATTTGAATTTGAACTGGATTCGAAACACCGAAAACGCTAAATAAAAGACACAAATCGAATTCGGATTTTGATCTAAAAAAACCCTCGAGATTTAGTCGAAATCCGAATAACAATTAGATAGATAGATTAAAGATTCTCAATAACAGAACTCAAACAGTTAACTCTTCAACACCAGAAAAAGATATGCTAGATAGGAAACCGGCCTTTCTTTCAGTCATCGCTGTCTCCTATTCACATTTCCCCTCCATTTCCCCACTCACTGATCGTTGTTGTCCATGTCATTTGAAATGGTGTCCCATAATTTTCGGGATCAGCTTGAAAATGAATGTACATATAGGGAATCGGTGATGAGTATTGAAGGGGACGAGATGGATCCAACGACGAAATACTTAAAATATTGTGTATTGATTTTCGTTTTGTTGTAGTTGTACCTGTAAATTCTCATATTCTGATATGCGTACGAGCCGGCGTAGATGTCGAGACGCCAGTATGTCTGAGATAAGTTTCGAAAGTGTTTGTGGGACATTTGATACGCACCCCGCCCCTTTGTCATCGGCAATCTAACTTTGAACTCAAATTTCTTGGTGTTCGGCTGTCCAATTCAAATAGTTTTTGTACCAATCGACAGAGAAAGACTTGGCGCATCCAATGATACAAAAACTGTTTAAATTGAACAACCAAACAGCAAGGAATTTGAGCTCAAAGTTAGATTGCCAATGGCAAAATGATGGGGCGTGTATAAAATGTCCGATAGCCTTCAAAAGTATTCAAATTTCGAGCTTACAGGCCCAGAGATTTTCGACACATCAATATTGATCGCGTTGAGGGTTCCGTTGATTTGATAATAACAATCATCATCATGGAAATAAGAAGGATAACCGGGAGAGTTGATCTGAAAAAAATGGGGAAGTTAAGGGTAAAAAGGCTACTGTAAAACGGCTATCTTTTATCCTGAAAGGCAAGTTTACACTCTCAGAATTTTGGTCTCCTTATACAGCTATACATTCCCAAATTACGTAACTTTTAAAAAGCTATAAATAGCTCAAATGGGTGTAGTTCTATGGGAAGTTATCGTACATTTTGAATGAGAACTTGATTTGACTTGATTGATTTGATTAAATTTGATTAAATCAAGACAAGACTCTCACAGCTTGCTAAAAAAAGACTGAAAATTCTGTTGCCTTTGTTTTTGAGGTGCCAATGAGATTCTTTTACAATAAACATTATCCTTACTATTCCCGAGGCTCCACGAAACTCGTTTTGTCCACAAACTGACGGGGAAATTGTGGTTGTTGGTGGAGCTTTTGTTACTGGATTCACTAAAAAAAAGGCTGTGTTTCTTTCATAAGCTTTCTTTCTAAAATGAGCGTTTGAGGAAATGTGTAGAAAAACTACCGTAATCTGTCTGTCTGTCTGTCTTTTTCTTTTTCGGGAAAATAACCAGATTAGGTCATTTGTGTTTAACTCGTTTAACCCGTTTAACTTTTTAAGTCCCGAATCAGTGATAAGTTTTCATATTATTTGTATCTTTGATCTCTTCGCAATCAATTCCCGTTTTCTTACCCGATTTCTCTCGTTGACAAACGTATGGAAAAGTGATCGAACAATCCTCGGATATCCATTGTTTCGGATAAAGAAATGCAACCATCGACATCGTGAAACAACCGTCCGCATTTTTTGGCGCTAAAACATTGAATATTTTTGTTTGTTTTAAGCTGAGTAATTTTATTTATACGTTCATTTCTAAATTTTTCTCGGTCATTTCTAAAGTGCGTCCATTCTCTTCTAAAAACTCACTAGGTAAATTGTTGTAATCGACTTTTGTTCCATCAGTCCACGAGAGGACATTCGCTATTTGTTGTAATCCAATCCATCCAACTGTTGTCACTCCACCCAAATGCATTTCATCGTAAACATTCGAATTCATCTAAAGGATTACATTTTGAAAGAGAAAGACGTCGCACATCCGCGCGAAAATGCGAAAATGTGTTCAAAAGGTTATAACTTTTTATAGGGTTTATCAATTTTTATGCTTTTGGTATCAAAAGATAGAGAAAAGCCCGTAGAATAAAGCTTGCGGTCTACATTTTTGTTTTAGGCTTTTGTTTCCAAAATTTTCCTCCGACAATAAAATATGGCTGAAATTTAACACAGTAAAATCACTAAAACTCGATTTTTAAAAAATTTGTCGAAGGGATTTCAAAAATTCTTTTATTTTCGGATTCAGCACATTTTTCTGCGTCAATCGGCCATTCAAACGTAAAAATCCTATAGAAAACTATTTTTTGCCTTATTTCGCGCGGATGTGCGTCGCCCAAGCTTGTCGATCAAAAATATGGTTACATAATCGATAAAACGATCTGTATGGGTCTTGGCTATCTTGGCGATCTTGGCCAATAATTTAGCAAACATTTAGCATGATCTTATTTATCTTTATCTTATTTAACGACTACGCGACTGTGCGTCCAACGGTCGTGACTGTACGTCCAACGGTCGTCGCGAATGTGTTAACCATACTTCGATCAAATCTCTTCTCACAACTTAGAAAATTCTTTCTGTTTTTTCAGCGCTTCTACGTACCTTAAAACCCTTCTAAACTTGTTATCAGAAGGGTAAAGATACCGTATATTTAACCGTATACGAGACATGACAAAGTCTAGACTAGACTCACCGTAATTTATCGAAATCCTAAAAACTTTCGTAATTTGCGTAAACTTTTGGCTTCTTTCATACTCAAATTCTCTACTTTTAGGAGAACTTGTCGAGTTTTCGCAAGACAATTCTATGCACAAGTCATTTCGATCGATTCTTTGACCCTTGCCCCCATCCTTTAATCACCGTTGAATCATGAATTGAGACAAGATTCCCTCCATCGTGTCGGCAATCCTTTTCGGCGTCGTTAAATGAAAGGGGATCCATTTTTACCTAAAAACGTATTAAATTCAACTCTCATCATTGTTTATTCTACTTGTAAACATATCCCATCAACTTCTTGATAATCTCCACAAGTGGCCACTGTTGAGATTTCCTCGCAAAGGGCGTAGTCGGTGAAACGAAGACAGTGCTGGGGATACCAAAGACTGTTTGATCGTAAAAGGAAACACTGATCTCCATTTGAGACATCCGGGGGATTAGCTGAGAAAAATTACATTTAGATAAAGAAAAATGAAAGATACAGTCAAGTAGCAGCATTTGGCTGACTACAGTATCTAGGTTGAATATCTTCTAAAAATATACAACTGAACAGAAAAATCTAAAATCTATATGTTGTGTCCGATTTAGATTTCCGTCCGATTTAGATTGAACTTATCGCGGACGTCCGATTTAGATTACAGTCTATATCGGACGTCCGATATAGACTGTAATCAATAAAAGACCTTTGAAAAATGCAGAAAACTACAGAAAACGCTTAAGAACATATATTAAGCATGTTTATATTATTGTTCAACCTATATAAGATTTAGATTGAATCTAAATCGGACGTCCGATATAGACTGTAATCTAAATCGCGTCCGATATAGACTGTAATCTAAATCGGACGTCCGCGATAAGTTCAATCTAAATCGGACGGAAATCTAAATCGGACACAACATATATAAAAATCTAAAAATATACAACTGAACACTTTCATACTGCAAGAAAACAAAGAACTTACTAGCAAAATTGGTGAAATCAACGGCCGAGTTGTCTGTCCATTGATAGATATTGGGATTTTGTTGAATCGCTTTTAAACCAATCCACACCTCATCTTGAGCATTTCTTGAAATCCAAGAAGAAATGATGTCATTGTCGTCTACAAAAATCATTACATCAGTGTGAAAATGGAGAAATGGTATACTTTGTGCTCGCAAATGTAAAAGCACCCTATCTGGCGCACGCGAGTCTTTATTTTTCTGTGAACAAAATGTAGAGTACGCCAGAAATGGTGTGTTTACATTTGTAAGTAAAAAGTACATCTAAACATCAACTTTTCTCCTATCGTAAATACTCTAATAGAACGTCACACCCATAATGATGAGCGTACAGTCGCGTAGTCTAACTTTGAACGTCTCATTCTCCACGCTGCTTTATGCTACAGTGTGCGCTTGGGCGTGAAATGATAGCCCTTAAAATCTAATATTTGATCTAGTAATAATCTAGTACCCAGAAAAATCTTGGGAAAAAAACTTGGGGAAAATCTAACCGCTGAAAAAAAAAAAGTGATTTTCTAAAAAGAAGTTAGACTACGCAACTGTACGAGAGAGTGGCGTTCTATTAGAGTATTTACGGTACTTTTTGAGTGAATTGTCGCAAGTTGTCCGCCAAAATTCTTGCAATTTGCATCAGCATTGTTGTAATATTGATAGTTGGCCACCACCTGGATTTTATAAGGATAATATATTGTACGGTATCTAAACTCATTATTAGAGTTGACAGTTGGGAAAAATCTAACCGCTGAGTATCTAACCTGACACCTCAAATCTAATCTAACCAACTCCTCACGAGTAATGCGTTTTTTAAAACGCAAACTTGCGAAAAATTGGGTATGGGAAATACTTTTAGCGAAAATTATTGCAAAAAATGGGCGGTGAGACAAATGCGACCTTTTTTTGGTGGAAAAGGCCGTAGGAACGGCCATAGAGCTTCAAAAATGTTTTCATTTAGGGGAATCGTATGCGTAGATTCCGAATTTCGACAAAACAGACCTCGCTGACATGTCAAATTTGAGCTAAAAGGCAAAAACTACGCAACTTAACGCTTTTCCGCAGTTTTTGCTTTTTAGCCCAAATTTGGCGTGTCAGCGAGGTCTGATTTGTCGAAATTTGGAATCTACGCGCATACGATTCTCTTGTATGGAAACATTTTTGAAGCTCTAAGGCCTTTTCCAGCGAAAAAAAAGGTGCGCAAATGTCCAGGTGCGCAAAAAAAGGGTCGCATTTGTCCCACCCCCAAAAAAATGGCGCAAAAATCATGAGCCTTATATAGGACTTAAAAATGGCCTTATATAGGACTCCTTTAAAAGATATTCGGCCGTTTAACTGATTTAGGCAAATTGGCAAATTCCCTTCAAATGTAAAGATATTCAATATTCAATTTACTCGACGTGTAAAGAAGATTGCTCGTAGTTACTCGACCAAAATCGCCATAGAGCTTAGGCCATAGAGCTTAGGCCATAGAGCTTAGGGCATAGAACTTAGGCCATAGAGCTTAGGCCATAGAGCTTAGGCCATAGAGCTTAGGCCATAGAGCTTAGGCCATAGAGCTTCAAAAATGAAAATAATCGAATGGAAATTACTCATGCAAATTTTACTCGAGTAATTACTCGCGAGAAACACACTCCACTCATTATCCAAACAAACCAGATAGCATTTTCCGTTGTTCAATTGTGTAAACTTGTTATCTTTACAGGCTGCATCGATTAATAACAAGAAATTTAAAGCGAGTAAAATTTTGGGGAGTAAAGAAAACATTGAAAGCTTTTTTAAAGAGAATCTCTCTTTTTTTTGTTTTGCACAATGGGCTTTTTGTAGTAGAAATGGGTGAGAAATTGGGGGGTTTTCTTATCTCTTTTTTTAACCGGAAGACTTCACCCCAAATCATTTCACTAATAGGGATTACCATCGAGAAGAAAAATTCGATTAAGCATCTGAATGTCATCTTTTGAGATTTGATTTAATTAGTCATTTGTCTCAATTCCCTCTCACAGTTCAATAACATAAAATTGTGATTTTTGAAATCAAAAATTATGTAGTATTCCTTTCAAAAATTCTAAAAGGTGTCAACTTTCGAAAACCATCGTAATCTCGTATCTAGGTGTTATCCAATCTACCATAAATACTGTAATAGTACCCCACCAACTCGTACAGTTGTGTAGTCGCAAAAGTTTTTTGGTATTTCATTTTTTTAAAGCCCTTGTACTTTCAAAAAATACGTCTTTGGTATCAAAAAATAGCCCTGAATTTCAGCTATTTTTTTCTATTAAATAGCTCTATTAAATACACTGAGTGCGCATCAAAAAGCAAACAAAAAGGCCACCTTTCCCTAATAAAAGCCAAAAATTTTGACTTCATGCACTCTACCTGCTGAATTCTCCAATTTGATCAGCTCTCGGTCGAGAGCTTTGTGAAATTGGAGACACCAAGCCTAAAAACAATGCTTACCGTAAATACTGTAATAGTACCCCACCAACTCGTACAGTTGTGTAGTCGCAAAAGTTTTTTGGTATTTCATTTTTTTCAAAGCCCCTGTACTTTCAAAAAATACGTCTTTAGTATCAAAAAATAGCCCTGAATTTCAGCTATTTTTTGATACCTAATCGCGCATTGTAGCATAAAACAGTGTCGAGAAAAGCGCGTTCAAAACTAGACTACGCAACACTCCGCACCATCATTATGGAGGTGGGGGTACTATTACACTATTTACAGTAAATACTTTTGTATCGTTCAGTATCCCTCGAGAACTTCGAGAAAATTAGACCAAAAAAATAGATCGAGTAAATGAAAATAGAGCCAAGATTACGATAATTTTCAAAAGTTGACACACTTTAGAAAACGCAGTCGAGAGAAATAGACTCCAGTTTGAAATTCGTGTTTGTCTAGTACTTGCAATTTGTTCGACTGTATTCCGCCTCATTACTAAAAACGTTTTATTCGGATTTTGAAAAAGCTCATCAGAAAGCACGTGATTATCGAAAGAGCATGAAAAAAAGCAAGATATAGCAAGATATAGAAAGCAAGATCATATTCTTTAATTCCTGGCGATACGTCGTGCGGCAACTCGTCGAGCGACAACAACTCGTCTTTTTGCAGCTGCTGCCATGACAGCGGCTCTTCTTGCAACGACTGCTTTCCTCGCCATGACAGCTCTTCTCACAACAGCCACTCTTCTTCTTGCTGCAGCAATGCGCACAGCAGCCAATCGCCGTGCTGCCATTACTCTCAAACGTTGCGTCGGAGTTGCATACAAACCACCCGTTGAGGCTGGGATCTACAATTTTGAAGTCAATTGAAGTTTCTGTAGTAAAGAGATCGAAATTTTACAGTTACTGGCTATCCAAGCGATTTTTCAATCTGTTTTGAAAATCTTTTACTTTTTCATCAGCACTAAAGTTTTGATAATTTCTAACAAACTTCAGCAACGGTAGTAGGAGCTATGGCCGCCGATGTGGTGTCACCACACGGAGCTGCTGCTGGAGCGGCGACTGTTTCGATGGAATTCGAAGAGTCACTTACGGTTGATGGAGTCTGAAAAGCATTTCTGGGATAAGCAAGAAACTAAGTACCCGATCATTTTGGAAAGACAATTTACAGTAATTTGAATAAATATTTGCTTTGTTTCAAACCTCAGAGAAAGACTCAATGGCAGCAGATGGAAGAGCATTGTAATCATCGGGAAGAGCGGGAGCTGGTTGAGAAGAAAGCGATGAAGTGACGGATGTTTCGACGGATGAAGACGGAGATGAAAGAGAAGAAGAGGATGACGGGGCCACAACATAACCACCATTACTGAAGGGAAGTTGTGAGTAAAGAAAAGAGTTTATAGCTTGAACAAAAGATAATTTAATATGGCAGTCTAACAGTGAGCTAATTTATAGATACAGACTGTGCTCCGCTTGACTAAAGCTTGCCAAAAGATGCACCTTGAAGCTACCGTACTCCGGCTACCATTTTTAAGCTATAATTTTTAATTTTTAAAGCTTTAAGGCTATAATTTTTAAACTACCGTACTCCGGTTTCACCCACTTGCGAATCTGACAGTATTTTGTTGTTTCGATCAAAAAATGACACCATGATACGATATTTTTTAAGTAATCTTTTAGAAAAGAAAGAAATAATTGTAATAGTCAAAATTTGAAAAGGATAAATCAATTATTTATGAAAAAATTACAATCTTTTCAAGATATGATTTATGACCACGTCTCTGAAATACTTCTTTTAGAAACTTCTAGATTTACCTCATACTTTCATTGCTTGCTTACCTGAGTGCCGAATGGACGAAAAGCGAAAGAGCCACGATTCTCAAAGGCCACATTTTTTTTTCTTGAGAAACCCAAAGTTTGAATGTTTCAAAATGTGTAAAGCGCTTAGTATTCCCATTTTTTTCCGAAGCGTTTATATAGCCAATTTCTCGTATTCAAAAATCTCCCACTTATTGGCCATCTCGGGAGAAAATTTCGATAAGTACCCGAGAGAAATCATCGAAAATCTGAGGATATCCCTCAAAATGAAATCTCCGATCACAGAAATCCTCTTCACTCAAAAAATATCTCAAAAATTTGCATTTATCTATCGAAAAGTTCTCATAACTGAAAACTTGAGATCGTTTCCCTTTTCGGTGCCTTTTTTTCCGTTCTGCAATAGACACAGGGTACTTGAAAATTTCACTTGGGAAAAGAGGGGAAAACACTAGAAAGTTGTGTCATTTTTGATCGTGAATTTCACTTTGTGAAGCTTCAAAGAGATACGGTAATGGTGAAAATGTAAAAGAAGTCGTATACAAATTAGACAAAATCGTCAAAATGCTAAAGTCGGATAAATTACTGTACTCCAATGTCGACGCAAAATGTCTTATTCTGTAAACTCGTCTTGGGATGTTGAAATTTTACACTGGGGTGCTGAATCGATTAATGATATTTTTTAAATGTTATTTCTTTTTATTTTCATGTTATCACACATGGACCCGGCTTTGAATATTTAGTACTTTGGTGGTTGGGAGGGGCCACTTTTATCCTGGCTTAGTTGGATCTAATGTTTTGAGTGGCTGTATTTTATCTATTCTAGGGTAATCAAATAGGCTTAATAGATTGGTGACTGGTGGTTTTTCGCAATTCTACCCTAATCTCATTACTTTAACCACCAAACGCTACATCAAAGCTGCTTACATTTCAAAAATCAAATAAAAGCGGCAATATGAAACTTGAAACATGTAAATGCTCTAAAAAGCATATTTGATTACCCTAGAATAGAAAAAAAAAAAAAAAAAAAAAAAAAAGAAAAAAAAAAAGAAATAAAAAAAAAAAAAAATATAAAAAAAAAAAAAAGGTAAAATAATAAATAAATGGGATTAAAAAAATAAAAAAATAAAAAAATAATATAAATAAAAAAAAAATATAAAAAAAAAAAAAAAAAAAAATATATAAAAATAAAATAAAAATAAATATTAAATAATTTTTTTTAATTTTTTTTTTATTTTTTATATTTTTTAAAATTTAAAAAAAATATTTTTTAAATAAAAAAAAAAAAAAAAAAAAAAAAAAAAAAAAAAAAAAATAAAAAAAAAAAAAAAAAAAAAATAAAAAAAAAAAAAATAATATAAATTAAAATTAAAAAATATATAAAAAATTTTTAATATTATAAATTATATTTTATATTTTTATGAGAAAGGGAAATATTATTTTATGTAGATAAAAGGTATCAATACAACCACTCAAAACATTAGATCCAACTAAGCCAGGATAAAAGTGACCCCTCCCAACCACCAAAGTACCTTATATTTTTCTATTTTTTGATGCTTTTACCGGGGGTGGGACAAATGCGACCTTTGTTTTGCGCACCTGGACATTTGCGCACCTTTTTTTGCTGGAGAAGGCTTTAGGCAAGGCCGTAGAGCTTCGAAAATATTTCCATAGAAGGTAATCGTATGCGTAGATTCCGAATTTCGACAAATCAGACCTCGCTGACACGTCAAATTTGGGCTAAAAGGCAAAAACTGCGGAAAAGCGTTAAGTTGCGTAGTTTTTGCCTTTTAGCCCAAATTTGAGGTCTGATTTGTCAAAATTCTGAATCTACGCATACGATTCCCCTACATGAAAACATTTTTGAAGCTCTATGACCATTCCTACGGCCTTTTCCACCACAAAAAGGTGCTCAAATGTCCAGGTGCGCAAAAAAAGGTCGCATTTGTCCCACCCCCACTTTTACCTCAGTTTTATAACTTTTCGTAAGCTTTTCTTTAGTGTATGCGCAAGTAAGTTTAGCAGCGGTGGCAAGGCTTGAATTGAAGGCGTTTAACCTCTTAAGAGAATAGCCGGGGCAAAAGTAGTTGGGGGTTTTTAATGTTTTTTCCCATCGTTGTTATTAAAGTTATTGTTGTAAAATCAAAATAACGAAAAATCATAGTTTGAAACTATCACCAATCGATTCAGCATCATCAAAAACCCCCAGTGTAAAATTTCAACATGTCAAGACAGGTTTACAGATTGCCCCCCAACTACCTTTGCACCTGTTTTTTTTTCGTTCATCCATTTTTGTCGCTTTGCGTATTAGGGAGTGGGACAAATGCGACCTTTTTTTGCGCACCTTTTTTCCGCACTTAGCCCATTAGCGCACCTTTTTTCGCGTTTTAAAAAAGCTCTAAAAGCTAATATTAACCAATTTCTATTCCAAAAATTGTTTTTCTAGGTAATTTGAGGGTGTCGAATTAAAATTTTGATATAACAGAGCGTGTGGAACCAATTTGAAAGACAAAACGGCTAGGTCAAATTACAGAAAATTGTTGATTTTTCTCTTTGTATAACTCCGTCCGTTCGCTTCCACACAACATGTTAACTCTTGTTTCATTTGCCTTTTATTACGCCTTTTTGTCGAATAGATTTTTTGAAATATTAGCTATCGAGTAGACGATCAATTTAGCCCGAGAAGTCAATGGAAGACAATCTAGCAGAAGTAAAAGAAGAAGTCGTGGAAGAGAACGATGGAAACAACGAGCATTGCAATGACCCGGTTAGCTTTTGTTTGGAGCACCTACTTCTATGCGCGGTATTTGTAGAAATTAATACTTTACGTCAAAACTTCTAGAAAGTCTGAACCGGTCCATGCGGCAATATATTACCTGCTTTAGGATCGCATCACATCAATTTGCGACGCAAAGTTCTCTCCAGTGCACGGCGAAATTCTATACCGCGTTTGTTGGTATCAAGAGAATGTATTGAGAAAAACATGGGAAACCGAGACGAGAATGGAGGCGCTAGCAAAAGGTATATTTTTTAAAAGACATTTTTTAGTGAAATCCTGAAGCGAATTATGTAATTGTTTGCTTTTAGATCCGATGCTCGCTCTGCTCCTTCAAGCGTTTCAATTTCGCGAACAAAATCTCTTAGAAACTATGATGCAAAAGAAAACAGAGTTCCAGAAAAACAAATCTGGCCGTGGTTGGGTCTATGAGGTATTTCTCTAGGAAAAGTATCAAAGATTACAATTTTTAGGAAACGAATTGCAAAGAAAATGAGCCACCTATTTTCTATGGATCGAACACGAATCAGCTGGATGGTGAAGCTGCGCGACTATTCGATTCATCTCACAAATTTACGGAAACTGAAAAGGTTAATTAATTTATATTCTAATAGTATTTGGTAAAAGGTAGTAGGTAGTTTTTTCGTGCATTGAAGGTTATATTTAATGTGTTTAGGCATTGGCGATGCTGAACACGAATCCTGGTAAACGCTTGACGAGATCTCAACTGAGCGCTGTTTGGATTAATGATAGAAATGATGGTAGTGCTTCCTCAAGCTCCATCACTACGGTACAATTTTTCATTGATAAAAACAAAATTAGGTTTTCTCTCATAGTAATTAAACTTTATAGCCAACTCTTGGAGCCACAAAAACCCCGCCAGCTCGTCGCGAACGTGGAAGAGTCAGAGATAGAAAATCAGCCGGAACAAGTAGAGCCAAAAAAGGAAACGCTGATAATACAAGCACACAAGTCTGAATATTTTTAAATCTTAAGTTAAGTAAATTTAGGCTGTGTTGGATGAGCCAATCGTTCAACATGTTTCAAGTGAAAGCTCAGATCTATTGACTGCTGAAATGTCGAACACGCAGAAGACCAAGCAAAAAACAAAGAAACGACCGATCGTTGAAGAAGAAGACGGCGGTGAGTTGTCTTTCTGTACAGAAATAGACAAGTTTTTAGATGCTGACACTAGGACGACACATGAGACGGTGACGCAAGAGGAAGAGCTGCAACAAAATTCAACAATTCCGGTAATTTTAATCTATTGCACCAATATTTGAAAGCATTATAGACATTGGATCTGCTTGGATGTTTGAAACTCGACCCTAACACGCTTCCTTCAGCATCAATCTCTGCAACCGTACCCGAACGCAAAAAAGTACTTGAGTATTCATTTTAATTTTAATTTGCGTTCATTTAGCGAACAATTGTGGGAAGACGCGTGCTTCCACTTGAGAACATTGGCATCACTGCGGAAATGATGGAACAAGCATCAAAGCCCATTGATGAGGTCAATTTTTTTAAACTTTAGACCGCTAGTTGTTGGTTTTTACTAAAGACATTCTAGTGGACTTTAATCTTTGTATCAACCTAAGCTTTTTAGATTCAACAGCTTGTAGAAAGAAAAGCACTCGAGGAATCAGCGGATCAAGTTGAGAGGATTGCCCGTTCTCTTCAAAGTAACTGTGTTCAGGAGGTATACTTTTGAGCTATATAAATCAAACACTTCTCTTAGGCATTCACAAAAGCTATACTTGAGGGCAAAGTTGATCATGCTCGAGGACTTGCGAAATTTCACGTACTGTGCCCAATTTCAAGCAATTTCAACATCCAGGCAACTGATGAAATCACTGGACAAAATTTACTCCATAAAGTTAGAAACCCTCAAAGTATTCTATATTTTGTTTTAGGTCTGCCAAGTTTCTTGCAACGATGCAAAAGTTCGTGACCCTGATTACATGCATGCACTATGTGATGCCACTGAATATTTGATTCAGTCAGGATTGGTAGGTGATATTTTTGACTCTAATTAAGTTCAAGAAAACGTTAGAATGGATTAATAAAGCAAAGGTTATTAGTTTGCTATTAGGTTAAAATTTTTGCATTAAGGATCCTCGTCAAGTTGATTTATCGGATAAGACGGCTCTTCAGTATGCAGTCGAAAAGGTCTGAGAATTTGTTGGTAAATTAAAGAGATTTTTTAGAAACTGTTTTGTCGAGTGCGTCGCCTTTTATCGCTACGGGCACCTGTGAACTTTCAAGGCATCGAACTCAAAGATTCACTGCTTTATCAAGTTTATTGCTTTTGCCTCACAAAATTTTACAGTTTTAGGCTTACACCTCTAATCATCGCTCAATCTTCAAACTTTTATTGGATAACGGAGCCAATTTTTCGCAGTTAGAAGTCGTTTTTGATTATCAAACCATTGAAAATACTTTTTGTGTTTAGAAGATGATCGCCATCGGCAGGATTCCACACAATAGAGTTCTCAATGAAGTCTTGAAAACCCATTCTAATGCACTTAAACAACGTTTCAATGAAGCAAAGAGGAAAGTGCTAATGTGGGTTAGCATTAGATTTTTTTCCTCTATTTTGTTGTTTTTAGTGATATTGAGGAAGTGCATCCAGTCAGTTCCATGTACGTTGCCAATTTCTACGAAGGCCCAACTTTTTGGTTCGACTTTCACTACCATGCTGAGAATATTCCAACGGCCGACTACTTTTTTGTTCTATTCGTTGCAACAGCGGTCGTTGATGAATCAAACAAGGTGCAGTCAAGAGCAAATACCACGTAAACCATTTTAGATAATACATTCAATTTAGTGGCACATGGCTTTATGGGGCGATTCACCACTCAAAACCGAGCCAGTTCTGAACGAGGAAGAAATGATACCGATTCAATACATTGAACAATATGGACCGATGAACACGTTGGTTTATGTTTTCACTGTCTTAATATCAACTTTTAGGTCATCAAAGAAGTCAGCAATCTTTTTGGGAACACCACTTGTTGGTGCGAATCGTTTTCACGTCACATTGAATAAAAGCAAAGTAAGTTCTTTTAACAAATTTTGAAAGTCAATCTTTTAGTCCCCTCCACCACTTGGAGATGGCAATGCTTACACAATGTGTCACAATTGGAAGATTGTTTTACAGGTTTTACAAAACTCAGTAAAAGTGCATTCTTGAAAGTTTTAGATGTCTTTGCTAAAGAAATCGAAACAGAAAGTCACTCTAAAGGCGTCAACTTCAACGCAACCAATTTTGGAACATGCTCCCGATGCTCCATCGTCTTACTATTAAACTAATTTGTTGCTTAATTTAAGCATTTAATTTTTGTTATCTTGCCGATTTGTTACTATTTTTCAATTGTTTTGCAAATGTTGTTACAGGTTATAAAAGATTATGATATGTTCATTTTTCGGTAAAAGTTTTACTAAAACTATCAATATCTTGATTGGATCAAAACTGCTGTAGTTGGCCCTATTTCACTTTTGAAGATGGATAAATTTTTACGTCGAATATCGCCAGTTTTTGTCTTCACCAAAATATTAAAAAGCTGCAGATAGCGTTTTCAGTTGTTTGTTCGCAATTTCCAATTGCCGATAAAGACCGCGTGCTTTTTGAAACCTCGAAATTTCAGTAAAGTGGCGGCTCCGTTTTTTCCCTCTTTACGAGTTGCTCGTGTGCTTAAATTTTTGTGCGCACGTGACTTGTCGGAGTGAGACGGCCAATAGAAAAAGCTATTTTCAAGAGTCCCACTTGTGCCAACTCAACCGCTGCATCAAGTGTGAACTAAAGGTGGTAATCGTATTTTTGATATTGGACATTAGCTGTTATTATTTATTTTTCTGTGTGTTCTTCTCTGTCCTTTTCTTTTGACTTTTCGTTTTTAGCTGAAAGTGTCCAATTGCGCACTCCAAAGATGCAGGACGATGATGCTCCGTATCCCGGATTTTCTGCAAAATGCCCTAAACCGATTGGACGCTTGGAAAACGAACCACCAGAAAAGCGCGCACGACTCGATGGTCAATTTGTGGTTTCACGAAGGGAATCGCTCTACGAAATATCGCTTGGACCACTTGAATTCTTCACTCGGCAACGCTTCGCAATTGCTCGACGAAGTGAGTTGGTCAAAAGTTATCCAAATGCTCGGGTATTCAGCCAAGAAATTTCCGAAGAGAATGGAGGTCGACACTACATTGTGACGACTTTGGAAAGATTCTGGTATTGGTATACGAATCAAGCGATAAGAAACATTTATGAAGTCATCGAATTGGACAAACCGTGTCGACTCTATTTTGATCTTGAATATTCGAAAGAGATCAATGGGAATATTGATCATCAACGACTCTACGAATACTTCATTGAGACGAATATTTCACTTTTGAAGGAACTCTTTGATGTTGAGGTTCAAAAATCCGACTTTCTGGCACTCGATTCGTCAAATGATGCAAAGTTTTCATGTCATCTTATTGGGCATTTGACAAAGAAGGACTATTTGTTTGCAAATAATGTTGCTATTGGATCATATACGAAGCAACTAAAGCAACGACTACTTGACAATCCTCCACAACGCATTTTCAACGCAGATGGTCAAGAAATCGTTCTTTTTGATGAGGGAGTTTATACAAAGAATCGAAACTTTCGCTTGTTCTTGTCAACTAAGCTAGGGAAAGATCGATTCTTGAAACATGCCATGTATTGCACTTTTTATGGATCCGCAGAATCGAAGTCAAAACAAATTTTTTTTGATGCGTTGTGCGTGCCGGCAAATCTTTCTAGTCACGAGAACATTCTGCCCGATCTGGAGTCGCCTTTGTCTCGTGTTAGTGAAACAGCAAGTTCAGCGGCTCAACAACTACAACCACTCGAGTATGTTCGTGAAGGGAATGGACTTTCTCCATTCATTGAATTGGAAGAATTTCTACTTCAAATGTTTCGACGATGGAAACCCGATGTTTACATGCGACAATGGAAAGTAACAATTGACAAAAATAAAAAACCAATTATCACATTTTATCCTGCAAACTGTCGTTATTGCTTCAAAATTGGTCGTCAACACAAAAGCAATTCACAATTTTGGGCAGTGAATGTTTCGAAAGGCGATGTTGTTCAACGATGTTTTGACCCCGATTGTCGTTCATTTACTAGCAACTATTTTCCCATTCCTAAATCGATTATGGAAGCAACTCGAAAGAGGTTGAATGCGGACAAAGAGGCTGAGGAAAATGAAGATCCACTTGAAATTTTGCTGGAGTCGAAAAGTGATAAACAACCTTGCCTTACTCAGTGGAACGGGATTTTTGATGAATAGTCTTTTAATCTTTTGAGTTATGATTGTCTTATTTATTTTTCATTTTTTGATCTCTTGATTGTATCTGCTGATGGGTGTTAATTTTAGTTCCCTCGGAGGACTCAACGGGGTTGCTTTCGTCATTGACGATAAGCTATTTGAATGGCAAATCCGAGCAATGGAGAAGATGTTAAGGAAGTAAAAAATTTTTTATTTTAGTGTTTGCAAAATTATATTTTAGGTGGCCGAAAAGCTGAAGACCACCTCGGTCGGGGAGGAAGAAAAGAATAAGCCAGCTGCTACTGGAGGCACTCAGACAAAGAGTCGAAACAACTCGCAATCGCACAACAAGAATCGACAACGACGTCGCACTTCGGGAGCCGCTGAAGAGACTGCGCGCGAGGGAGGTGGCGGCGAAAAGAAGAACAACAACAAGAATCGACAGGTATTTTTAAACAACGTACTTTCTGGAAATTTGTATAATGGATTTTATCACATTGATTCCGTTTAGAATTCGAATCGCCGCGATTCTCAATCAGTTTCGCAGACTCGTCAAAGCAAAAGTTCCGAAGGGGACAAACGCCGAACTCGCTCCACTAACTGTATGTTTTTAATTTGAATATCACATTTTCTCGAAAAGACGAACGAATGTCTATTTGAGGAAATACAATAACTTCAAGGCAAATGTTTAGCAAACAATGCTGGTGGAAGCACTGGTGGCGGCGGCGGCGGTGGCAACAAGTCAAGGCAATCAAAAGCATCAACTCGCACAATGTCTCAAAACAGCAATGGAGATGGATATTACTGTAGTGATGCATGTAAGTAATTACTAATTAATATTGTTGTTAAATATATTGAATTGATTTAGATGACGATCTTGAGGAGCCCTTCTCCGACACCGATGATGAGACGGTGCGTCGACGACAACCTGAGAAGCCCAACTTGTTCATTCCACGCGGTCGTATTCGAACTCTTTCTGGGACGGTAATATTTTCAACGAGCAGTTTATACAATGAAGCAAATGTTTTCACTTTTTAATCTTTTTAGGTACCAGTAACTGGTTACTCGCCCAAATGGGGTGGACCTACAATGTGTCTTTCTTGCCTTCAATTCTTTGATCTGCCCGATCAAGTGGAGAACTTTACCGAGTAAGCTATAGTTAAACGTCTTTTTAAATTTGATAATTCTAGGCACCTTCTAAAGGAGCACAAAATTGTGGTGCAAGAAATGAATTTGATTGTCGATCCGAAGCGTTACATTGAGCATTGGCGTCAGCGTTTCGCAAAAGAGAGTGTCGATAAAATCTTTCCACGCATTGAACCTGGTGAGAAGGATCCCTATCATGGTGAGCTTAAGTTAAATGTGATTATGAATTTAAATACCTTCTAGGTACTACTGATTATTACTATGAAATGTCGGAGAAACTTCCTGAAGATTATTTGCTCCGTCAACGCCTGGCTATGCGACGTCTGGAAGAAGCACTTTCGTGCCAACAACGTGAACGGTACTGCAGTTTTTTTTCATTAAAACTATTAGTCTCAAACCTTTTTTCTTAATTGAGTTTTTAGTGACGACACCAATTTCTCGCAACAGTGCATTTTCTGTCGCTACACTGCAAAAGGAAACCGCAGCAAGATCATTCATCATCTTTACATGATTCATCATCTTAACCTTGGCTCACCTGACAACTTGGTATTTTTTCCTATATTTTTGTTCAAATAAGCTTATCTAGGTGTTTGTTAATGAGTATATTGCTCATCTCAAAGAAAAACTTGATCGCCAGGAGTGCATTTATTGTGAGAAAACCTTTGCGGATAGGAACACTTTGATGGACCATATGCGCAAGAGGAATCATAGAGAGGTAGGTTTATTTTATAGACTTAATAACTTTTTAAATTAGGTGAACCCGAAGAATCACTACTACGATAAGTTCTACATCATCAACTATCTCGAGCTCGGAAAACGCTGGTTGGATGTGTTGGGAGAGGATTTCGAGGATACAACAACAGCTTTCCAGGAGAGCGATGAAGAACTTGAAGAGTTGGCTTTTTATTGTCTGCATAAAAATATCTGTGCAATTTTAGAGAATCATGGTGTGAATGGCAAGAAGACAATGTGGACCTTGATGAGACGCGTGTTGTATGTTTGCTTTGTGATGAATCGACTGAACGTGGCGATCTTCTTATTGAGCACATGCAGGTAAACTCAAGTCATATTAAGCAATTCGCTAATAAACAAGTTTAGGAAAAGCATGGATTTGATCTTCTTAAGTTGATCAAGGACAACAAATTGGATACTTATGAGCGTATGAAGTTGATTAACTACGTTCGAAAGCAGGTATGAAGTTTGGCGTTGTTTTTACTACTCTTTTCTAGAATTTCAATGCCATTTGCTGGCGCTGTGGTAAATCTGATAATGGAAATCTTATCGGACTTTACAAACACATGGAAGAAGTTGAAAAGCCAATCAAGGTTAATTTAATCAAGAAGAAAATTTTTGAATAAATCTTCTCAGGAATTGCCTGATCGTTCGCGCTGGGATCTAGACGAGTTTTTGGTTCCAATCTTTGGCAACGATCATTTCTTATGGATGCTTGAAGGACTTTTGGAGGATAAAGTATTTAAAAAAAGAACGTTTAGCATTTAATTGTTTGATTTAGGAGGAGAAGGGCCAGACTTCAGACGATGAAGAGCTCGATCGTACTGATCGCAAGAAATTCTTGGAGTCATTGGTCAAGAAAAGTCAGCGAAACACTGTTGCATCGGTAAGTTGACAAGTTTTAATCATAACTAAAAATACTAACCTATGCTAATTCTTAGGTAATTGCTGAGGATCTTCCTACTCTCGAAGAAGTGCCCGATCTTGAAGAACTTCTCTAAAACAATTGTTGGTCACAAACAACAGAGAGTCATTCCTTAACTTTTTACTTTTTCACTTTTATGATCTTGCCAACTTTTCATTTGACATCTTGAAAACTCAACTTCAAAATAACCAACTTTCATCAACCTCTATGACTCTTTTCTGTTTAGTACTCTCTTTCAATTTCGCCTTATTAAACTGTCCTTTGTTATTTTATTTAACCCCCTCTGTTATGTCTATACACTTTTTTTTGTCAGATCAATCATATCTAAATGGCTTCTGTGTAGTTTTCTTTTCACTTTCACAACAAAACCCTGCTTATTGACTTTTTCAGGTTCTAGGTTTTCTGGTTAGCTTCATGGTTTCTCTTCTTGCAAATTCTTACAATTAGCCATAACCTGCTAGCGTTAGTTGATCACCGTTTTTTGGGAATCTACACTACACAAAGCCGATTCTAACTTTTGCACCGACAAATATTGTTATACACAATATATGTTTTGTTACATTTCTTGTTTATAAATAAAGAGTTTTAAAAACGTGTCTCAAGAAAAAACGTTTCAAGCGATTTTCGTTTTTTAGGAAAGAGTGATTTTGGTTGGAAAAGAAACGGCGGCAATTTGGGCGCGTTTTGTTTGGTGAGGGTTGATTTGTTGAACCGGAAGTCTTTTGAATCAGGTGGCGCTTTGGGAGTTTGCTAAAACGAGTTTAGTCTATTTTCTTCAACTCTAACTTTCGTATTCGAAATTTCTCTATGAATAAACTACCAAAGTCACCTTCGAAAACTCTGGCAGCAAGGGGGGAAAGTATCGAAGGCGTCGAAAGGTTGCCACTTCATGTCGATCTGGCGTGTCTTCTTCTAGCGGTAGACGGGAGGTTTGAGAAATGTCATACTAATGTGTACACTTCTTCACTTTGTCCTGAGCTTTCTCAGTTTCTTATGAGATTATTGAGCAGTCAAGCGTGCCATTTTGGCAACCCTCCGCTTTCTGCGAAAACGAAAGTCATAATTCTGCTTTTCTGTGACTTCGCGCTCCATAACTCTATTACTATTTTCATTTTTTTTCAGATCGATGAGAGACGCATTTGGCCGCTCGGAAAATGAATATTCACGACTTGTCGCGAAAACCAACAACAAAATGCTCAATCAACTCTGGGAGAAAGTAAGTTTAGATTTTGTTGTAGGATCTTTGAGTGCTTCGAAAATTTAAAGAGTCTTGGAATTTTATTTTTTCTATGATGTGTAAATCGGTGACTGGTGCAGTTTGTTTGTCCACCTGTTGCACTTTACTTTTTTGTTTTAATGACTTCTCAGGCCCATAATTAAAAATTCATTGTGAAAAATATAGCGCAAACTCGGAACCTGAAAAAAAACGTATACACCATCTTAGAAAATCTTAGAAGTAAATAAATTTTTAGAAGAAAATCCCAGAAGAGGCGTGGACTGATCACTCGCTCGAGCTCTTCTTGGCCTGGCTAGCCAGCCATGATACAAACAATCGAATGGACATGGTATCAATTTAATTTTTATTATTGTAGAAATAAGTTTTTTTATGCTTTAGAATCCATTAGGTGCTGGTGAACGGGAAGGCCGAGTAAAATCGGCATTTGTGAGACGTCTTCATTGCAAGTATAGTCTCGTTTTGTATAATTTGAAAAGTTTTTTAGTCTTTCTCATGGTATCGGACGTTCGGGAAACTTATGCGAAATTCAGCCGAAAGCCCTGGGTTCGTCGATGTTGAATTGTCTTGCCAACGAGTTCGCTCTTCATTCTTTACACACTTTAGGTAAATTTTCATTTGAACTTTCAAAAGATAAACTTTTATTTTTAGGTCTAACTTGTGCTCGGGGAGCTCTCGTAGTACCCGTCGCTACCGGAATGGCGTTAATGTTATGTATGGGTTCTTGGAGAAAGGTTTGTTCGAATGCAATAAACCACAATTGATGTTTTTATTTTTGTAAATGTTTTTAGGAATTCATTTTAGGCACGCCCAAATGCAAAATACGTCGTTTGGTTACGCGTTGATCAAAAAAGTTGCTTCAAGTCAATCCTAACTGCAGGTTTGCTTTAAACTCCACATCAGAATACTAAGAAAATTCAAGGTTACGAGCCGCTAGTTGTTGATCCAATTCGAGTTGGTGATGCTCTTGTTACAGACATTGAGAGACTGAATGCACTTGTGGAAGAAAAAGGAGAAGAAGTTTGTTTGAGTACGTAATATCTTCAAAGACAATTTCTTAGATCCTTTGTGTTCTCTCAACTACTTCAGCTTTTGCTCCTCGAGCACCCGATGATATTGAAGCCATTGCAGCGATTTGCAGGTGAAAAACTCAAAATAAATTATGATGATATACTGTTAGAACGCATGATATATTTCATCTTGTCAATAACGCGTACGGTTTGCAAAGTACCGAATGCATACGACGGCTCAATAATGTTGGTTTTAAATCTTTCTTCTTTTATTTTTTCCTCTTTAGGCAAAAAATTCTGGTCGTATGGATGCTTTTGTTCAATCACTTGATAAAAACTTTCAAGTTGTTGTTTTACAAAGTGTATATTTATGAAATAATTAAAGGTTCCAGTTGGAGGGGCTATTATTGCGACAACGAAACAATCACAGGCCGCATCTATTGCACAATTTTATCCAGGTATGTCTAAAGTTTCTTGCTAGAAGTTGAATATCTAGTCTAGGAAGAGCTTCGTGTGTTCCTTCAAGGGACTTTGTGTTGACTTGTTTAAGTCAAGGTATTCGATCGTTGTTGGAGGGATTTGAGGACCAACATCGTCTTTTCGAGGTTAAATACAATTATCAAGAAATTATTAAAAATGTTTAGAAAATGCGCAGAAAATTACGGGCATTTGCGGATGAGATCGGCGAAAATGTATATGATGTTCCTGATAACAAAATCAGTTTAGGTAGTTTTTAAAAGACAAACATTGCACATAAATTTTTAATTAAGCCATGACTCTTTCAACGATTCCACCAGAAAAACAAACTCTTTTTGGATCAATCTTGTTTAGTAGAGGAATTACGGGTGCCAGGTGCTTGTTCAATATATTCCTTTGTAATACCATCTTTTAGAGTTGTGATGTCAACAACAAAGGTTAGCCGAGTGGAAAATTACGAATTTCTGAATTTTGGATCGCACACAAACGAGCAACATGGTGGATATCTGGCAATGGCTTGTGGTGTTGGTGAGTTTAGTTTGACAATTCAAAAAACTGGTCGCTTTTTTTCTAGGAATGATTGACGGGGAACTTGATGAACTATTCACAAGGCTCTCTTCAACTTATCTCAGGTATATTTTTAATAGTTTTTTCTAATCTCCAAGTATAGATTTATTCACAAAGTCACTCATTCTGCAAAAGCTCATTCAACGAGCTTTGATGTGGATCGGGACGAATTCAGTGAAACGGATAAAGATTAAAAAGTGATTCATCATATGTTTTGTGTTTTGGTTTTAGACGGGTAATAGATGTATTTAGTGTAAAGGTGTTATGATCTCGGTTTTGTTATTTAATAAATGTTTCATATTTTCGAAGAACTTTGGATTGAAAAACCAGCCAAGTAGCAACTGGGATAATTTTTTAAGATAAATTCAGTTTAGCAAAATTACTTGTTATTTTTGAGTCAAATACGCAAATCCGCTGAAATCCAGATTTTACAGTCTTTCTATGCTACAAAAAAATGTCAGCGTTTTATTTTGTCGATCAATTCGAAGATTCGCATCGAGTTTATCGAATATTTATGCCAACCGAACGCACACTTGTGGAGAGTTGAGAAGTTCGCATATAGGTAAGGGATTTTTTTAATTCATCAAGGCATGTGATAATTTTCAGGTGTGAAAGTTTCTCTTTCTGGATGGCTCGAGTTTAGACGAATGGACAAATTCTTGGTTGTTTACTCTATTTTCTAAATACAAGTGCGTTTTCAGGTACTTAGGGATGCATATGGTCAAGTTCAAGCGTACATTCCGGAAAATCAGCCTGAACTTCGTGAAATGATGAAAGAATTGACTTATGAATCTGTACTTCGTTTGGACGGTGTGAGTTTGGGAATTTTTGAGTTCATTTTTAGTTTAGGTATTGTACGCTCAAGGGGAAAAAATGTAAATACTAAAATGCCCACTGGCGAAGTGGAAGTAAGTAGTTGGTTGGATGAAAATTTGCATTTTGTTGTTTAGATTGAAGTGAACTCAATCAATCTTATCAACGAGGCTCCAAAAGCTTTACCTTTGCGACCAGGAGGGGACGCTTCAGAAGAAACACGATTGAAATTTCGGTGCGCATATTAACTTTTACATTTTTAATTTCAAGCTCAGATACTTGGATCTTCGAACACCGCAAATGCAAGAAACACTTCGGTTGAGGAGTCGATTGGTGCACGATATGCGACGGTTTTTAGTAGAAAAGCGGGACTTTGTTGATGTTAGTGCCTTGTGAAGCCGAAATAAGTAGCAAAATTGTAGGTGGAAACTCCGATATTATTTCGACGTACACCGGGTGGAGCAGCCGAGTTTCAAGTGAAAGTTAAGGCTTCATGCCATCCAAATTTCTGTTTTAGGTTCCTGCACCAAAGCCGAATCGTGGTCGTTGTTACTCTTTACCTCAAAGTCCACAGCAATTCAAACAACTACTAATGGTTGGAGGGCTGGATAGATATTTTCAGGTTGATTATTCTAAAATAATGTGCTATTCTCTCGGATTATTCGTTTGATCTAGCAATAAGTTTTTAGATAGCTCGTTGTTTCCGTGATGAGGGTAGCAAAATTGACAGACAACCCGAGTTTACCCAGGTTTCTTTTGTGTGCCAACAATTTTTTAAGCAAAATTTTAAGGTCGACTTGGAACTTTCTTTCACAAATCAAGAGGGTGTAATCAAATTGTTGGAAGACTTGATAGTTGAATCATGGCCGCAACCTCTGGTAGTTTGCATTCTTTTGCCCAGTAATCTCAAATTCAGGAAAGCTTTCGTCCAAATGCTCCATTCAGAAGAATTTCCTATAATGACGCCATGAAACTTTACGGAACTGACAAGCCGGATCTGCGAATACCTTGGAAAATTCAAGACGCTAGCGAGGCATTATTTAATTTTAATTTTTTAATTGGAGGTCTTTTCAGTTGTTCCCTCATTTATTGACAGCCTCATCTTCATCCACAGCTGCATGTGTTGTTTGTGCTGATGCAGCCGCTTCAGTGACGAACAAAATTAAACAAGAGTGGAAAAGATTGATCGAAATGAACTCACGTTCTGCGGTAACTTTTGATTGTATTGTGTATGTTAAACCTTGTATTAGAAGTTTGCGATTTTTGATGGTTCTAAAGAGAAATGGTTCAAAGAAGGACACAATGTTGAAGAAATTAAGAGAAAGCTTAATGTCGGGAGCAACGACCTTTGTGTTATAAGGTGATTTTTAGTAAGCATAGGCTTAAGGAATTGTGTGTTTTAGTTGGGGAAACGAGGAAAACGTTCTTTACACACTCGGTCAAATGCGAAATCATGTAGCTGAGGGTTGCGGCTTACGAAAGAAACAACAAATGGAATTTCTCTGGGTAAGTTTTGAACAACTAAATGATTCTTGCTTGTTTGTCAGGTAGTCGACTTTCCGTTGTTTGTTGAAGAGGAAGGACGGCTCGTCTCGGCTCACCATCCATTTACTGCTCCTGTTGCCGAAGATTTCGCTTTGTTGAGAGATCAAGAACGCCGAAAGTCCATAAGAGGTCTGAGTACTTGAAAATTGTAATGAATGTCACAGTCTAGGCCAACATTACGATCTCGTGCTAAATGGAGTCGAGCTTGGCGGTGGATCGATTCGAATACACAATGGACAAGTACAGGAATATGTTTTAAATGAGATTTTACAAGAAGATCACACTGAATTGGTAGGGATAAAACTTTCTAAGCAATTATGGCTTGCTTTCAGTCACACTTGATTGAAGCGCTCAAGCATGGTGCGCCACCACATGGTGGTTTCGCCATTGGACTCGACCGATATGTAGCTTTGCTTGTCGGAAAAGGAGATACCAGTGTGTCCGTGAGAGAGGTTTGTTTTTGAAGGGATTTTGTCACAAAAGGGTTTATACTTTTTGTTAAAGTCTTGCAAAATATTCTAAATTATTATTTTTTTTAGACAATTGCATTCCCTAAATCACACACTGGTCGAGATGTGATGTCAGATGCTCCAGCGATACCCACGCAAAAACAACTCGACAAGTAATTATTTTCCACTTATCGATTGAATGGATTGATTTAGATATGGATTCGCATTTGTTGTGAAAGATGAGAAAACCACAGAGAATGATTCTTAGGCTTCGATTAGATAATATTGGTAGTTGTTATTTATAACATTGTTATATGTTTGGACAATTGTTGAATAAATGCTTGATCTCTCTTTATTTGTTTCACAAAGAAGTTGTGGCCGATTATCTTTCTCCATAACTTGTTGTTGTTGTGTGTTTTATTCGTGGCGTTTTGCAGATGGAGGATGATTCTTTTGATCAAACGGCTAAGGAAACATCTCAACTTCTTTTTTTAGTGTTTGAATCTTTATTGCATGAGCTAAAAAAATGTGATGTAAGTACTATTGTAAAAATTCATCGAAATTTTTTTAGTTAAGTAGTCTTCAAAAGACCTCTCATCGTTCAAGACACTCTGATGGATCAAGAAAGAAGACTTTTGAAATTTTACGAAAGATCAGTGTCATTGTCGGAGGTAAGTGAGACAATTGTATTTGAATTTATATATGTTTAGAATCTGTTCTATTGGATGCTTTTTCTTTGGCGACTACTGAATCCATTAGAAGAGTTGATGAGAAAATTTACAATCAAAGTGAAGTTGAACCAATTCAGGATCAAAGTGAAGTTGAACACATTCAAGATCAAAGAGAAGTATGAACTGTATTCATGATTCAATAGGTTCCTATATTTGTAGACTTCTCCTGATCTTTATGAAGACGCTGATGAAGACGACGACACCTCAACTGAATCACGAATAGAGCCTTTACTTGATGGTGACCGAGATAAAGAATGGATTAATGCTTTGAATGGAACAAGACGAATACCCAAGCAAAAACTTCATTTGTATCAGGTTGGTGTCAAGATTAAACATTGATTTTATGAGAATGCATGTAGCCCTTCCATTGACCCTTTGAGTCATTTATTTTTTGTCAAACATTCACATGATCAAATGGATTAAAACACAAAAAGGCTACAAATTTTCAAAAGGTGTTTGTTTATTCGGTGGGAAATAAAGTCGATTCTGTGTGAAGAGGTGGGCATCTAGTCAAACTTGCCAAGTTAGGTCGAGGCGGACATCACACTTTCCTAAAAACAAGCATAATGAAGCGCTCAAAACTATAGCCAAAAGTGTTTACTCATAGAAGCTGCCATTTGTTGTGACAATTTTTATCGTTGACAATCTTCAACAAAATTTCATATCGAAACCTAGAAGAAAACATCAAAACAAATGATCAATGATGTTCCGAAATTTAATGTTTTTAGGTCAACGAGGCGCCGCGAAGTGCTGTAAGACTGACGCTGTATCGAAATCACAATTGGTGTCCTTGTTTATTCTACAAAAATGAGTGAGTTTAATTATACAGTATTTTGTGTTCAAATTTCTTATTCAATTTTTTTTATGCTTTAGGGTATTGAAAACGCGAAAACGTTGGTCGTGTTCACATTGGGTAGCGCTGAGATTGGCGGAAATGATGGAAACGGTTGTGATTGAGGAAATGAGTCCCGAACAAATCAAACAAATGGTTGTTGCAAGTTTCTGTCACATTGATTTTTGATTTACTTACGTGAGCCTCTATTTGTACTTACTTTTTGAACAATATTATTTTGACTTTAACAGAACGGGATATTTTCAGATCTCATATTTATTTACATTGATAAAGAGTTTTCATGTCCGTTTTCTTCGGAATGTTGCACGTTTTAGATTTTTGAGCTTGGTTGCCTAGTGATGGATCAAGTTTTGAGCGAAGTAATTACCAATTTTTTTCATTTAGAAAACATGCGGTGAGCAGGTGTAAAAGATTCTGTGTTAATGTTTAATCTCAACAAATGTATTGTAATCGAATTTTAAATGTAAATGATCTTTAAGGTGATTTGGGCGGAGGAATCTTGTGAGATTAAAAGGGGCACACTCAACTCTCAATTTATTTCTTCACTGAATGGCCCCTTTTCTCCATTTCTTTTCCTTGAGGGTTTTATTTGTTTTGAGTAGTCGGCCAATGCATGGTTCCTTTGGGTATTTTTGTTGACCCTTCCTTCATCGATAAGCTTTTAGTGTTTCAAAGGTGAAAACTGAAATTTTACAATATTTCATTTCCTACTTAATACAAATGCGTTCAAATGACTTTCGTATCGATAAGTTATACCAAATAGAAATTGACTTGACTTTGAGTGCCTGAGTGAACTAAAAGTGTGTTTCCTAAAATGTGTACTTGGGGAAAGGCTACCGTACCCGGGTTACCGTACCGTAATTTTACCGTTTTGCCTACTCGACTTTTGAATGGCAAAAACTCTTTTCAACCAGCTCAACATTTTTTCGAGATTAAAGTAATCCGAAATGATAGATTGACATGAAATGTTTGTTTGTCCAATTGAGTGTCCCTCAACTCACTCAAGAATTCCTTCTTTTTTTTTGCAGTTTCAAAGAAAAACATGATTCTTTCCAAGAAAAAAAGGTTATAAATCTATCCGGAAAAGTTTTTCATGTTCTTTTGAAATTAAAAGCTTTGCTTACCAGTCCATACAGTAAATGTATCGATCTACGGCTTGGCTAATGCGTTTTCTAAAAGGTACCTATTCCTAATGTAATCTAATCGCGAGTTTTAATTCGATCAGCCCAATTTTGGTCACATTCATAGGGCTGATTTAGTGCGAAAACTACCGTATCAAACTGGCTGTTTTGATACGGTAGTTTTCGAAAATAGGTGTCCAATAGAAAAAGCGAGAAAGAGAGAAACCACATACTCGACTCCCGATGTTAGTTTCAGCTCAATCGACTCCAAAGATCATCCCTTTCTTTCTGTCGTCCCTTTTCGTTTTGTTTTTCCTTTACTGACTCATCTCCGATTGTAACCAATCCACCTGAAGAATGAAATGATTGAATGAGTGAATGGAATGAATGAACTCTTTCCCTTTCCCCTTTTCTCTATTTTTCCTCTCGTTTCCCCCATTTCCCCCCTCGATTTCGCAATCTTTATTTTCCCCAATTCCCATCCCATTAAAACCGATTTTTGTGCTTTCCTTCAAAAATATTTCTTTCCTGACAAAACGATCTCATGATTTTTTTCATCATCAAATCTTTCTTTTAAATAATTTCCTCTTTTTTGTATTTGTTACCTCTTATTTCTTTTGTATTGTTTAAAAATCAAATTCAACTGTTAATAGAATGTCAAAAGCTGATGATCCACCTGCTTACGATGATGTGCTAACAGCAAAGGAATTTGAGGCAAACAAACACTTTTATGAGGACAAATTCGTGAAGGTGAGTGCAAAAATATTTTTAATTTTTAATTGATTTATATTTATGTTTATGTTTAATAGATTTAATAGATATAATAGTTTTAAAATATACCGTAAATACTGTAATAGTACCCCACCCCCCTCGTACAGTCGCGTAGTCGCAAAAGTTTTTTAGTATTTCATTTTTTGCAAAGCACCCGTACTTTCAAAAAATGCGTCTTTGGTATCAAAAAATAGCCTTGAATTTCAGCTATTTTTTGATACCAAAGCGCGCATTGTAGCATAAACCAGTGTCGAGAAACACTCGTTCAAAGCTAGACTACGCAACACTCCGCACCGTCATTATGGGAGTGGGGCACTATTACAATATTTACGGTAGTTTATGTTTATGTTTTCAAAGTCTCCCCCCTGGCCAACTCAACTGAATAACTTCTAGTTCCTTGGGGAATTTCAAACAAAAGGCGCAGCTACGAAAAAATCTACGCAGAAAAAGGGGCGGCGCTCTCGTAGCTTTCATAGCTGCTCCATTTGGTTGAATTTTTCCACAAAATTAAAAGATATTCAACTAAAGCTTAAGGAGACACTTTGCAAATAGAATGTTTAAGAGTTAATCAAATAAAGCAATTACATTGAAAAGTTAAAAGGAGATTTTCTTTGTCTTTCACACATAACAAAAATTATTCAGCCGAGAGTCTCTTAATCGGCTGAATACTTTTTACGTCGCCTACTGTGACTGATTGTGAGAGATGTAACAGTGAATCTAATCTAAAATCAATAAATATCTAAATTTGATTTTTAGATTACCCGTGAGGGAATCGAGATAAAATGTTATTATTTCCCGACAACACAGAATAAATTCATCCCATTCAGTGCCATAAAAACAGTCTATTACGATGCACAGGTTTGAAAAAGTAAAAGAAAATAAACTTATCCAAAAAAAAATGATAATAGGGATGTCTAAAGAAATGCTGTTACATAAAATCGTGGGGAATGGCATTCTCGAATGTTTGGTGGGCATGTGATATGAGAAGGTAAGGGAAAACAGCATTCCCCTGACACAAATCGAGTACACTACAGTACAGTAAACCGTTGTAGATATGTTGTTGCCATGTACTTTGTGCTCAACACATAAACCCACACTCTCTAGCGCACTCAGTTCTTTATTTTCTAATAAAAAGGGCGCGCCAGAAAGGGTGCGGTTATAAGCACAAAGTAAACCGCAAAGAACAATCCTGCTTTGCCAGATGGGTTGCGTTTACAAAAGTGTACATTACCGTAGTATACAGTAAACGTCTGCGTTTCCGGTCCCTTCGTCAATAGGTGTACAGCGAAAATTCACCCTTTCAAATCAACTTTTTCAAACATTTTTTTTATTATTAGATAGAGCTTGTAAAATGCTATCCAACGGTAAAAAAAAACGTTTGAAAAAGTCGATTTTAAAAAGGACTTAAGACGTGAATTTCCGTTGTACACCTATTGACGAAGGGACCGAAAATGCACATGTCTAGTCTACAGTACTTTTCCACCATTTTCCAGACAATGCCCAATCGGTGACAAATCAAATTACAATGTGATTCTGGATGTTGGTGAGAGTCCAATGAAGGTAATATTTGGATTTCATTTTATTTTATTTAATTTCATTCCATTCCATTCCATTCCAGGGTTTCACCGTCTCCGACATTTCTTCATTTCTTTCTGTTCTCAAATCGCATCTCCCCGATATTCCCACAAAACCCGAGCTTCCATTCTGAGCAGTCTACCAAGGAAATCATCACTCATTCATCTTTTCTTTTCCTCAATCCATTCCCATCACCCTCACTCAAATCTCCATTAGGCTGTGTTTCTCTTCATTAAATCTTTTCTAAAATTTGCGTTTATGAAAAAGCTACTGTAATCCCAGTCTCACTGCCTTTTGAAACATTTAAATTATCTGAACGACTATTGTTTAAAATTTAAAATAAGCAAACTGTCACTTCAGCTATTTTAGCTAAAACAACCGGATTACAGTTGCTTTCTCTCAGAAGACATCTTTTAGAAAAAACTTTAACCGAGAATGCACAGTTTAGTCTCCATTGATACTCATTTCATCATGTATCTAATTTTCGATCATGCAAAATCTGCATTCAAACATAGCTGTTAATAAACACTTTTCGAAAAAAGCTGTACAAAAAAGACATTAGAGATCTCTTGAATTACCCACAAGTCAAGTCAAAAGTAGACAAGGTTTCGGTAGTATTTTGGAGATTGACACGTTTTAGAAAACGCATTTTACTGACAAGTCATTTTGATTGAGAGAAAATGATGAACTTCAATCTAAAAATAGTCACTCAGAGATTAATTTGAGGTTCGACCAACATATCGGAAAGAAAACCGGTTCAAAGATTGATTAGATCAAAAAAAAGAGACAAACAAAGGAGCTGAAGAATGACGATTTCCCTCAATCATGATTTTCGGTTCAATTATCCCTTTTCTCATAACAATTCCTTCCTCGAAAACATTCCATTTCCCCAAAAAAACTTCTCCCTTTTTAGTTTTGATCGGCAACACATTTACTACTCATCTGTCTATCATTTTATTCTTTTTTTGTCTATTACAAACAAAAATTGCCGATTCATCGCATTCCACTGAAAGTAAACATTTCAGAAGACTTCACAACTTTTCAGTTTCTGTTTAATACACTGATAACTATCGCATCAATGTTAAATTCTTCTTTCTTTTCAATTTTATTGTTTCTTTCATTAATCCTAATAATTCGATCAGCCCAAGTCGATATTGGAGGTTAGTTTGGAAAGTTTTATTAAAAAAAACAAGATTTCAGATAAACATTGTAGCCGTGATTCCGATTGTGAATCATGGGAATTCTGTCGAGAAATTGTCAGTTCCCGTGGCCCAATATGCATCACAAAATTTCCTGATCTTGGTGACCTTTTAACTAATTCATTGGACAATTATTAATCCTTGGATTGTTGGTGATGTGATTTCTTGAGATAAAAATATCAAAATCTAGTTGATGAACATTAAACAATTTATTTTAAAACAAACAAGATTTTTAAAAACATATAATGATAACAGGGTTGATAAAAGTATTTGCGCTCAAGGCTCATCCTGCTGCTTTTTCTTGGCTTGTGCTTCCTGAAAGTTAACATGAACCCAAAAAATAAAGAGAGGACAAGGATACCACACAAATACTGACTCATCTTACAGACTGACAATTTTATGCTATACTAACAAATGATCGTTAACTTAACCTCACTACGCCCGTTACACGACCTCCGCTTATGGGTTAAACGAAACTATAATTTGGTAAATCTATTGAAATCCTAAAGAATTAAAGAAAAATTTGTACCTCCATTTCTCGGTCCACAATTGGGAGTGCTCGTTTGGCCATCTCGATTGCACCTTCACGCGTCTTATGTCCACCAATGAAGCCCGTCATGTGAACAAAGATACACCTAAAAAATATATCACTAGATCAAAGAAATCACCACTGACCCATCAACTCCTACAATTTTTGAAAGTTCATCATCCCTCAACCCTCGCCATGCTTTTGGAAGAGGTCCCCTGAAATTGATTGATAGATCTTACACTGATAAAAATAGCTACCGATTTTCAAAATTGGCTTTACGATCGGTTGGAATAGCTTGAACACGCCATCCTGAAACTGTCGAATCACCAAAAAGCATGTAAGTAATTCGAGTTCCAACAATACCCTAAAAGTTATCATCACTATGTGCATAGTTGTAGCTTTCTTTTCCCCACCTCACTTTCCTCCAAATCAAAGAAATGTTCTTTCCAGGGAACACCGCCATTTTCCAAAAGCAAGATTCTACCCGATGGATCAACCTGAAAAATACTAATTTATTTGAAACATAAACCGGATCAAACCTCATTACGATTTTTCACAGCTTGTTCTACCAGCTCCCGTGCTGGCCACCAAACCTTAAACCAGCTTAACCCAGTTTATTATAACATTGTTACCCTGTTAAGATACAGCACAACCTCAACAAATTCATGTCCTACCAATTCCATCGCCATTCGAAACCTTTAAAGATATTTTTAACTTTCATTCGCTTTCAAATACCTCTCATCGGGATCAATATCTGTTTCATTCCAATGTGGATTCAAGTGCCCGACCCGACCTGATATTCCACCCGACGAAAGATAGCTAAAACATTCTATAAGCCGTAACATTTGAATATTAACCGTGCAACGCCATCATATTGCGGAATCCCATTATCAACTGCATCAATTTGTTCGATAAAAACCTAGTTAATAATGTAAGGAAAAAATTGAATACACAAACCTCGTAAACTTTTCGATAAAATAGCGTAACTTTGGGATCATTCTCGTCGACCTCAGTAAGCTTAAAATGAACGTATAGGGAGAAATGTGGAAAAAAAACAACCTGTGCGATTAAACGGCGCCCATAATGAGCATAAACAAGTCCCGCGGAAGAAAGTTTTGTGGAGAAATCAAGGAAACCGAGAGTTTGCATTGTGTGAGCAAATTCCCTGTCAAAACTCCACGTAAGCAGACTTAAATTTCAGTTACTTTTGATGATGATCATAACGTCGTTTTTCATGATCAAACACTCCTCCAACATCCACAACCACGTCACAACTTTCAAGCATTGCTGGGTCACGAGTCCTAAACAAAAAATTTAATTTGGCAAAGTTTAACGTCTTACCTCACAAGATCGAAGTCGCTAAACTCAGGAAGTTTTCGTAACAGGAAACAGGCCAGTGCCTCATCACAATGAAATTTCCCGTTGTGCGTGCCCAATTTCCCCATACCTTAAGAATACAAACTAAACTCATTGCTTCATAAACAAGTTAGACATAATGCAATATGGGCGGATAAAGTGATAATGTCCAAACAAACCTGCAATGGCCCTCGAGAACTGCAGGCAAACCCGAGAAACCTGAGACAAAATTGCTAAACCATAACATAACTATAGACAAACAAAAAGGTATGAAAAAATCAAAATTTTTAGCAATCTCCCATCCATCATGTTGAAAATTAGAATACTTTATTGATTAAGCACGGTTAAAGCCTAAACATCTATTACTATCTAGAAGAACGCACTAGACCTGAGCAAAGTTTAAATTCAAAAAGCACAAAACCCGTATAATACATTTATGGCACACAATTAAAAGAAATTTCTAAGAAATCTAGAAACTAAATTGACAAAAAATGGAATATGATGTTCAGCTCGACGCAAAACTGCCGCATCAACTAACGAAGAATAGTCAAAAAGTCGATTCTTCTCCTAAACTGCCATTTTAAAAAGCTTCATCATTAATTTACTTCTAATAATCGAGCTTTCAGAGAATCGTTTTTGGTGACAACAAGCACTTGAGCCTCAAGGTCACGATGGGCAGAGCGATAACCTGCTTTCGAAATAACCAATATAAACTAAAAACAATCTTTACCGTAATTACTCGATCCAATCATGCATGCCAAAGTATCGCTTTTTTGAAACCATAATCCTTTCGCGTGAAATGTCCATCCATTACGACTCCATTCATGCATTTTGACCTAAATTCAAAAGTTAATCTAACAGAAAAGGCTTCTTCACGTCTTTTGATCTTTTGTTAGCTTCGACAGTCTTGAGAAACTCATTGGCTATCCACGAATACATTGATGGGACATAACGAGAAGCTCCGCTCGCTCCGTAGAAACCGTTTGCCTGAACATTTATCCGTTTATTTGAAAAATGAGACTAAAATGGTACATATATAAATTCAAAGCACAAACAAACCTTTGGCGAAGCAATCAAAATATCCAGTTTATAACGTCCTTCATAAAACATTTCGTTTACATAGTCGTCGACACAGTTAAAATATCCTGATGCCATCGCCACTTCCAAAGATTCATCCTAGAATCATCAATACCAATCAATTAACAAAAACATGAATATTATAAAATTCAAACATTTTGTTTGAAAAGAGACCGAAGCAAGTCATATTCTTGATTGATGTTGAAAGTTCCCATCTGCAAAAGTGGATAAAGTATTGTGTCGGCGTCTAAATCAAAGCTAGTTGCGTTTAAAATTTTTGAATTTACCTCTAATTTTCAAATTGCTTATCTTTTCTTTCAAAGTATCAATACAACGATGAATCCGTTTCTCAACCGAAGCTTTATATCGAGTCTGACTTTCTAAAAAGACTATGTGGACATTTTTTTCTTAACAGACAACAAAACCGTTCAACATTTGGCAATCCTCATGCGGGTGAATGTGACCATCTTTTTGTAGCAGAAATGCTGAGCGGGATATCTAAACTTTGGCTTTGTATTAAATTTAAAGCATTAACATACCTCATGAACAACGTCACAAAAGAAATCAGCCAGCTCAGGAACGTTTTCAAACAGGAAATAGCGATCCTGTCGATTTGTAAAATAAGAGTCGGACAAGTTGGCTCTATCTTTCTTTTATTACATACCAAATAATAAAACGAACCCACTGATCAGGACTGAATTATCGAAAATGTATAGTTTCATATGTTGTAGCCCAAATATTTCGTTGGTTCTTTCCGGCAGAACACTTTTCATGATCCCCGAAAGTTCAGGCGTATGATAAAGTGAAATCTGAACAACCAACTATAACCTAGTTTTTAAAAATTTTACCTGCGCTTTATCAGCTATCGGTGCTAACAAAGTGGTGCTGCTCTTTTCTTTGGCTGTTCCTCGTGTCCCACGTAAATAATCCAACAAAATGGAGCATTTCAAATCAGGTACTTCTTTCAGTCGCTTATCAAGTGTATTTACCTTAAACGAAATTTGTTAACGCAAAATTAATTAACCAACTAAATTCCTCTCTAACTGCCCTTCTCCAAGATAAAGACTGCTCCAACATATTCGTTTTTCCGCCTTCGAAGATTGCTCCTAAACAACACTAGCGTTTGAAAAACAGTGAAAAGACAGAGAGACCTAGTTGTCTCTCATGTAAAGTGCGAATCTGTTCTGAATATTTCTTCTAAAGACTGCAAATCTATCCTGAATCTAACCAAGAGCGTCTGATAAAAGTCCTTGGGTTCGTGAATGATCCGAATCGATTTCTCCTGTACAGGAATTGCGGGTAGATTCAGCTGGAAGAAGTCCATTCATTCGAGTAGGAGATGGGAGATTTAATCTGAAATTGAACAAATTAGCTTCTAGAAGAAGTGACGAATTGGGTAATGAAAAGTTGAATAAAAACAATGGTTAAAGTTCTTGGAAAAATCCTCAAATAATAAGCACGCAAGTTATTCAGCCAATTAGCCAATGCAATTGGCTATTCAGTTATGACATTGTGTAGTCTCAATTGCCTAAGATTCACCTTGATACAGAAAACTGTTTATTTTTACGCACTTTTTCGGGGTAGGCTACTTTCCGCCATTTTATTTGCGCAACAGGGTCATTTGCGCAAGTACGTTTGCGCAACTTTTTATTTGCGCAACAGGGTCATTTGCGCAACTTTTTTTGCGCAACAGGGTCATTTGCGCAACTTTTTTGACGTTTTTAAGGGACGTTTTTTTTAAGGGAGTTTTTGACGTTTTTTTTTGTTGTTTAAAATTCTAGTACGGTTTTGTTTATTCTTAAAAACCATTGTTAACTAATTTTCCGCATTTTCCCAAGAATCCGCATCCATCGTATACTGCGGTCAGACTTTACGAAGAAATGACGCAAATAATCAACCGTTTCAAGCTTTCATCGGCTATCAATCTCACTGTTGGACAAAACTACACACGGAAGAGAACTGTATTGGCTCGACAAAAGCAACGTTTTTTACTGCTATTTCTAATGGTCGCTTGCCCGGTTGCGATTTTGTGAAACATCTTTCTCAGCTTTTGACTTATATTAAAAAATTTGATTTTTATTGTTGTCCTAAATTTCATTGCTATTGTTGTCCTAACTTTCATTGTTATCGGTTGCACTTTTTTGTTAAAGCGATAAAATATTTTACTAATGGTTATTAGCTCTTAGAAAGGACTAATTTAGATAAATATTGGAAGATTATGCAAAAAAATTGGAAGATTTCATAAAAATAGAAGAAAATAAAAAACAATAAAAAAAAGCTCAAAAATGAAAATAATGATTAAAAATTCGAGTGCTTAATACAGTGTTAAAGTTGCGCAAATGACCCAGTTGCGCAAATAAAGTTGCGCAAATGACCCTTTTTGTGCAAAAAAAAGTTGCGCAAATGACCCTTGTTGCGCAAACGTACTTGCGCAAATGACCCTGTTGCGCAAATAAAATGGTGGAAAGTAGCCTACCCCCACTTTTCTATACACTAGGTAGGCATTGCAAAATTGTGTGGAAAACAGCGTAATAGAGAAACAACGTTATAGCACTATTGTCATTCGAAAACGAGAGTCAAAAAGGAATTGCTTCGGGGGAATTTTTCAAAAAAGACGAACACAAGCACAAAACTCGCAACACACTTAAGAATAGCTGTGAATTTCTTTTCAAAAAGGCTCGGATTGTTCTTTCTCATTTTTTGAGCATTTTTCAAACTTTGTATTTTCAGACGAATTCAATGGCATCTCTTCAACACCGACAGCAACAAGAATTCGAGGAGGACGAGCTCAATAAACTACAGGTTCGCTAGAGCTCTTTTGTTACTTTATCTTTTTTTATGAATTTAAAAACAGAAAGTAAAGGTGCATGTTTCAAGACGGATAGTGTTGGAAAAACGCTACCTACCTACCTAATGTGTTGCGTTGACTCCCTTGAAAATTGCTAAAAAAATTCAAGGTTTTCAAGAATTTTCCCTTAGTCAACTGGTGTGGCGTGTGATCGATTGAGACAAGCGTTGAAGAAATGTATAAAAGATAGCCCATGTGTACAACGGGATGCTCGATCGGCCCAGGATTGCATAAATGCTCACGATGGTTTTTTTTAAAAGTTTTTTTTTTACTGTTTGGCTTTAGGAACCGTCCCGGACCGATGTTTCTCTCTTTTATCAAATTTCAGCGATTGTAAAGTGGGTTACATTGCAAAGTTACGAAAAGTCATAATAAATTTGCAGCGATCAATGGTTGATATGCGATCAAGGTTTCGAGGACGAAAAGGCGACGTTTAGGAATCATTTCTTTGTTCATATTTAGACGTTCATTTATAAATATTATTGCTTTTTCGATTTTATTTTCATTTTGGGTCAACAGCCTTACAATTATCAGTCACACTTGGTATGTGCAGTTTGGTTATTTTGGCGTAAAGCCTTTAGCACATTTTGAACTGCTGCAATTTAGAAATGGGTACATTTCAACGACGATCAAAGGAAACCGATGAAATTTTTACGTTGTTTTTCACCGGTGAGTCGTTTATAAAGTTTAAAATTAAATGGGAAAAATTAAAAGTTCAATGTATTGCAAACGCTATGTTTTAGTTGCGAGCCCGTTTTCGAATTTCCATCCCTGCCGCTTCACTGCGATTCTCGGTAATGATAAACTACACAAATTTTGCTGCGTGGAGCAATATTATATGTAAGCTTTAATTCTTAACTCAGCTTATTACATTTTTAGGTATCACAAAGCGATGGCTGCCGATAATGAAAGTGCTGCAGAGCAGATATTACGCGAGACTGTACCCCGAAATATAAAGAAAATTGGGAGCGAGCTTGAGAGCCTTGACTATCAAAGGTTTACCTTCTGGGATTCGCCCAAACAACGAATTTTTAGATGGAAAGTTATTTCGCCAGGAATAATGCGTCAGGCGTTGTTTCTGAAATATGAGAATAACGAGGAGCTACGAAAACTTCTTTTTCTGACGCGCGGATCAACATTAGTGGAAGCTTCGCCAACTGATTGCACATGGGGAATAGGTATATTTTGAAAGACTTATACTTATTGTATTACTCTTTTAGGTTTGTCATTGGATGACCCCGGTTCGTCAGAAAGAAGTCGTTGGCGAGGAAGAAATCAACTCGGAATGATTATGACGGCTGTAAGAGAAGATCTTTGGTATCGGGATGTATATCAGTAAGCGATCAACAACAATTTAAGCAAAAGAAGTTTTAGAAAAGATAGAGAAATCATCGAGAAGACAATACAAGAGCCCGGATACTTTGAAGCTTACTTTGCAAATATTCAACGATTGCCGTGAGTTTTTGAAACTTTTCATTAATGATTTATAAGTTTTAGGTTTGAAAAGGCGAGGGATAGAAAGAGATTTAAGGAAGAGCTCAATGTCTCATTACAAGAGTTTGTTTTAATGGGTAAGATATTACTACTTAATTTTAGATCGCCCCAATTGTCGAGTAAACGACCGCGTTTCTCACCAAAATCTGAAAGACGAGAAAAACGTTCTCGACGAAGAAGTCCTTCGCGAGAAAGGAATGATCGTCGAAGAAGTCCGTCACGAGAAAGGAATGATCGTCGAAGAGGAAGATATGACGAGAAGGAAGAAAGGTATGTAACTTTATAATAGAAAAGAAAACGAACCCGTCCTATATATTTATTTAATTTCTTCTAATTCTAAAGTTTATTATTGTAACAACCCAATGAAAATTTAGAAGTAAATATGCACGTAGTTCTCGGGATGAAAAGGAGGAGAATGGAAAATCACGCAAAAGGAAACGGTCTAGGTATGCTATTGCTTTGTATATTGGAGTATGAAATTTTAGGGAACGATCTCCTGGTCGGAGTTCCGACACCAAGGATTCCAATGAAACGCAAAGGGACACTTCTTTTAAAGGGTTTGTTGAGTTTTATTTGCTTGATTTTTGTGTTCAATTTTGTTATGTTTAGCGATTCTTCTGGTTCAAGACATGCTCGCATTAAATTCGATCTTAATGAAGAGCCACCACAACCAGCACCACTTGAAAAGTTTGTTATTATCGTCTATTGTAAAGTACCAAATTTTAGATCAATCACAGGGCAAAAGCGGCTACTCAGTTTACTTCAACAAGAAAAGAAAAAGATGCAACTACAAGTTCCCAGTACACTTCAGTATGAATTTCTTTTGTCCGTAACTTACCAATTTATGTATAGAGTGGCTGATTTGGAGGTGAAAATGGTGCCAGAAGCAGTACCGATAACACTAGGAATTCTTCCCGATGCAACGCTTGAGATTATCAGACATTTTAATCTTCCTTCAACAATCGAGAGAGCACCACCAGCTCCACCGCCCGAGCCATTAGTTGAAATCCATGATGAAGAGGTTACTTTATGGAGTTGTTTTTTAAACAAAATTTTAGCATGACGTAGAGGAGCCGTTTGAGTTTGTTCCCGAGGCAACTTTTCTTGATATCCCGTTGCCAGAATCACCATTGCCAAAAGTTCGAAGACCTCAATCTCGTTCTCCTACGCCAGTTTCCGAAGAAAACTCAAGAAAGAAGAGAAAGCGGTATATCTTATAATTAGCTAAGTTTATAAGTATGTACTTTCATTTAGTAAAGACGATGATGGCGGAGAAAGAAAGAAGAGCTTGAAACGGCATAAGCACAAGAAACACCGAAAATCGAGGCGACACCGGTCGACCTCAAATTCTTCTACAGCCAGGTTTTTAAAATTTTTGAGTCTATTTAGTAGGTATTTTAGTCGGCACATTTCGGCTGCTTCAAGTGGTTCAGCAAGTTCAACACCTTCGCATTCTCGAAGTAAAGACAAAAAAAGAGATCCGGTTCGAAACATAAGTCACGGAAATAACGCGGTAAAGGACACCTAAGTTAGGCTTATTCTAACGTTTTTTTAGATTGCTATAATTATTTCATCCTCCATTATTAAAGCCAAATCGATCGGGTATTTGTTTTTAGTTTTTTACCTTGTAAGCCTTCTTTTTTTTATTGAAAGTTATTGATATTTTAAGTTTGTGCTATTATTTAAAAGTTGTTAAAATTGTTTATCACCGGTTATTTTTGATCGCAATCCTATAAAGAACATTCGAAATATGTTAAACAAATTATGCAAAACAAAAGTCGCAAAGTCCATCGAAAAGCTAAAGCAAAGCATTTTGAGGGTTGGAAAGCTAGTAATTCTTAAAGTTTATACCTGTAAAGTATGAAAATGTGCCGATAGAGATTAAACTTCATTAGATTCCTGATGGGATGGATTAGTTGCACAATAACACAAAAAAATCATGGCTTACTAGTTGAGTTGAAATACATACAATACAGAAAAATGGGTAAAATCAATTTTTACTGCCTGGGAAAAAGAAAATAGTATGGTAGCATCAAAAGCCAAGTGTAGAGCTAAAAATACCATTATTTTTTAACATTTCATTAAATTACCTTCCAGTGCAAGTAGCAACTACCAAACCAGAAGATGTATTGAATGATGATTTTAGTCCACGAAAAAACCACGCGTTGGCCAGTTTCACCACGGAAGAACTCTCCTGTCTCATAGTATCTACCTAAATAATTTTAAAGTGTTAAGCCGAGGGACAAAGTTCGCCCATGAAGACGAGCTTTAGTGAAACTCGCCAAACACTTAAGTCTATCATCAGATTTATCTTGAACTACACTCTCCACCACCAAATATTTTATTTCAAACTCGCCTAACATATCGTCTTTTTCCTTATATCTGGCGTACATCCAATCACGTAGAGCTTCATCATCTTCAAAAGGAACCTAAAATTTCAGCTCGCTATTGCAAAAATGGTTTCAGCGACTGATGAAAGCAAGACTATGTTTAATATAAGTGATTCACAACAGGTGCTAACATTTACTTTAATGCAAAATCTCACCTCTGCTGCGTCGTAAACTCTGTAATGAACGGCAATATCACATCTTTCTCTTGTTCCCATTGCCATTGTTGCCAACGTGAGAGGAATTCCATGAGGATATGCAATTGTCACATCAAGCAGATATTTGATTGGAGGACGAGTATCTAAAGGTCAATATTTAAAGTACAATCATATGCTATGCCATCAGCAATAGCAATTATTTTTGCCCTTTCAGGACAAAGTTTAATCAAGATAAACATTAGAGAAAGGGAGACCTTGAAGGAAATGAGATCATACTCCAAACCACAGAAAGACAATCTAGATCTATTCATACCTTCGCTTTGTATTTCGAAATAACTTTTTTTCTTATATCTCTTCCAATAAACCTTTCCCTCCCTGATTTTTTTTGTTATGTACATAAAAACGGCACGGCTGTTCACAGGAAAGAGAGGGCGATCAATATGAAAAAACATACTTGACCGTTTGGAAAAGCTAGCCTAAATTTTTTAAAGCTCTCCACTCCGAAACTTTCACTTATTATTTTTAGAAAATGTCTAATTTGCTGGGGCTTCAATTTGCACCTCTGAATATTCCACTACAACGACGGCTACAAACATTTGCTGTTCTGCATCAGTTTTTCATTACTCTTGGATCAGTGGTGTTGGTGATGGTACTACCCGTTTATTTGGTAATTTTTAAAAGTTCAAAATACCTAACCGTTAATTTAAGGTGTTCACCCAATTCTGGTGGTTGATTTTACTTTATGCAACGTGGCTGTGGTACGATTGGCAAAGTCCACGAAAAGGGGCCTATCCACTGCAATGGTGTCGCGATATGCGAATTCACAAATGGTTTGCCGACTATTTCCCTGTAAAATTACACAAAACGGCCGACCTTGACGACTCAACCGTTAGTCTATGGAAAAATGAAGAGACTAAACAAAATTGCAGAATTATTTGGTCGGATCTCATCCACATGGGATAATCTCCATGGCAGCTTTTGTGAACTTCGGCTCAAACGCTACTGGGATCGACAAATTGTTTCCAAACGTATTGTACGCTTACCCAATAATAAAAAAAATCATTTGACTTTTAGCTTTCGACTGTGCACACTTGAGGGGCAATTTTGGACACCATTCCGAAGAGAGTATGGTCTGCTGCATGGCTTTATTGGGTGCAGCAAAGAAAGCCTCAATTGGGTTTTAGAAAATGAGAAGAAAGGCTTGGTAAGTTCCATTCAAACAAAGCAGGAACTTCAAAGGCAAGATTTTCAGGCAGCAGTTCTAGTGATTGGTGGAGCTGAAGAAGCTCTAGATGCACATCCTGGCCATCATATCCTAACTTTAAATAATAGGTAAGTGGCTGACTACGCAATTTGATAAACCCTAATAAAAAATTTAGGAAAGGATTCATAAGACTGGCCATCCAAAGTGGAGCTGCTCTCGTACCTTGCTATTCATTTGGTGAAAATGATATCTACAATCAAGCTGATAATCCCAAGGTTTGAATTTAAAAAATATTAATTATAAAAGCGTCTCAGGGCTCAATGCTGCGAGAATTTCAAACATGGATGAAAAACAAGTTTGGTTTTTCACCACCATTTTTCCGTGGTCGAGGGGTTTTCAACTACACCTTTGGATTGTTGCCTTTTAGGTGAAATTCAGTAAATCGCATTTCATAGGTAATTAATTATTTAGAAAGCCTATAAATACTGTGATGGGAAAGTCGATAAAAGTTGAAAAAAATAGCTGCCCAAGCAAAGATGAAGTAGATAAGGTTTGGAGAAAAATAATCTGCAAAAGGAGAGCAAAACACTTTCAGGTTCATGCTCAATATGTCGAGGCTTTAGTGACTTTGTTTGATACCCACAAAACAAAGTTTGGCTGTGATGAAAACACAAAGCTAGTGATCCAGTAAACAAGAAACCAAGCTTTTTGTGAAAAAATGGAAATAAATTATTAACAGCTACCTTTTACATATTTCTTCTCACGAATCGCTCCAACAGTATCCTTGATCAATTTCAGTTTGCTTGAGGTTCTTGGTCTTTTATCAAAATCTTCTTCCTCTTCATCCCGAGGCCCAACCTTCATCATTGATATATTACATCAAAAGACAAACATTACTCACTTCTTCAAGGATGGCTTTGATGGCTCCCATTCGTGGTAAGGTTGTGTATTCTGTATGTGGGAAACCATTCTCTCGGCCATATCTGAACTTTTTAATAATGCACGATTAATCGCAGAATTACTTTTGACTGCTTTCGATCCGTTTGAAATAAAATCCACCTTCTGGAAAGACAATCACCCAGCGACGATCACTAAACGAAACATGGCTATTGACACTTGCTATTCTTATGCTAGTTCCAATTTTCAATTTAATTTTTATAAAAACCACTATCAAAAAATAAGATTAATAACGCACCGATCCCAGAAAACGTTCTTCAGATGGTCTTTTAATCGCACTAATTCCTTATCACGAGTTGATTTTCCTTGTTGAATGAAGTAATCACCTGAAAATGTTCAGTTACATAAAAGCAACGCCTACAAACCGTGATTATTCCCAATGATTCCAAAAGGCGTCCATCGAAACATTTGGTCCATCAACCAGATAGTCTATTTAAGTAAACAGTATTTAATTTTGGAAATAATAATGATACTTTTCTGCTGGCGACACCTTTACTTTGCAAACATGCCATCAAAGTCGGAACATCGGCTGTGCTTTGGTGATTGCACATCAGCAAAACTCGTTCGTTAATACATTGAGACAAGTCATCGCCGTATTCATAAACTAAATATAAAGTTTAAACAGTATCGATTTTTAGATGCACTTACCATCATATCCAGCCGTGTATCCCCAATAGCCAATGAAGGCTTGAAGCCAGCGATACAGTTTTCCTTCCCAAAACCAGTATAATCGCGGCCTAAAATGAATAAAGCTTTCTCAAAAACTAAAATCCAAGCAGAAACATGAAATCAAACCCACCAAACAGTTTTCGCCCACATCACTGGAAACATAAAACCGAAATAAGCGATGAAGAAGACCGTCACATTTGATATGCAGTTCAAAGTTCTAAATTTTGGATAAAAACCATCAGCACAAGCTTTACCGGATCGGAGTTTTGATTGCCCAGATTATTCGTTGCTTCCAATTCATTTGTGACACCGCTGATCTTAAAGCAAGTTAGGTAAGCACTGAAAACTATCGCATTCTTTTACCTAGCACCAGGTAGATGACTTATCCGTCGATTTGTCATAAAAGGGGGTGGTCCAGAAGGATCCATTGCTGAAATAAAAACATTAGAAAGTTTAATAAGTAACACTGGAAAAGAGAAGAAAGAAAAAAACCAAACAAGTCCACAAACGGCCAAAATAGTTATTTAATTGATGTATATAAAGTTTTCACGCTTTAAGATATTCAAGTAACGCATTAAATAGTTTGCGTCATCCGTCTCTTTTCACAAGCCTCTTATTTTCATTTCCAGAAGAAAATTTGTTGTCTTGTGTGCTCTAGTTTCATGCGAAAGCCACGTTTTCCAACTATTGACCCTGAAATTTACGCAACTTTAGTGCGTGCATGACATTTTTTATTTGGCTTCTTGCCAGCGTCCCATCGTACCCCTCATAGTTGCGGGAATCCGCTCGCCATTTTTGCTCAAATTCAGCCCTTTTTCTTTTCGTTTTTTTTCCTTTTTCTTAAACTTTTTTGAAAAATTCTTAATACAACATATTTTAGAAATGGGACGACCTGATTTCCAAGGAAGATCAAACGGTGGAGGTAGCATTTGCCTACATTTGAGTGAATGATCTGGTTTTGGAGGCTCCAATCCAGAAATGATTACACTATACAAGATTAGGCATGTTACCTAACTTATTTGCTACCTTCAAGGTTTCCGTGGACCATCAAGGGGAGGTGTGCAAGGAGCTCGCGGCGGAGGATTCCGAGGAGGCTCTCCGCGTGGAGGATTTGGGGGTGGAAGAGGTGATTTCGGCGGATCTCGAGGGGGAAGAGGCGATTTCGGCGGATCTCGAGGTGGTTTTTCACCGCGCGGAGGCTCTCGTGGAGGTTATCTCGCCTCGTGGTGGTGATGGCAGGTTGGATTTGTTTCTGGGTCGTATGATTTAATTTTAGTCGCGGTGGATTCCGAGGAGGCCCACGCGGTCGTGGATCACCCAGAGGAGGACGTGGAGGCGCTGGAGGAATGAGGGGCGGAAAACGAGTCATCGTTGAGCCTCATCGTTATGAAGGTATTTTATAAAACTAAAATATTTAATAGCTTTCGTTGATGTATTTAGTCCGTTTTATTCGAATTATATTAATTTAGGTGTCTTTGTCGTCAAGGGAAAAGAAGACGCCCTCGCTACCATCAACATGGTGACAGGCGAATCGGTTTATGGAGAGAAGAGAGTGTCGGTGGAAAACGAAGGAACCAGCGTGGAATATCGAGTCTGGAATCCTTTCCGATCCAAATTGGCCGCTGCTATGATGGGAGGCTTGGAGAACACGCACATCAAGCCTGGAACAAAGCTGCTCTACCTTGGCGCTGCTTCTGGTACTACAGTTTCTCATTGCTCGGATATGGTTGGCCAGGTTTGAATGATCATTGATTGTCTTTGCAAAATGTATCTTTAGGATGGTATTGTGTATGCGGTTGAATTTTCTCATCGTTCGGGCCGTGACCTTCTCAATGTCGCCAAAAAACGACCAAACATCGTGCCAATTGTCGAAGACGCCAGACACCCGCACAAATATCGCATGCTTGTTGGTTGGTATTATTAAAATTTAAGCTTCTTTTACTTTTTCTATAATTGTTTTAATTTTAAGGAATGGTGGACACGATTTTTGCCGATGTTGCTCAACCTGATCAAGCCAGAATTGTCGCCTTGAATGCTCACAAGTATTTTGTACGCATCATAAAATTAATAGTTTGTGTTTAGCTTCTTGAAAAATGGCGGGCATGCTGTCATTTCCATCAAAGCCAATTGCATCGACAGTACTGCTCAACCAGAAGCCGTCTTCGCTGGAGAAGTGAACAAGCTGAAGGAAGAAAAATTCAAGCCTCGCGAACAAGTGACGTTGGAGCCTTACGAACGTGATCATGCCGTCGTCGTTGCAGAATACAGAGCCAAGGGCAAGAAATAGAAGATTCCAAGCCCCCATGATCTCATGTTGTTGATTTTTTTGTTGGATTTTCATTGACATTTTGTTGTTATTGTTACGGTGTGAAATAAATTTTCTATCGGAGGGTAGATCGAACTAATATTGGTTTTTTCCAATGATTATCTTTGAATTAAGTGTGCTTTTTTGTTTTTAATTATTGGTTTTTATTAAGTAACTTTCTAGGAAACGATGACTGGGGCCCCACAGGCTGTGCAAACCTATGGAAGAAAAAGGACGGCGACGGCAGTTGCTCACTGCAAGAAAGGGCGAGGAGTCTTGAAGGTCAATGGACGCCCAATCGATTGCGTGCAACCACAAGTTCTCCGTATGAAATTGATGGTAAGCTTTTGACGTTTTAGGTAACTATGTAGAACTAAAGGTACTTAAATCGCTTTTAACCATGAATGTGAGCGATTGACGTGATAATACTTCTCGTTGGAGTTTAAGTTGGCTAATCCAATCGAATAAATTTGTTGTTTAGGAACCCCTACTTGTCGTCGGCAAGGATCGTTTCCAAGACGTCGATATTCGAGTTCGAGTGAATGGCGGAGGAAATGTTGCCCAAATCTACGCAATTCGACAAGCCATCGCCAAGGGACTCGTCGCATACTACCAGAAATTTGTGGACGAGCAAAGCAAGAAAGAACTCAAAGATCTTTTCGCTGCGTATGACAAATTTTTGCTTGTTTCTGATCCCCGCCGCAGAGAAACTAAGAAATTTGGTGGACCTGGTGCTCGCGCCCGCTACCAAAAGTCTTACCGTTAAACGCTTTGTTGTTCGAATATATTGTTTTTTCAAATCTTTTCATTTCATTAAATCAAAAATTTACAATACGATTTATTAAAATTAGCTTTTTTCGGCTAGAGGCCAGTCATTTCGGCTAAATCGATTCGGAGAAGTCCATTGATTGGTTGCAATACTTTGTACAAAGCTGGGTCCCCTTGAGAAAATAACTAAAATGTCTGGCTTCATTTTGTAAAGAACTTGAAGACCAAAGTGTTAAAACTCACAAGAAGATTGTCCTGTAGGCCTGCGAGAATTGCGCATCATATTCATGGCGCCTATTATTGTATAGTAAGAGATGGTAAATCAATATTACCACGACCATATCTCCACATCCTAGGGGGGCTTTTCCATCCCATCCAAGGGTTTCTTTCCATTAGTGGCTTATACATTTCTTCCACTGGTTGACTATCGATTTCTCTCCAGGTTAAAGCTCTTGATGAACCGAAATTGGCACTATATGGTTGGGAAATTCTGAAATGATTTTTTCATTTTATGAGCGACAAAGTATCTACCTTCTGAAAATGTTATTTTCCGATCTTCGAATCGAAGGGCGAAATCGATTTCTCGGCATAGTTGGGTAGCTTTCTTCTTCAATTGGTGGAAGCTCTTCAGTTTCAATTTCGAATGGAGGCAGCGCTTCTGAAAACCTGCATGTTCATTTTTTAGCAAATCAAACCTGCTGATGTATAGGGTTGATTAATTGCATTTAAATGGTTTAAATCCTCTGGAGCATACGGGTCTGTTGGAAATGTGTTGTAGTGATTATTTGTAACTTCAATCGGCCTCAATCGCTCATACCCGTTGCTGCTTCTACAAATTTTGACCAAAAGGATAATCTAAAGAATTCTGTAAGTGGGGATCTAAAGACAATATGTATGGGGTTTACTCACTTTAAATAGTAAGTGCATAATATGCGGTATTGGATAATATAGTGAATAGAGATTATTTGTGATCTGAAAAGTCAGCTAAAGGGGAAATGGGAGGCTAAAGTGATTGTGGGGCCGTTCGGACATCCGCTCCGACATGACAGCTCCGTTTTCTCCAAATCCCGATCATTGTTTGATTTCCTTATTTTTGTGCCGTTTTCTTCTTCGGCTTCCCTTTTTGTCGAATACATTAAAAACGTTTATTAAACACCACAAATCAGAAATTTATTTTTTTCGAGTTGTCTTCCTCTTTCTCATTGCCCCCTTTCTTTTTTGCTTTCCTCCTCTTTGGCTAAAAGAAAAGCAAGTTATAAAAGGTGGATCTTCAATCAAACCTGCTGATCCTTTTGTGCACCCGGTGAATTTTAGCGACTGATGAAGGTTTATTTGTTTTCTTTTTATTGTCAGCGACTTCCTAGGAGATCAAATGTATTCTTAAGTTTCAAAAATAAAACTTTTGTTCTCTCGTCCGCGGACCCCTTCACCTTTCTTTTATCATCTGTCATCTTCTAGGAAAATTTATTGAAATACAAAAAAAGAATGTAACCTTGCTCTCCTTTTTATCCTTCGTTTTCTTGTCATCTTTCTTATCCTCATTTTTCTCATCTTTCCTTTCATCCTTCTTTTCAATGTTTCCTTCCTAAACAACCTTCAATCATCTACAGAAATAAAAAACTAGCATCAACATCAAGAATTTCGGTAAAGACAGATACAAGCGGATTTTCGACGAGTTTCGGTCCATCATCTTTATTTGTTGAATCTGCATGTCTCAGCGTTGGAATGACCTGAAAAGGGTGTGAAAGCGTACGAATAAAAGTAACTGACCGCAACAATATCCTTTTCTTGTTCCTTGACCGGTTTGCTCTCTTCTTTATTCTTGCTCGATTCTTCTTTTTTCGTTTCTTGGTTATTTTCAGTGAGTGCGGGCGGTGCTGGTGTTGGAGCCGATTCTGGAGTCACCGGTACGACTCGTTTTTCTGAAAAAAATGCATAAAAGTTTATGCATTAGGCAACAACATTAGGTTTATTAATTTAAAAATATCTATTAAAAAAACAAAAATATACCTGTAGAAAAGATGGTTTTCCGTTGCTGCGAATTCGTGTTTATTGTATTCGTATTTGTCGTGGTCGCTCGGTTAGTATTCTGAATGTAGTTAAATTTGTAACAATCCTAAAACAAACAAACCTTTTGCTTGTTACACATAATAATTAGAAGGGCAAATGTGGTGTTGAAGAGAAATGAAAAATGGAAACAAATGGATGACCATAGAAGATCCATTGACTGAAGATGAAGTGAATGACGCGTATAAAATGAAACATTCCTGGAAAGTAGAAAATTATTGAAGCTCTTTAATTTCAAAGTGAAATAGTTGTACGCAAATTTGCAAAAGCACAAATTTACAGAGACAGAGAATTCTTCAAAACTATGGTAACTGGAATTTGTGTAAGCACTAGACTTACTAAGCTTACTAAGCACCGAATCTTTCTTTATCCACTTTTTATCTAACCCTTCCAATATAAAAAGTTTCGTTCAATCTCCAAATACTCAATCCTAATTTTTCCGCGGCAAAAGCAAAAGCTTTTGAAGAATAATGAGAAGTCAAAGAAAAAAAAAAGGAAATAAGAGAAAGTTGTGATGGAAAATGGGGGCGTCACGCTGAGTATTGAAAATATTATGGACTGGACTGAATGAGGAAAAGAGGAAAGGAAAAGGAAAGGTTAGGGGAAAGGTTTTTCGATTCATTTCCACCCTAGACACCTTTCATTTTAAAGTTAAAATTTAAACTTAAGTCGTTTGTTTGTGCGTATTTTTGATTATCGTAAACTGCGGAAGTTAATGGTTTTTAGATTTCAACGACCATCAAGCTTCTATCATAGCATTCAATACCGTTTTGCGGGTTCAGTAATAGAAAATTTTAATATTTTTCTATGGTGGATTCTTAGGTTTGACGAAAAACGTTTTTTTTTGCCTTTTTTATAGAACCTCAACGTTGGCAGTCAGGAGTTGCTTGGCGCGGCATTTTTAGCGGCTTATCATTTCCAGAAAACGTCAAAGATTGAGCATGTCTTTGCATGTTTTTGTTTTTCTTTCTTTTAAACATTATCAAACGAATCGGAAGGCAACGTGGCACTCAATTAGGCAAATTTTTGCTATTTTGGGAATCTTGGTTTCACATGGGCTTACGCTTATGCGTTTTACTTATCAAAATCTGACTCTGCGTACCAAACTTTTTCATTTTTCAGTTTCTTTTAAATGTGAATCTTTAACCTTTAGGTAAATGTAACCTAATAAAACTAAATTTAGCGCTGAAACGTTCATGATCATCAAAATTTTTGTTAAATCCTTCAAAAACAAGTGCCGCGCCAAACACCTTCTGACTGCCCAGGCAGAGAAACGTTTTTTCGTCAAACCTAAGAATCCAGCATAGAAAAATATTCCCATCTAACCATCATATTTAAATTTTTTATTAAAACAAAGCGTGAGATGATTGCACATCTGACAAGGGAAGAGTCCAAACCGAGCGGACGATTTCGCTACGCCGCTGAGATGCAAACGCTTGCAAAGTTTGAGCGTCTAATCGGGAAATAGGGACGCACGAATAAAGTTGAGTCGAATCAAGTCACCACTAAAGATCTATCTTTATATATGTTGTAGCCGTTTACGAAATTCAGCCGCTAACGAATGAGGGTATTTCCGGGCATCCCTCAAGGATGTCGGCTCTTTCCCGTCCCATCAAACGTGACCGGAGGGTGTGGAGGTAGATGTGCGCGCCCTTAATCTCATATTTTCTTTTTTGACCCTGGTTCGGATTTGAGTGTCACCTGTTCTTAAAAATTATTATTGGACATTCTAAAATAAATAAAGTGTTTTTAAAGGTTTAGCGAAAGAAAACATAAAAAAAATTTTACAACTCGATCCGAACCAGGGTCAAAAAAGCAAAAGTGAGGTTAAGAGCGCGCACATCTACCTCCACACTATCCCGTCACGTTTGATGGGACGTGAAAGAGCCCATATATCCCCGAGGTTTCCCGAGTAGACCCCCAAACTTTGCAAGCGTTTTTCTTGTGAACCATTGAGAATGAGCAAAAAATAAATAAAGCATCGTGCTCCCCAAGCTCGATAGGTGTTTGCATCTCAGCGGCGTAACGAAATCGTCCGGTCAGTTCGGACCATTCACTTGTGAGTGCTGCATTACACTTAAAACCAAGTCCGGATAATTATAGAACACCCTGTAGATTGGGTAATATACTCAACGTAGGTCTCACAACCCTGAAAATTATTTAGCCCGTTATTTAGCCTGCATTCAAGAGTTGTCAATCGAAATTTGACTAAAAACTCAATTCATTGACAGTTCTCGTTTCATTTGTTGGAAATCTCTTTGACACAAAAAGACAAAGAATTCCGAGAAAAGGGGGGCCCATTGCATTCCGGTTTTTAATGAATAAGATCAGGTTCGTTAGGTGGTTGGAAAGAGATCGAGAAAAGAAAAGGGTGTTTGTTTTTGGATAGTCCCTTCTGTTTGTGGGTGAGTGTGGGGTGGATGGATGGGTGGTGGGACCTTCCCTCTCCTTTCTCCCTTTCCCTTTCCCTTTCCCCGTCATTGTCTTTTCTTTCATTTATCTCCGTCAAACTCTTTCCCTTTCGAGTGCCATTGCCCATTTCTAAGCCCATCATTTGTTTTTTTTCTTTAGTTCACGTAACGAAACTTGATTCCGGAATTGTTCTTTTCTTTTGATGATTTTACGAAGTACAGGGTCCGCCAAAAGTTCCCGTACTTGTATTTTCTGCACTATTTCTGGTTTTCCCATACAAATTTCCATCAAAGGAAATAACTCTAACAGTGCCCTGTAACTGTGCCCTGTAACTGTGCCCTGTAACTGTGCCCTGTAACTGTGCCCTGTAACTGTACCCTGTAACTGTGCCCTGTAACTGTGCCCTGTAACTGTGCCCTGTAACTGTGCCCTGTAACTGTGCCCTGTAACTGTGCCCTGTAACTGTGCCCTGTAACTGTGCCCTGTAACTGTGCCCTGTAACTGTGCCCTGTAACTGTGCCCTGTAACTGTGCCCTGTAACTGTGCCCTGTAACTGTGCGACCAAAGCGTCCCTGAGCGGACCCTCTTCTCAATCACTTCTCTTAAATAGTGTTGCACTTATAAATTAACCAGAAACGTTTTCTAAATCAGTTTTTCGCGAGGAATTCGAATTTCTTACTTTTAAAATCGTATCTTTTATCTAAAATTACCAAAAATGCAGAAAATACAAGTACGGGAACTTTTGGCGCACCCTGTAGATACAAAGTAAATCCAAAGATCTTCCTATCAGTCTAATACTCAACTCAACCTTGAGATTATCTTGATTACTAGCTTGAGAACAACTAACATCTACATTTAATTAACAACATTACTAGTTTGAGAACAATTAACAAACTCAAAGTCTGTATCAAAACATTGCAAACCAATAGTACCATCAAAGATGTTTCAAACTGGAATTTTCTAAACTAGGTCAACTTTAAGTCAAGCTAAGCTAGCCCAGATCGAATTCTAGACTCGATCCAGGCCAACACTAATTAATTAAATGATACCAGAGAGTTCGCACGAATAAAGTTGAGTCGAATCAAGTCCCCACTAAAGATCTATCTTTATATACATCCAAACTTATCTTTTCTTTATTCAAACATCTGTATATCTTCACTTCTGCAAATTGGTTCAATTTCCCGATTCTTCAAAGCTTTTCCAAAGAGTTTCTTTCTCTTTTTTCTTTTCCTCCACACTTCACAAAACATCAATTTCTCTTTTTGTGAGTCAAAGCTTGACCCGCCAATCACATCGATTGTTTTCTGAGGGAAGACGAGCTTTCTTTTCGTTCTTCAACTGGTTATTATATTTCTTTTCTCATTCAATTGTTGATGAAAATAAAGAAAAGAGAAAAAGAAAGGCCATCTGCCATTTTTCCTTTTCTTTCTTTCCTTTTCATTCAAAGATTCTCAATCAATTGCTTTTCTTTTCTTCAAGATGATTTATCTCAGTTTTGTCAGCTGTTCGAGATTTCAAATCTTTTTATTTTTAATAAAAGTTGAATAAGTCTGTAACAATTAACTTTTATCGTTTATGTCAATTGACTGAAAGAGTTCATTACCTGTAAAGCTATTATTAAAGCTATACCTGTAAAGCTATTGTATCATGACTTATGAGAAAGACTGAAGGCTATTGTAGCGGATTAGGTACATCCTGGATTCTGATCTATTTCTGATTTATTACAGGCTGGAACTTGTAAGAATGTAAGAACAGTAGGTGTTAAAGCTGTTCATTTGTCTGTCTGATTGTCAATAGGTGTCTAAGGGAAAAACGAGATTTGATCACTTCAATGGCTACTTTTTCAGAATTTCTTGTCAAAAAAAGGTAGAATTTTTCAAGCTGTCTTTTGATTTGAAAAATCGTTGAAAAGGTTGCTGTTGAAGTGATTAAATCTCATTTTTCCGTTGTACACCTATTGACAATCGGACGGAAAATGAACAGGTCTAGTAGGCATGATGCTTGCTAGCATTAATTGTCCTTCGGTGATGCTCTAAAGTTGTTAGATACAGTAGTAGGGTTATGGTTTTCTTAACAAGTTTCAAAGCTGCAAAACCGAAAATGTTTCGGAGAGCAGAATTCTGGAAGAAATTGTGTGTATGGAAAGGGGGAGTGAAGTTATATAACGAGACCCGAGAGAATTCGTTTTCGATGTGTCGTTTGGGGAAAAAGAGTAAAATGAAAGAAGAAGAAGCAAAGAAAAGAGTCCCCCCCCCATTTCCTCTATTTCACGCGTTTCTCGTTTCTCCTCTTTATCCCAATCGAATATTATTGGGTGTGTGTTTGGTGGTTGTTGTCTGATGAATTGAAATCTCTCTCTTTTCTCTCTTCTCTCTTCAACAGCAAACATTTCATCTATTCTTTCATCGTCCAAAAGACCCATTTTAGACGACCAAATTTTACCTAATATTGGACTAAATCTGAATAATTCAATGATTTTATGATATGCTATCTGATCAGATCAACCAAGAACCGATAATCGTGTCCATTGCGAAGTGTCCCTTCACTTACCATTGCTTCATCTTTTCTTGTCTTTTTTTTTCATTCCAAAATCTTTCCCGCATAATTCGACAGCTGTTACTCGTCAATTTCTTTTCTTTCTTTCTTTTCTTTCTTTCTTTTCTTTCTTTCTTTCCTTTCTTTCTTTCTTTTCTTTCTTTCTTTCTTTCCCCCATTCATTGTTTTTCTTCTCTTTTTTTCCTTTTCACACATTTTCCCATTCTTTTCTCTTCATCCAATTTCCCCATTCATTTGTTGTCTTCTTACTTTTCAATTATATTATTTTGATCCGAAAATAATTTGTTTCCAGAACTGATTCTCTTTTCGTGTTTCAACCATTCTATTACACTTCGAAAAGTGCTATATGGCTGAAATTTAATTTCACAAGCTACTCGATGAGATTATCAATATCAAATCGATATCGATAAGTATCAAAATTTCTTTTGCCAGTGTTTCCTAAATACCATAATCTTATATAACTATAAAATAACAAACCATACAGTAATTATGAAACTAGAGACGCTTCTGTGTGCTCTTTAAAATCACTTTAAAAAGCGGTTACACTTTTTTTAAAATTGTCCAGACTGAGAAATTTTCCCAACAAGTTTTCTTAAATACAAGATTTCGGTCACTTTTTAGCAAAAGTTAGGTTACGGTATAAAGGGCAAAAATACGAAAGATACCAATTGCCGTAGTTCCAACTACCGTAAATACTGTAATAATACCCCACCCCCTCGTACAGTCGCGTAGTCGCAAAAGTTTTTTAGTATTTTTAGTATTTCATTTTTTCAAAGCGCCCGTACTTTCAAAAAATGCGTCTTTGGTATCAAAAAATAGCCCTGAAATTCAGGGCTATTTTTTGATACCTAAGCGGGCATTGTAGCATAAACCAGTGTCGAGAAAAACTCGTTCAAAGCTAGACTACGCAACACTCCGCACCGTCATTATGGAGGTGGGGTACTATTACAGTATTTACGGTATGATTTTTTGCTATTCTTACAAGTTCCATCCTTTAATCAATCAGAAATGAAATACAATAATCCAGAATGTTATTGTACTTTGTTAGCAAATGTACTTTGTTAGCAATTTGAATCTACAGCATCTAGCACTAATGCTAGATCGATGGGGTTGCGTGGATAAATTTGATGTTAAATCCAAAGACCTATTACTAATGGATCCGTTAATCCACGTACTAGTTCTCTAACAAATAGCAGAAGATTAACTCTAGAATGTGATTGAATTAAAGTATTCAAATCGGCCTCAGCTTATGTATCATTATGTATCAATGACTTTCCTTTATCCCTCTTATGTACACCCTTTTTCAAATCTAAAAATAGATGATCTTTTCCTTTTCAAATAGTGATTTCTCCCCGTCTACGGAGAAGATTTTCCCTTCTCGTTTCCACCAAAAACAAACATTTCCCCTCTCACCCTTTTCTTTTTTTTTTTCAAAACGACGTTTGTCCAAAACTTCTTCCTTTTTTCTCCTTTTCCCCCCATCATCTCCAAATTTCGTTGTGTATTGATATGTTATATATTATTTTTAAAAGTTAATTCATAAATGATTCTTTAGACTACTATACTTAAGCATTACGATATGAAAATAATAAATTTTCTATGTGCCAATGCCTAAGCCAAAATTGATCGGTTATAACCCTAAAGTTACTCTACTTTAGCCAATTCTATTAACACTACTCTATTATTGTTAACTCTAAATCTAAGAATTGACTTTAACAAACATTTCGAGCTTTAGGATCAAGTAGATTTTTTAGACTGATAAAATGAATTCAGAAGAAAAAGAAAAATAGAAGCAGATAAAATTTTCTTTATAAAGTCGAACCTCGTTAGTGAACACCTCGATAGTGAACTAACCTCGATAGTAACCAGTTTTTAGTAACCAGTTTTTTTTAGAAACCCTCTGAATTGATTTAATACTAATCAAACCTCGACAGTGAACGGTATATAACTCAGAATCCCTTCCATAGTTCGAGGTTCGACTTTATATTTACCCCAAAATCAAGCCAGTCTTTATCAAATGGTCTTTTTGAAAAAAATCCCCCTTTTGGGATTCTTTTAAAATTGAATCTAGCTTCAAGACTCACTCCAATCCTGCAATTAGTCTCAATCAAATGATCTCTCGTTCATCTAAACTTTTATCCTTTTCTCCCTTACATTAATCCTTTCAATAAAATCTCGTGAATGAGGGATGATTTGCTTGTTGTCTGTCGCTTTCTTTCTCTCTTTCTTTGTGTATGGTTGAAAGAATCTCTTCTTCTTTATAGCACATCTGTCAGTAATTATGCAAACTGAGTCCCGAGCTCTTCATTCGATAAAGACCGGTTTGATTTTGAGGTAAACATAAAGAAAAATTTCTAGCTGTTTCCAAAGAAATTTATTTTATCAGTATTTTTTCAATTGTCCAGGTAATTCTGGTAATTATTAATTAATCTTCTGTAATTAATCTTCTGCTTTTACAGTTACAGAAAATAGAATTCTGCAAGTTGACATGCTATCGTGATATCTGATATTCAAATTATTTCCTAACATTGATTGAACTCATATAAAGTCATTCGTGCGTATCTAATGCTCATCTTTCGTTTGTCTCTCCATCCCATTCTTGTCCCATTCCCTCTTCTCTTCATTTTCTCCTATCAGATTATACTTCCATCCACAACAACAATCATTGGATGGAAACATTTGTATTATTCAAAAAGAAAGTCTTTATCAATTGCTCGTGTATTTATCGGATCGAATCTTATCAAGATGATTCTCTTAATGGTAAATAGCAGAGTCCATTTTTTTTCTACACAATTCGTTGAAACGATTGAATATTATATTTTCCTTTCCACCAAAGATGCTCTAGAAAAAGCTATCCGGTTGTATTTGCTAAAAGCAATCCTGTAAACTTCGCATTTTGTCGCAATCGCATTTTAAAGTCCTTATTGAAATTTAAAATGAGAATGCTGACTCAAGCAGTCTCACCCATTTGCTGAGTAACTTTTTCTAAGCGCAAGTCTTACGATTAGAAAACACTTAAATCAAGAAGAAAGCAGTCTAATTTTGTCCGGACTCCGGCTAACACCAATTTCCTCACGTTTCGTATAAATTTGAAATTTTCTTTTCTCTCCCCCATTTCCTCAGTCATTTTCAGTTGCGCGGGCGACTTATCGTCACAGCGGATCATTGCGTCTCTTTTTCAAGTATAGAAAAAAAAGAAGAGTTCATCTTTTATCCCAACCGCAAATCGCCGTGTTTCATCTTTTTGGGCCAAATTCAAATGAGTCCGTCTGAAGTGGTTCAACTTTCTTTTAGCTAAAGTTTAGTGCAAAATAGAAAATGACAACGGAGTAAAAAAAATCGGAAAAGCTGTGACAAATTACATTGCACTAAATTTTTCTGAGTAAACAGTCTACTTAAAGGTCGTTATTATTCAAAACTATCATTTTTTTTTTCATTTCTAGCGGTCTACATTTCGTTACATTTTTAACAAGAACCATATCATTAACTTGTTTAAAGCTGACCCTTTGGAACACCAGGCTTTCAACGGAAATCTTTTTAATGTAAATAATTAATGATTAATCTTTATTTGTTCTGTCTTTACAATTTGCTTTACAATAACCTATTTTCCTCTCTACAGGCGTCTTCTTTTTTTTTTCAAATTGCTTATAACTTAAAATACAGATCTGTAATATTTATTTCCTTTTCAGATGAGGGAGTTCAAAGTGGTCGTGTTGGGATCGGGTGGTGTGGGCAAATCAGCGGTAATATTTAACATTCTTTTATCCATTTACCTTTTTATTTAGCTCACCGTTCAATTTGTGTCCGGCTCATTCATCGAAAAATACGACCCAACCATTGAAGATTTCTATCGAAAGGAAATTGAGGTAATTTTTACATGCAAACCGCCTCAATTTATTTGTGTAGGTTGATGGTCAACCATGCGTTCTCGAAATCTTGGATACAGCGGGTACGGAGCAATTCGCGTCGATGAGAGATTTATATATTAAAAATGGACAGGTTAGTTTTTTAGTGCGCTTCTCAAATATGACATAATGCAGTTATGATTGATCCTGTTTAGGGTTTTGTCGTAGTCTACTCAATAACAAGTCAACAAACTTTTCACGATATCAAAACGATGAGGGAGCAAATTATCCGAGTTAAAGTAGGTGACTGTTTATCTTTTTTGGATATATTCTCTTTAGGGAACCGAACAAGTACCCATTCTTTTGGTTGGCAATAAATGCGATTTAGCTCATCAAAGACAGGTAAAATTTTAGGCTTTTAAAAAATTTTATTATTTCTAGGTTCGAACAGAAGAGGGTTTGGCTTTGGCCGAATATTGGTCATGTCCTTTCACCGAATGTTCAGCAAAAAATGCACATAATGTACGTTTGTTTGACTTATGAACAACCATCAAACTAGAACTAAACCTTTAAAAAAACAATATTTACAGGTAAACGTCACATTTGCTGAAATTGTCCGCGAGATGAACTATGTACAAAACAGAGCCCGACAACGTAAAGGATGTTGCAGTATACTTTAAGGTTTGAAAGTTTAATTGAACATCTTAATTGACAAATCTATTAGAGTTCATTCGTTCTATTCACCCTATGGCGGCCTCCATCTAATTGAGCTGCTTCGAGAACATTCCTTTTTTCTCGCTTCTCTTCCTTTGCTCTCTTTGACTTCCAATTTCTACACATCAACACAGGTTTACTTTTTGTCTAAATTTTTTTTTGCTTATAAATATTGTCTTTTGCTTTTTAATCTCCAACCAAGTCCCAGCTATCCCGTTGAAAAAAATATTTTTCAGTTTTACCTCTTTGTGTTTTCCTTTCACTCTGCTTAAATTGAAATTACAAAGTCAGCTCAAATTTCCCTCCTATAAAAGACTAGAGTGTGCTATCTCCGAAATTTCTGATGTGTAGTAAATCAGTGCCTAGAATATTTTTTGTTATTTTTGTGCTACAAGTTTTTTTTCGCTCTCGTTGCTTGTTAGACTTTTTCACATTTCATTTTGTTCATATGATTTGTTAATTCGGGTCCATATGATGTGTAGCCCATAAGAAAAAATAAAGTCAATAAAAAATTGATGCAAGATGTATTGACTTTATTTGATCATTTACCCCAATAATAAGAATTTCACTTGTGAATTATCTGTGTGCTCCTTGCACGTCAATAAACTTTTGAAGTTTTCTTTACAAGTGCACATTTTGTTTGTAAACTCCTGCTATTCAAAAAACCCAAAACGGTAAAATAAGTCTTTTTTTGTTTAGAATTTTTCTTTTAACAATGACGGGTGTTCAAGAGGTTGGTTAAGATTTTGACTTTGATAGAGACGCTAGATGAGAATAGAATATTTTATAACATTTTTATGCTTTAAATATTTTTTAATTTTTAAGCTTGAAGCCGATTTGGTGGAAACAGTGTTTCTTCTGAAGCAAGCAACGCGACAAAACACAAAAGTTCTGCTTGAAAAAGAAGAACGGCGCCTGAAGCAACTGATTGCTGAAGTATGTATATTTGCGGCTAACGTAAGGTGTAGTTAAAGTCCTAATTTAGACTCAAGATTTCCTTTCAACTTTTTACTTTAGTCGACTCCCAAGGCAACTTCATCCGCAAAGGAACTTTCATCTACCGCTACTAGCGGGGCACTACTACCCACATCGAAAATCACGAATTATGGTATGCAGCTTGTCCTTTTTCGGCAGTATCCCTTTTTATAGCTTGGGATCAAAGTCCGAAGTTTGTGAAGATTTACATCACTCTTGATGGAATTCACACTGCGCCTGCAGATTTGATCAAAAGCAATTTTACTGAAAGGTTGTTTGCTATTTAACATTGAATTTTGTGTTGTTCTAGAGGATTTTCCATTCACATCAGCAACTTTAAAGGAAAGAATCATGCCGTCGAGATGATCGACCTCCAATATCCAATAGTGACCAAGGATTCCTACGTGAAAGTAGGAGGTTACTTTCTTCTGTAAACTTTGTGATAATTTAGCAAAAAACGGATATGTTGCTGGTGATGTTGCGCAAAGAAAGCGAGGAAAAGCATTGGGATGAAATCACTCGTTTAGATGCTGAGCTCAAAAAGAAAAAGTTACCTACATTTATGCGAACTTATATTTATTTATTTAATTTTAGTGCTCCCAAGTTCGACACGCCTGGCTCGGCAAGTGACCCAAATGAATCACTTATGTCGATGATGAAAGAACTTTATGACAATGGGGATGATGAAATGAAAAGGTTCATTATTAATATCCGATTTACTATAATAACAGTATATAATATACTATAAAATCTGAAGCATTTATTTCCACTTGCTCCCATACCACACATTTTAGAACCCTTCGCAAAGCTTGGCACGAGGGCCAACAAAAGAAACACACAGATGGTCTAGCCGATTCATAGTTTGCTTTCATTCTTTGTTATCTTTTATTACTTTTAAAATACCGGTGATGTGATAAAAGTTTCAGCGTTTTTGCCAATGTAAAATTATTGGTTGCTTGAAAAAGTATACAAGTTTACTCTACCCAGTTATACACAATCAAATTTCCAGAAGATATCATTAAAGAATGTTTCATGAAAAAAACAGAATTAGTAGAAGATTTAACGTTTCGTATTCGTTAATCTGCAAAATGTTTCGAGTTCGAAATCAAGGTAGTCGAGGCGAGTTCTATTTGTTGGTGAGACGAGAGTTCTTGAACGCGATGAGTAGATCGTGCATCAATCAGAAGCCCAGTAGAGGCGTGTCACAATATTCGATTGGGAATTATATAGTTATAAGCCTAAATAGATGAATGGTAAACAAAAAGTACAAAGGAACGTTTTCACATACCTGTGGCAATTGATCCGTCAAGCCGAGGTTGTAGTCGACACGCCCTTGACTGCTGATCGGCTAAAGAAAAAGTTTGGAAAATAAAAAAGAAAGTTAATTCACCTGCATCATATTTTGTTCTTCAACCTTTTCTGCCGATTGCATAGCTTTGACCTGTTGAATTTCCTCCAGAGAGACGGGTTGAGCTAAACAAATCTTGTTAATATATAACCACCAATTCACAATGTATTACTCACGCTTCTCCTTTTCCTTTTCTTTGTTGTTGAGAATAGGTCGAAGACAGCTGCTCTTCTCCCAATCCCATTTATCCGTGAATTAAACCAGGACCAATTAAAATTAGAATTTTTTTAATTAACATACTTTGAAGGATCCTCCGACCATCACCTCGCTCAGCAAATCGGCGAGTTTCTTGTAGTTCGGTCGGGTGTAGTAGTTGAGCTCACTAAATTTGTAATGAATGAATTCAAGTCAAAAACAAACCGAAGGTGTTCGGCGAAATCAAGGAGTTGAAAGGGGCTATTGTAGAGCAATATCTTATCGGCTATTGAAAAGCATCCCCCCTCCCATTTTCCAAAAAAGAATTGAATAAAATGAAGAAATTTCCTTTTATTCGCCTGTTATTCAGAGACCATTAAAAATAGGAAAAATATCACAATCTAAGAACAAAATTGTATAAAACTCAAGAAAAACCCTCAAAATTGGATCATTTCCGATTGCGGTTGAACGTAGAAGGCGTAAAACCCGGTCCATAGACTAGAATTGTACCGATTGGGTATACATCGAAGTATGTAGACACAATCCCTGCTTGAGTCAATGTTTTGTCGAAAAAATAGAGCGTCCGTGAAATCAAGCTTCCCCCCCACTGCGACACCCGAATATTTATACAAGTGTTCGGTCGCCATTTTGATGACTTCTGGCTCATTTGCTCCGTCGAATCGCTCCATTCCAGGGAATTGTGAAAGAAAATCGAGGATTCGGGGAATCATCTCCAGGGATTCAACAGAATGACAATAAACACGAACAGCCGCCTTCAAATTCTTGCTCAGCATTCTCTTTTTAACGATTATATGCACGGCCTCTTCAAGATGATCCTCTTTCATTTGTGTGATGTGCAAGAATTTGATCGAGGTCTTGATAAAAGCATCGAAGTAGAATTGCAATCCGGAGTTAAATTCTGAGTCCAACAAAGAAAACTCATCACATACAAGGTTCACTTCTTCACAGTCATTCATCTGAATTGTAATGAAATTCTCAAAAAGCTCCCTGATCACTTGATTTTCTTCGAACAAAGCGTGAATATCATGCACCTCCAATTTAACCTCTTCTTCAATCTTCGAGTGGAAATTCTCAATTAATTTCAGCAAAGACTTTCTTCCGTACACCTCGAGATTCAAATATTTCACAGATTTCAATTGATTCAGAATGATCGCGTGTCCGTCGGTAAAGTTGAACTTGCTCTTGTCGACATTGTCGTCTTCGTCTTCGTCGTCGTCTTCGTCTTCGTCGTCGTCTTCGTCGTCGTCGTCGTCGTCTTCGTTTTCGTCTTCGTCGTCGACTTCGTCTTCTTTGTCCTCTATCAACATCGACAATTCGACACACGAGTGGATTCGTTCAATCAATGGAAAGTGGAGATCGGCATCTAATCCATTGAATGAGGAATAGAGGGGAAATTTCCCAATACGAATCTCTTGATACATAGAAATCTCGTACACGTGATTCCCAAAAACTATCCAAGGTTTCCACAACAGTATCGATCGAAATCCTACATTCACTTTGACCAATTCAATCGCATCCCTCGGCTTCATTTGCTCGAAGACCTCTAGCTTTAGGTCGTAGCATAGCTTCTCCATTGGGAATGATCTGAGCTTTCGCATTTCGAACCGCATTTTGCTTGGCGTCGTTCTACCTTTAAATAAAAAAACAATTAAATTTCGCACAAACAACTAGATAATGGGATTAAAAGTCGCTAGAGGAAATTCTCAATAATCGCCAGATAACTTTGCTCATCAACCGTTATAAGAATGGTCATGAAAAATTTCAAAGCGTAGTAAATATTTATTGCATATCCCAGTCTTTATTAATCTCGCGTACAATGTCCATCAAAAGGTTTTGCTTTTTCTGGTTCAGAGGCTCTGCGATTGGTGCGTCCTTGTCGTATTGAATTTCTTGCGGCTCGAATGGGGATTCTTCGTCGTTACCTAATAATACGAATTATTTTCACTAGGTACAGAATTGTTTTCTTCCAAGTAAATTGAAAAGGGACTTGCCAAAGGTAATTTGATGGTCCGCTAGCTTCCAGGGTTTAATTTTCTTTGGCTCATTGGGGTGCCCCTTTGGATCCTTTGGACCCTTGAGAAGCTTGATCGCGTCTCGAGCTAATTCATCTGCCTAAAATTAAGAAAATCAATCAAAGTAAATTGGAGAAGAACTATATAAATCATTTTGTAAATTACATATTCAAAAGCATTACCTTATTGTTTCCACAATCCCCAACGTGACTTTGTACCCATTGCAGAGTGACGTCTCCTTTCGGAAAACAACTCAAGAGAAGCTGTAGATTTTGCAAACTGAACGCAAAATGTAGAGAAATACAAATGCAACACCAAACTTTTTGGTATCATTTCCTTTCAAGTCATACTTCTTCAGCGTTCTCTGCTTCTTCTGCGAGTTCTCGAGATTCCACAACGCATCCATCACATTCAAGCAGTTCGTCCTAACAATTACCCGCCGGCCCCTAGATCATCAAAAATTTTTTACACACAAAATTGCGGGTACTTATTATTATACAAATGAATAAAGCTTACTTATATCCGCCCCAAAAATAAAGTCGATGAAGGCCGACATTGATCGCCAGCAATTCACCAGTAAAGGCAGAGCCCCTTGTACCGATGTTCAGACCCCCAAATCCCAAAAATTATTATTTTTAGAAATCATCCGAAGCATTTTCCTAATTTTAATATTCGGTACTATAATTATAGCATGATTGAGCCCTTACAAATTGAGTGGATGGCCATCGCCGAAAAAAAAAATTAAAGACTATGCGTCTTACATTGCCAATGAATAAATGTTAGTGGAACAAATTGAAGCAAATAGTCGATTCGAAGGGATGAATTCGTTGAAAATGAAAACCGTAAGTCAACGTAGAGTAGCAAAAACAACGTCAAACTTCATACCTGCTTTCGAACGTAGTTAATCAACTGCATACGCTCATAAGTCTCCAATTTGTTGTCCTTGATCAACTTAAGAAGATCAAATCCATGCTTTTCCTAAACTCGTTTAATAGCGATGTGTTAATATGACTTGAGTTTACCTGTATGTGCTCAATAAGAAGATCGCCACGTTCAGTCGATTCATCACAAAGCAAACATACAACACGAGTCTCATCAAGGTCCACATTGTCTTCTTGCCATTCACACCATGATTCTCTAAAATTGCACAGATATTTGTATACAGACAATCAAAAACCAACGCTTCAAGTTCTTCATCGCTCTCCTGGAAAGCTGTTGTTGTATCCTCGAAATCCTCTCCCAACACATCCAACCAGCGTTTTCCGAGCTCGAGATAGTTGATGATGTAGAACTTGTCGTAGTAGTGATTCGCTCGATTCACCTAAACGAAAAGCTATTATGGTTATATACATACTAAGCTTTACCTCTCTATGATTCCTCTTACGTATATGGTTCATCAAAGCGTTCCTAGCTGCAATGGTTTTCTCGCAACGAATGCATTCCTGCCGCTCAACCCTTTTTCTGAGATGCTCAATGTACTCATTAACAAATACCTAAATTACATACAAATACATTCATACGTCCATACAAATTTCAAAAGAAAAATATGTACCAGGTTCTCATGTGAGCCAAGGTTGAGATGATGCATGATTTAGCTGCAATTTCCTTTTGCAGTGTGATGACAGCACATACATCTTTGCGTGAAATTTGTGTCTCATGCTCACTCATGTTTAAAAAGATAGCTTATTCAGCTAACTCCTCGAAGTCCCCTATTTGATACGGTAGCTCAAAGAATTGAAGGCAATAAAGGGACATGGTAGGTCCACCCCATTTGGGTGAGTAACCAATCACTGGCACCTAAAGATCCAAAGTCGAATCAAACAAATAAAAGAAAGTTACCGTTCCGGAAAGAGTTCGAATACGGCCACGTGGGATGAACAAATTGGGCTTCTCAGGGCGATGACGCACCGTTTCATCATCGGTGTCAGAGAATGGCTTCTCGAGATCGTCATCTAGTTTAATGTAATACTCGATAATTACTTAATTACTTACATCCCTCACTGCAATAATATCCATCACCGTTGCTATTTTGAGACACTGTATGTGTTGATGCCTTTGATTGCCTTGGTTGGTTACCAGCAACTTCATTTTCACCAGCTTTGTTCGCTAAAAACCGACTATAACGTTTTAGGTATAAAAATACCATTAACGTTCGAGTTCGACGTTTTTCGCCTTCAGAATGTTTGCTTTGATGAGTCTGAGAAACTGATTGGGCATAGCGGCCATTCTTATCCTAAATGAAACAAACATTAACTAGTCGATTTTTACAATCGACCCTCCCTAATGTTTCCAGTTCGGGGGGAACATTTTGACTCGACCTAGCCAGAACCTATTTTACGCGTTTTTTCTAGTCTGGTTTGCATTTTCTGGGGTATTCAAATACGCTTAATCTATTGGTGATATTTTAAGAGGTTTTGAGTAGTTTTCACTTTGTATTTCACCTCTTGCCTCATTTTCTAGCGTTGCCGCACTGCAACAGTTATACTTCAGCTAGCACAACAAAACATTAACAAAGATTGGTCAAAACTTTCTAAAAATATCACCAATAGATCCAGCATTGATTACCCCAGAAAAAAATGAAATAATATTGGTAAAACGATCGAAAATACGATCTGACCAAATCAGATCAAAGTGCCCCTCGCCCCAAACTTTATTAGTACCGAGACTTGTTCTTATAGAGGTGCTACTGCTTTTTAAAATACCTGTTGATCCTTGTCGACTTGCTTTCTGCCGCCACCTTTTCCAGGCGCAGTTTCTGCAGCTCCCGATGTACGAGGTTGTTGTCGACTCTTGTTGTCTGATGTTGCGTCTTTGTGGCTCATCGTCTGAGGAACTTCAGTAGCGGCTGGTCCGTTCTTTTTTCCTCCTGGATCGAGGTGATCTTCAAATTTTCAGCCACCTAAAAAAAATTGTATAGAGCAAATGAAAACTTCTCACAATCTTGGCATCATTAAGGCTTGGATCTGCCATTTGAATAGCTTATCGTCAACGACGCAAGCAACCCGTTGAGTCCTTTGAGGGAACTAAAATTACAATCCGTTAGTAGATACGATCATGAAAAGAAAAGCATTGAAAGAAGCTTTTGAAAGTGATATTTGTCAAAACTTCATTGTATGTAATAAGTCCGAGAGTAAAAGATACGGTAGCCGAGCGGTAAGCTGTAATGCGTACCAAGTTTTGTTTTAGAATACCAAATTAGTATTTGCTTCTTTTGCTGTACTTTGATTTATTAGCTGTAAACGGTAAGTAACTGTTGACCACTTTATATTATTATTGCGCTTAATATATAGCTGCCTAATATATATTTTGCTTGTAAAACGATTTCACATTCGAAATATTTATCTTTATTTTTTTAATCAGGAGAAGACAGACAGATTCCAGCAAATTCCCCATCATATGTGACGCATTTATAGAAGATGTTTATGTGTCGACATTGTTTATTGGAAAAACAGGCTTCCATTGGCTAAATAATTACCATTTATCAAACCGATTGTTAATTAAAGCTGTACAGTAACCATCATTTTTTTCCTTTTTACTTACCGCGGATTTTCCCATACACACTTTATCATCATTGGGTCCTTTTTGGATACAAAATGGAAGAGCCTTTGAGCAATCACTATCACTCGAACACACTTTGAACGTTTGAACCTTGGAATTTCTTAAGAAACCACAACTTTTAACTAATCAAACCTGCACAAAACCAATACATAAAAACAAAAGAATAAGCATTTGTGTGAAAGATTTGACTGTTTCATATCTTTATTGATATCTTTATTTAGATATCTTTATTCAACGTGAAAGGAATTAATGAGAATGTCTATTTTTGGCAATAATATTGTTCAAGATATTTATTGAAATCAAAATGGAAACTCTTGTTTTATGATACAATCCGGTCGGAGTTTCGGCTGAATCGCGAAAAGAAATGACGTGATATTTTGACATGAGAAACCCTAAAATATTTGATTTTTGAAAAAGGAACTTGTTTTCAGAATAAAGATACTAAAGTTCGACTCAAGATTGCTCCAAAAAGTCTCTTTTGTAGCTTATGGCTTTTCCAAGATTTGAAATTTTGAGTTTAGACAGTTCAAATCTCTTGTCAAATGCTTTTTACAGTATGCTGGAATGAAATTCGGCCTTGTTTGCTGAATTTGCTGAACTTTTATCCCGAATTACTATAATGAAACCTTACATCTTTAATCTTATGTAACAATAAGTTTTGATGTAAATCTTGGGAACAACTACTGCACTGTGTGATCACTAGTCGTTAATGTAAACACGCACTTTCTGGCCCATTACCTTATACGTCATTTCTCCACAATCGATTACAACATTATAATATGTGTAAGGATCGGAATCCGAATGGAAATTTCTAAAATTTTTGAAACTCATTAGACAAAGCCAAAAAAATATTTTCTTCATTCTTCCTTTACCTAAAAGTATCACACGCCCACCAACATGGACTACAAGACATTCCCCATCCTTTCACTTTAAACAATTGCTTTTTTAAATTCTAAATAAAATCATTTTTTTTTTGGTTCAAAATCTTTTTCTCACCTGTTCTTCATAGAAAAGTGCATTGATTTTCTCGTATCGGATCCTTTTATCGGAAGCAGTCGGGAAATAGAACCAGGTAATAATGAGTTGATCAGGTTGAATATTAAAATAATTCATTTTTATGCTTTTATTTTATGACTTACCTTTACAAATTCATCTTTGTATTCAGTGAAATCCATGTTTTAAGGAAAAAACGTTAAAGATTGAGAAGATTGAAAAGAACACAAATAAACGATTGGGGGAAAGAGTGAAAGAGTGAAAGATTAAGCAATGAAAGCACGTGATGAAAGAAAAGAGAAAAGAAATGTGGGGCATAGCAAAACAGTACAGTCTTGTTTGATAATTAATGTTTTTTAAAGGGTGCACTTAGCAAAAAAACACAGTAATCCATTTGAAAAGGATTTTAGATGGGGTAGGCTAGTTTCCGCAACAGGGTCATTTGCGCAACTGGCTCGTTTGCGCAACTTGCCATAACTTTCTTCTATGTGGACCAATCTTTATGATTTTGGTTTCATTTTGTAGATCTCAATAAGTGCAACAAAACCAAACCAAAATCATAAAGATTGGTCCACATAGAAGAAAGTTATGGCAAGCTGCGCAAATGACCCTGTTGCGCGAAAAAAGTTGCGGAAACTAGCCTACCCCTTTTAGATAGGTCTCATTGTAGATTACTTGTTTTTCCATGCAAGAGATCAGCTCACGGTAACTTTTTCCTCTCACTACAAGGATCTAGTACAAAATCTCATGAAGTTTATATTGACAGTTATCTCTTTGTTATTGAATTGGTATTACTGTAACACGTTTTTTTAAACATTTATATTGAAATGAATGAAAAAAAATACAACTTTCAACATGAACACATCTCCTATTTTTATCACAGATAAAGGCTTTCATTTTATGTCGTTTTTTGACAATGAAAAATCATACCCGTTAGTCAAAATACCAAAACGAAAATTGGTCAAATATTAAAGAGAAAAATGACAAGATTTGTGTGATACTCGTTCAATATTTTGATCGGAAAGGAGAAAAATTGAATTCACTTCATCAAAAATCTTTTGAAACATCAAAAAATGCTATGCTATCAAAAATACATTCCAAAATGAAATGCATCTAGATGGATAATCTATCTAGATATCGTTTGTGTTAGGCATCGTATACTCTGTGTCAATCGGGAGTGGATGAGCTTCGGTATTGAAAACCCTGAAAAGAAATTTTCTTGACTGATAGTACTAGACATGGGCACTATAAATTACGAAAATGACGAACTGTCACACTATAAATGCTTCTAACTTACTTCAAAACTGCCGGATTGACATGATCTATAGCTCAAAAAATAGAGAATCTCAAGAGCTTTCAAATGGACTAAAGCATACTCGAAAATATCAATCCTAAAGAAAGTTAGAGTGGTTTGTAGTCCGCCCGTATTCGCGCGTAGTCGAAGCGATTGAATCAGGACTATAAACCACTCTAACTTTCTTTAGGATTGATATTTTTGGGTTTGCTTTAGTCCATTTGAAAGCTCGAGATTCTCTATTTTTTTGAGCTATAAATCATAGCAATCCAACAGCTTTGAAGCAAGTTAGAAGCGTTTGTAGTTTCGTTTGTAGTTTGTAGTGCTGATGTCTAATTGGTACTATACTAAATACCATAATGTATTCATTAATAAATACTTTTATAGTTACTGTACTAGGTGTTGCACTCGAATGAGTACTGTACTCGCAATTCGATTGTTTTCCTTTTTGAGTAATTCATTTTTGAGCAATTCATTTTATAAAAGGTAACACTTTTCAAAAACTACCATAACCTCGACATCATTGAACTCACCATTTGCTCAAATCCATCACTTCATTATCGGTGAATGTCAAATATGCGTATTTGAGTGTCTCGGCGAGGAAAAATGACTGTTGCACGTCATCGGAACCCTTAAACCTTTGATTAAGCAAAGAAACAAAACAATTTCCAATTTCATATTGTCTTTTTTTCAATCACTAACCCTTTCCGGTTTGTAAACATTCTGTAATCCGGCGTATCCTCCTTCTTTTTTACACCATTTCTCAATCGCTTCAACTGCATCCCAAACCCAATCACGATATTTCTAAAATCGATCTCATTTTTACATGGTTTTATTTTTTATTCTCATTTTCCATTTTTATTGGAAAACTCTTTATTTTTATCATTTTCTATTTTCTTTTTCTATTCTCACCGTTTTCCCTGTTATTCTCCACAAATAAAACCATCCTTCAATGACTTCTGGTCGAAGAATGTAACCATTTGCGCCCGTATTTCTAAACGAATCTTTGATATTTTAAAATAATGCAACAAAATTAAAGACAACAATGCTTATATTCTTAAAATTTCGGTAATTAAGGGAGTGGGACAAATGCGACCTTTTTTTGCGCACCCGGACATTTGCGCACCTTTTTTGCCGCACCTTGCCCATTAGCGCACCTTTTTTCGCGTTTTAAAAAAGCTAGATCGAACCAATTTGAAAGACAAAACGGCTAGATCGAATTACAGAAAATTGTCAATTTTTCTCTTTGTATAACTCCGTCCGTTTGTTTCCACAAGCTCTGATATGTCAAAATTTCGATTCTACACCCTAAAATTACCTAGAAAAACAACTTTTGGAATAGAAATTGGTTAATATTAGCTTTTTAGAGCTTTTTTAAAACGCGAAAAAGGTGCGCTAATGGGCAAGGTGCGCAAAAAAAGGTGCGCAAATGTCAGGGTGCGCAAAAAAAAGGTCGCATTTGTCCCACTCCCGTAATTAAAGGCACGGAAATTAAAAGAAAGTGTTTACTAAAACGAGTATCGCCTACCGTAATCTTGCCTCCAGTTTTATCCAATTTATTTGGTCTAATTCGGTGCAAGTTTACAAAGAATATTGAAAGATACAAAAAGTCAAGATATTTAGATAAAACTAGAGCCAAGATTACGGTAGTTTTCAAAACTTGACACGTTCTAGAAAGCGTATTGATTGAAAGAACTTTACTTTACGGTTTCTCAATGTTTTATCTGACTGCCGGAATAAAATATTCAGATAAACTTCTGGGTTCTTTTCCAATATCGGGGGAGCGGTCCGATTATCGGGGGAGCGGAAAGAAAATCGGGGGAGCGGAAAGGAAAATCGGGGGAGCGAAAGGAAAATCGGGGGAGCAAATTTTGCCCCCTCGAAAAATGCATTTCTGGGACTTTTATTTTAACTGCAACGTTTTTTTTTAAACTTTAACGACGATGCGCTTCTCCGATATTTGTGCGTTCAAGGAATCGACGGCAATCGATTATTTCGTCACCAAAGGAGTCATCCAGTCGTGGATTTGCAACTGTGGCGAATCGATGAAAGTCCGCTCAAAGGGAAAAGATCTATTTCGCTGGGTATGTGACACTTGCGCACGGCGAAATGTCCCCAAGCATTCAAGAGGAATTCGAGTCGATAACTTTTTGCAACAAAGCAAGCTCCCGTTTGTCACAATTTTAAAGTTCATACATCTATGGACCCAGGGACTCACGACAATCAAACACTGTCAACAGGAGCTCGGCATTAGTGGCGACACCGTTGTTGAGTGGAACTACTTTCTCCGCCAAGTGTGCGCTTGGAAAATCAAGAAGCTTTCGATTAACAAGATCGGTGGTGCCGGACTCACCGTGGAGATCGATGAATCGCTGATCGCAAAGCGCAAAAACCACGCCGGTAGGATGCTGCCAGAACGTTGGCTTTTTGGTGGTCTGTGTCGTGAAACAAGGGAATGCTTCGCTTTTATTGTGCCGAACCGAACGGCTCCGGTTCTGCTTGAAGCGATTCGAAAACATATCGAAAAGGGGACTCGAATCATCTCTGATGGATGGCGTGCATACCAAGGGCTTCTCACTGACCCAAATTACGATTTTGCATGGGTCAACCACTCGACAAATTTTGTTTTGCCGGCAGATCCGACCGTGCACACGCAAACAATCGAGCGAATGTGGAAACCGTTTAAAGACATGAACAGACGTCGACACGGCACCCACGGCACCATGGTGGATTCGTATATCGCTGAGGGATTGTGGCATCGCAATTTGCCTGCCGGAGTAAATGCATTCGAGTCGATCATGGAGGACATCGTCGATTTTTGGCCCGCAGGGGCGGAAATGAATACAATCCCTTTTTACAGTTAATTTGTGATTGCTAGAAAGGTTTTGTTTTGGTTACTTTTGTTTTATTTTGGTTACTTTTCTTTTTGTTTTGGTTACTTTTCTTTTTGTTTTGGTTACTTCGCTTACATTTCTTTCGTTGTTATGATCAATTATACTATTAATGAATAAATTTTTAGGTAGCCATTTGTTCGTTCGGGATTGTGGAGCGTTCGGCAAAAAGAGAAGGCGGCCGATAGGGAAGGTAGAGGTATGTTTGGTGTTAGATATTTAAGTCACTTTTGTGATCTAATATAAAGGTTGTGAGAATAACGGGTAATTCGCGGATTTTATGGCAGTACTTTGGATAATATAGGACATATGTAGCGCTGCCAAAAAATTTAAAAAAAAACGTTGCAGTTAAAATAAAAGTCCCAGAAATGCATTTTTCGAGGGGGCAAAATTTGCTCCCCCGATTTTCCTTTCGCTCCCCCGATTTTCCTTCCGCTCCCCCGATAATCGGACCACTCCCCCCGATATTGGAAAAGAACCAACTTCTGCAAACCATCATATTCTGGCATACTGTAGTGAGGTAAAGATATTTTAATATCTATCAAATCGGGTCTATCCCAAAACAGCGCCGCCAAAACAGCGCCGTACCCAAAACAGCGCCAATGCAAAAACGCCCAAAACAGCGACGAGCAAAAAAATTATTTTATAGATTTTTGCTTTTGCTTTTTCTTTGCTGTTTTTAACTTTTTCTGTCCACTTTTTGTGTTTTTAGGGTAAAAAAAAGGCGGAGGATCCGATGTTTTAAAGCTTTTCAATATCTATCAAATCATTTCGTCGTTTACAAACGCTTTTCCCCTTTCAATTCCTTCTCCATCTCACTCACTTTGCCGTCGCATCTTCATTTCCTTGAAAATAGAACATTTCAGGTCCGATTCTTGTCTCGGATCTTATATATGATTCATGACATGTACTTCCAAGCTCTTCTGCCAATGACATCACTTTTTCCTAGATATCCCAATTATCTTTTTATCTCCAAGCTTTCTCAAACCTTTCTCTTTTCATCTTTTTCATATTGTGCTTCCAAAGCGAACATTCCGACAGAAAAACACGCCAAATGACCCATCTTGAATAAATGAATAAATGAAATGAATTAATTGTAGATAAAGATATTTTTCTTACCGTATTTACTCTAATAAAAGCCCCCTCCCCTCGTACAGTCGCGTAGTCGATAAATTTGTGTAAAAAATCATTTTTTTTCTCAGCTCCCAGCTTTTTCCCAACTATGATTTTGGTATCAAAAGATAGCTGCATTCAAGGCCTATCGATTGACATCCAAGCGCACATTGTAGCATAAAGCAGCGCGAAGAACGAAGCACCGGTTTCATTTGCGTCGCAACGTCGAAACGTCATTAGGAGGCTTTTATTAGAGTAAATACGGTATCAATGTTTCCAACAAAACTCCGTACTTGATGCTCAGATCGTCCATTTCTCAATTCGACGAGATACGTCAAACCCGAGTGCGATTTAGCCACCATTCTAGAATTATGGAAATAGTTTGAGTTTAAGTTTATACTCTAAATTCTCTCTATCAGGCTGATAGAGAGAATTCTCTCTATCAGGATTAGCCTTTCTTTTGCTGATAGAGAGAATTTAGAGTATAAACTTAAACTCAAACTCAAATCAGCCTTTTTGGGTAGTTTTAAAAAACTATTTATTTTAGAGATTTATTGTAATCATAATGCCCGTTTTTCATTCGATTAACCGAATTTTTGTATTATTCGATGAGGAATCGTCAATGAAACAAAAATTAGACTGATCGAATGTAAGTTTGACTACGATGATTTTAGAAAATAAGCTGATCGAGATTTAAACAATAGCAAGAACTGCTATTAACAATAGCAAGAAATCGAACTTTTCTTGTATTTTATCGGACACATCCCAATACATTCGTTTTGCTTGTGTATCGGTGAAATTCGAGTAAATCCATCCTTTGATAAGATATTCATAAAATGAATCACCCAAAGCACCCAAAGAGATATGATCTGAAAAAGGTTTAAGCAAGTTCTTTGCTATTTTTCTAAAGCGCTCACTTCCAGTAAATCTTCCATTGTTCGGACTGATATAATTCGGGTAAAGTCCTTCCCATTTTTCTGCCTAAATTTGTGGATTTAAAAAAAATCTTTCTTTTAATCTTTTAAATAAAAAAGAAACCTTATCCAATGCGTCTCTCACTTTTTGCACTTTTTTCGCAAAAATCGGTTGCTTGGTGACTTTTGAGAGTTGAGCGAATTCGAGATGAAGAGTACCGATTTCAGAAAGGATTGACATCCCACCCGAAGCCCAGCCATAATTCTCAGCTCTTCTGAAAAGTGTTTGTTTATTTATTTTATCGTTTCCTCATTCGTTCATTCGTTCACTCATTCATTTCCTTACTTTGATTGTGGATTGAGCGTTGAATGGGGAATGCCGGTCGGTGTCTTAAAAGCCAATAATAATGTGTCACCGACATCTTGAGCTTTCTTGCTGAAAAGAAGAAATTGCTTTAGATCGGGTGCTGTACTTTGTGCTCAAAACACATTATATCTGGCACATGAAATTCATGAGTATTGTACAGTCGACTCTCGATACAATGATTTTGAAATTCTAAAACACGTTTTTTGGTTTCTGCGTAGCTCCCCAGCCAAACGCAATCTTCAATTGCTTTGGGGCAGCTACGCAAGAACTTTATGCACGTTTTAGAATTGTCAAATCGTCATCGTCAAATCGTCAAATCGAAATTTTTCTTCTTAAAAGAATCGTTAAATCGAGAGTCAACTGTACTTGTAAAACCAAACGTTCATGGCATTAAAAAGAGTGTTTTTCTAATGTTTGAGCACAAAATTCACAGCATCACGTTCATAGAAATGCTGTATTTTGTTCATATTTTGAACTCACATATAAAATTCTTCTCCCGTTAATGCATGAAGTGAAAGAAGGCCACCGAGGAAACGAATAGTCGTCTCAAAAACAGAAAGACTTCCTGTGGCTTTTGTTTTCATATCGAAATTGTCTCGAATCCAGTCTCGAGCCTGGAAAACGTCACTTTCTTCAAAACCTTATCATTTCGAGAAATGATTAGCATGAAATTGCTCATGGAATTGCTCATTTTACTATGTGATCCCCTCCACTAATCTTTAAATACTTTTTGTTGGCCTCACTTGTGCATATTCTTCTTTCAATCCCATAATCCACAAAGTATCAGCTGCATCAACAATTGTGGCGCCCATTCCCGATCCACCAAATATCCCCTGATTGTTGATTCCTTTAGAGATTGGTTTAATCTGAAAGATGATCCACAATAGTTCTTCTTTATGCTAATTTTACTTGTGAACTTTGTTCTAACACCGACTTGCTAGGCGCTTTAAAGTTACCGTCACCGCATCTACAGTGACCGTCACCGCATCGTCTAGTCACCGTCTAGCGGCTACAGTAACCCAAGTTGTCTGTCTGTCTGTCTGTCTGGGTTACTGTAAAGCCGCTAGCCGATTTGGCATTCAAAAAGTTTCCACGATCAACTATGAACGTGTCTTTCTTATTCATCCTTTCCGCAATGACTCACTTCATTCGCTCCCCATGTATGATTCCTGTATCCATACCATGCATGTAACATCATCTTCACCACTTTTTCTCGTCTCTCATCTGCAATATCTTCTTTTCCCTATCCATCCCCTTCCTCTTTTCCTACCATTTTCTCCATCTTTCCCATCTTTCCCATCTTTCCCATCTTTCCCATCTTTCCCATCTTTCCCTCTTCCTGCTCCTATCGGTTTTTCTCTTTCTTTTAATGCTTCCTCCTCTTCTTTTTCCTCTTTTTCCTCGATTTTTCGCTCTTCTTCGTGAATCACTGAAACTTCGTGAAACTTAGTACAAAGGTCGATTTGCGTATTGATAAAGAACAATGTTTAGTCCGAATTATTTTGACAAGCTACCGTAATCTTTATCTCATTCGATAACCTTAGTAAACAAAATCAGATGAAAAATAATTATATAGTTAAAGGAACAAGATTACGGTAGAAGAGAAAAAGTTAAGGGAGTGGGACAAATGCTATCTTTTTTTTGCGCACCATTAAAGCACCTTTTTTCGCGGTTTAAAAAAGCTCTAAAAAGCTAATATTAACCAATTTCTATTCGAATATTCGAAAAAGTTCTTTTTCTGGGTAATTTTAGGGTATAGAATCCAAATTCTGACATATCAAAGCTTGTGGAAGCAATTTGAATGATAAAATGAGTAGGTCAAATTAGAGAAAATTGTCGATTGTCGAAAATTGTCGATGTCGATTTTCTCTATGTATAACTCTGTAGGTTTGCTTTCACAAGCTCTGATATGTTAAAATTTGGATTCTATGCTCTAAAATTACCCAGAAAAACAACTTTTAGAATAGAAATTTGTTAATAGTAACTATTTAGAGCTTTTTTTTTAAAACGCGAAAAATTGTGCGCTAATAGGCTGGGTGCATTTGTCGCATTTGTCGCCAAACGTCGCATTTGTCCCACTTCCCAAGTTAACACATTTTAGAAACCCATTCTTTACCTAACCATCTTTCTTTCTTTGTCTTGTGTTTTTTTTCTTTATCATCAATTTCACTCTCCCACCTTCAATTCCCGGTTCAGTTTCAACCTTTTGCGTATCATGCCGTAGTTGTTCTTTCAATTCAGCTTCATTTCGAATCTTGTTTCGACTCTGAAAATCTTTATCTTTGAAAATCTTTGAAGTATTTTCATTCATCCTCACTCACATTTATATCTCTAATCGGTACTCGTTCGGTGTCCGCTTTTGGAGATGATGATGTGAAAAATGAGACTGAACAGAAAATAACAATGAACACTGTGGCAACGAGTGCAACCACCTGAAATGTTTCTGATTTGTAATCAATTGTAATCAATTGTAATCAATTGTAATCAATTCCCAACTCACCAGCCGTTTATTCACCCGCACCACTTTCATACCCGATTCTCGTTTCGTTTAAAGGAGTCGTTGTTAAAGGATTATTTCTGACTCAGAAATTTTTCGATAGATTCAATACCCTGAAATATAATACGATAAGATATCAAAGAAGAAAAAAATATCGAAAATTCTCGCAAAAGAAAAGTCGATTTTCATTCATTTAACTTCAAAAGATTCAAAGATTGACAGTTCAATAGCATAAAATTGATGGATACTTTGAGCAATTAAGTTAAACAATTACAATTAGAATTAAACAATTTTCGAATCCGAATTCGAAAAAGAATGCGAAATCTAATGGCTTAAACTATTGAAAATAATAGAGTTTCTTCATAAAGTTAATCCGAATGCAATCGATCAAACAATGTAGAATAAATTTATCAAAATTGCGATTAGATCTACAGTTGGACGGTCGGATTTTATTGGTTTGGGCCAATGATCAGTGCCGGGGATTCGATTCGCTTACTGGGCGAGGGATAAGGGCTCAGAGAGGGATAAGGAATCAAATTTAGAGATAAGGAACCAAATTTAGAGATAAGGAACCGCTTACTGGGCGAACGCTTTACCAATGAGCTACACCAATATTCATTGGCCCTATGGCCAGGGACCATTGACATTCATTGGCCAGAGACCTTATGACTTACTCTTTAAAGGCTGTATAGAAAAGAGAAAAAATTTGTGAAATTTCGCGGATTCCAAAAGTGTTTGGGGAGAAGGAGAGGGAAAAGACCACACAATTTGCATCACCTCATCTCTTTCTTTTCTTTTTCAAATGATGGGGTTTGTCTGTTCCCTAAGGGGTCTTTTTTGAAAGAAAGAAAAGAAAGAAAAGAAAAAGAAAGGGTAATCACATTCAAACGACTCCTCCTTTCCCCATTCACCCCACAACCCCCACCAAAGGCATTCGGATGTTCAAAACCAAATGTAATCACACACAAACTTTACTCGTTAACTCTCCCGCTGTTTACCGAAAGCTGAATGAAGTTATAGTTTCAGATTTGGCTTTATTTGATCCCCAACCGTTTATTTATCGGATTCAAAATATAATCTCAGAACTAACTACCGTAATACCTGTAATAGTCGCCGCCATAATGACGTACAGTCGCGTAGTCGCTAAAGTAAATCATTTTTTGAATGCGCCCAGGTTTTTTAAAAAATAAACTGTTATTACCAAAAAATTCTTCGCTTCAAGCGCTATCTTTTGATATCTAAGCGCAGATTTTTCGCTGAAGCAGCGCGGAGAACCGATCGTCACGAAATTGTGTGTTAGACTACGCGACTGTACGGGGCGGCGCTACTAATACAGCCATAGTTTCACCTCAAAATTCGCAAACTTGACGGAATAACTTCTTTTAAATTTTAAATTTAGCTGTTTGTTTTTAGAAACTAGATGCAATTCTGCGTTTGCACATATAAAAATCATTTTGATTGGATGACAGACGAGTAACCAAAATAAACCTAAACAGAAACGAGTAACCAAAAGAAACCTAAACAGTAACGAGTAACTAAACATTGATCACCCAGCTTTTCTGGCTAGTCAAAATCAATTTTGTATATGCAAATGTAGAATTAAATTAAATAGTTTCTAAAAAACAAAGAGCTAGCAAAAATTTTAAATTTAAACGAAATTATTCCGTCAAGATTGCGAATTTTTTTGGTGAAACTAATCAATTTTGCTAGAACTAGCGAAATCTGGATCTGGAGTCATGGAAAAGTTGAATCATTGCTCAAATTTGAAGAGATTTTGTGACATTTAAGCTAAAATTTTCAAGAAAACGGTTGACGAATTAGAGGAATTCATTTAAATCTAGAAAAGTCAAATATTACGTTAGAAGTGATGTGTTCCAAAAATGAGAAAAAGCAAAATCAGGAAACAGGAAAAGGGAAAAGAAAGGAAAAGAAAAGAAAAGAAAGGAAATAGCTGTAAAATTCTTATCTTACTTTCTTTCTTTATTCTGAAGCAGAAAAAAAAGGAAGAAGGAGATCGTCATTTTATCGATTTCGAGAGAGAAAAAGAGAAGACATTTTATCATTTTTGATTAGAATTTAAAAGAAAATGAATATAATAATTTAAAAGAGGCAATCTTTAGAAATATATGCGGGGTAGGCTAGTTTGCGCAACAGGGTCATTTGCGCAACTGTGTCGTTTGCGCAACTCGCCATAACTTTCTTCTATGTGGACCAATCTTTATGATTTTTGGTTTCATTTTGTTGCACTTATTGAGATCTACAAAGCTAAAACTACCTACCGTAAATACTGTAATTGGACCCCACCCCTCTAATAGTACCACCTCTAATACCACCTAGAGGGGAAGGGAAAGATAATACCCCACCCAACGCGTAATTACAAACAACACTTTTAAAGCGGAAAATTTGGGGTAGGCTAGTTTCCGCAACTTTTTTTGCGCAACTCGTTATAACTTTCTTCTAAGTGGGCCAATCTTTATGTTTTCGGTTTCATTTTGTAGATCTCAATAAGTGCAACAAAATGAAACCAAAATCATAAAGATTGGTCCACATAGAAGAAAGTTATGGCAAGTTGCGCAAATGACCCTATTGCGCAAATGACCCTGTTGCGCAAATGACCCTGTTGCGCAAATGACCCAGTTGCACCAATGACCCAGTTGCACCAATGACCCAGTTGCACCAATGACCCAGTTGCGCAAACTAGCCTACCCCATATATGCTAAAATTTTCAAGAAAACGGTTGACGAATTAGAGAAATTCATTTAAATCTAGAAAAGTCAATACATTTCTAAAGATTTTCTTTTAATCAATTAAACATTCATACTTTTCTTCTCTCATTTTCTCCATCAAATATGAATAGAAATAAATCGAAAGGGAAAAGTCAGTCAAAACGAGAAAACACAAGAAAATGAGTAGTTTTGATCGATTTGGAGGAGGAAAAGGGAAGATTTCCGGTTCCATTAGACATCATTCAAAGAGTTCATCACTTTTTTTCATTTCTTATTTCTTGAAAAATACATGCAAATTTAGAATAAAACCCAGGATTGATCAAAGAAGAAATTTCCTTGAAGAAAAAGAAGAAATCAAAGAAAAAAACCCAATCAAACTGCCAATCGAGGATTTGCCCATTTTTTTTTTATCAAAATTCGATCGGAAGCCCTTCGATCAGAAGCCACACATGTCCGTTGTGGTCTAGTGGTTAGGATTTACGGCTTTCACCCGTAAGGCTCTCTCACCCGTTCGATTCCCGGCAACGGAACAGAAAAACGGAAAGATTCTTCAAAAACAGAAAGTTCATCTTCAATAGGTAATAGGTAAATTTGAAAATAACTAGAAAAATTAGATTTCACTTTCCGTTTCTTTTAGAGTTTTGGCACAATAGGTTGACTTTTTGGGTGGATGAGGGGAAACAGGCAATTTGGATGAAAAATCGACAAAAGTAGACAAAAGTAGACAAAAGCCTGTAGAAAAATGAGAGAAATTAGAGAATTTAGAGAAAGAAAAAGTATTTGTTGAGATGAAATGATGGGGAAAAGGAAAAGTTTGAAATGAAATCTATAACAAAAAAAGTGAAAAGAGAGGAGGGAATGGGGTTGTTGAAAAAGGATGGCTTTGATCTGCAGGAAAGAGATCAAATAACCTTTTAAGGTTCAAAAGAGGGTTACTTTTGCAATGGCAGCAAGTTTCTTTTTGAGGAATATTAATAAAATTCAATTCTCAATCATTGCTCAACATTGTTTTATGATTCTTTTCTCGAACGAGTAATCTGAGTAGAACTTTTTGAGCTGAAAAGGGAAGATTCTAAACAGTTTAGGCTTAGATTTCTTGCCAGATCAGTTTCGAATTTACACTGGAAAAGTTTTGAATTTATCGAGATTTTTGTACTTGTCAATCTGTAATCAATGTCAATCAGTAATCAGTCAATGTTTACAATCAATGTAAAGCGAAATCTAATCATGATAGTACAAGGTCAAAAATAGAGCCATGAAAAACAAGAATAAGTAAAAATTGAAGTTGGAAATTGGAGATTGAAGTTGGAGATTGAAGTGGATGTTGTGGGAAATATTGTATTAATGAATTTGATCAGAGATTTGTACAGGAAAAAGCAAGAAGCCGCATCGAGGTTTCCGAGAGGGAAATTTTTTTCATTTTTTAAAAAAAATTTCATAGCCTGGTTTTTGAAAAATCGTTTTATGAAAGGTTTAAAGTTTAAAATTGAATAGCTATAGTTGATAGCAAAAGCGGACAAATATTCGATTCAATATCAAAAAAGGAGTGGCTTAACTTTTTGACAACGGAAAAAAACCGTGGTGAATCGTGTCGATTTCGCTCCAATTTTTGGAGAGAAAAGATTGAAAGAGAAAAGAAAAAGAAAAGAAAGAAAAGAAAAGAAAAGAAAGAAAAAGAAAGAAAGAAAAGAAAGAAAAAGAAAAGAAAGAAAAGAAAAAGAAAAGCTGAGTAAATAGAGGATTTCCCTTTTTGTTTTTTCGAAAGACGGGGAAAAGCTATTCACTTTGAAGAAAGAAAAAACACACTTTTATTTGAAGAATCATATAGATTATAAAGAGGAAGAATGAAAGCGGTGAGACTGAATATTCCGGCATACTATAGTGACATAATTACAGAGTTATCATTCTATCAAAGCTGAATATCTTTTAGATTCAACACTGATAAGGCTTGGCTTAAGATATTGGATCCTTTGAGGCCTTTTTAGATAAAGCGTTTTTTCAAATCTTTCGAAAGCCTCGTAATCTCTAGTATATTTATCCAATCTATCCACTTTTTATATTTTTCAGTATTCTTTAAACCAAAAATAAATAGATTTGATAAAAATAAAGCCAAAATTACGGTAGTTTTTAATTATTATTTTATTTTTGATATTAATTTGAAAATTGTGAATGAAAAAAAGTAGAAATTTCTGTTTTTATTCATTTCCTTTTAAAGGGCTTCTCTTTTTTTTATTTCTTTTTACTAGGCAACCGAAAAAATATCTTTTTAAAATTGGTTGTAACATCGAAATTTATGGTTTCTTGGGT